GATAAGAAGAATATAATCAATTCTAATCCCAGACAATTGTGACAGAGAAGATTAAATAATAAAATTTAACTGTCTATATATGTAAGGTCCCATTGTAAGTTACGGGTCAAAACTCAGAATTTGCCAGACACATAGTCTGGACAAAATTTAAGAAACCCTTTGAAATTTTAAATTATGGCACTATAAAGATAACGCAAAATGACGTCAAAATAGCCACCAGGAAAAGTTAACTCTTTCCTGGATAGGTATGTTTAGTGGGACAAGACTGCCCTCTATAGACCAAATACCTAATTTGCGATCTGGAAGATAACCACACCTCTAGTACTTCTATTGGGTTATCAACTGATGACGTACAGAGAGTCTGGCCCTTTAAAAGTTAAGACAAAGGGAAGATAGAGATATACAAGGAGATGCAAGGGATGCAAAGGAGAAAGAAAAAGAGGAGAGAGGAATTGGAAGTTTGGGGATTCCAACTCGGACAACATCTGAGACTAACACTCTACTCCTAAAACTCTAACACTTAGAATTTACTGACTTTCTAACCAACACCTCCATGCAGAGAGACATCCAAATAAGTTCCTGAGACTACCAATCGGATGAAATATCTACTCAACTGGTAATTATACTGGTTTCATTTAATTAATTAAATTAATTAAAATGTATTAATAGCATTATATATATGACTGGATAAAGCACGGTCAGATTTCCATATTAAGAAATCTTAGTTAACTAAAATATATATAGTTATAAACATTCCATTCTGCAGGTGGAATTAAGAATAATTATATATTAATGTGATATTATCACGTGTTAGCATACCGCTGTTTTTATCCAGGTGTATTGATTTGCTCTAATTTAAGATAAGATATCTTTTAGACAAATTAAATTCTGCTTATATAAAATCATAGTAGATTCTCTTATTGGATGGTTCCAGGAAATGACTAATGAACTGGTTTAAATGTTATTTTATTTAAAATCACATAAGAATAGATCTTAATTACCTAGGAGATCTAGCCAGCATTGAAAGGGTTATTCTAACTGTCAGCTAAACTTTACAACCTTACGCTGCACTCTGAGGAATTCTGTTCTTAGCTGTGAAAAGTTTCACTTTCAGTCTGTGTTAAAGATAGTCATAAATAAAGTCTTGACAGATAATGCTATTTAGCCATTGAAACGTAATACCCATTCCTTTGTATTGCATACCATTTTATACTGGATATTCATTGATTATTGTCACGCATGTTACATATTATTATTAATTAATTTGTCATTATAAATAAAAATCTATTTTTATACATTGTGATATTATTATATGGTATACATTTCACTTAACACGATAAACGTTCTTTGGGATCTGAGAATTGAATTAGTGGGCAATTCTCACTGTTACTATTATTATCCCATAAATATCCCCACAGCATACTGGCACACAGACACACTGATCCATGCTGGCAAACAGACACAATGATCCATACGGACACACACACACAGTGAACCATACTGACACGTACACACAGTGATCCATACTGACACGTATACACAGTGAACCATACTGACATGTACACACAGTGAACCATACTGACACGTACACAGTGATCCATACTAAAACACACACACACACACAAAATGATCCATACTGACACACACACAGTGAACCATACTGACACACACAATCAATGATCCACAATGATAAAACCACCACGCAGAGAATTCCATATCCTTATAGTACTTACTGTAAAAAAAAACTTTTCTTTGCCTTAGATTAAATCTCCTTTCTTCAAGCCTAAATGCATGACCTCGTGTCCTATGTATAGCCTTGTTTATGAATCGATTTCCAGATAATGGTTTGTACAGGCCCCCGAATATATTTGTATAATGTTATCATATCTCCTCTGAGGTGCCGTTTTTCCAAACTAAAGAGATTTCTTCGTAACTAAAGGGCTCCATTCCTTTTATCAATTTTGTAACTTTTTCTAGTGCCATGATATCCTTCTTTAGAACAGGTGCCCAAAATTGCACAGTATATTCAAGGTGTGTGTGAAGGGATACCCCCACCACCATTCGGCTACTTGTACTCCCTTCTATCAGCCTTCCCCAGTTATTCATTCTTTTAGTTGTTCCATTTGTTATTTCCCAAAATCGAGACCACCCCAGAGACTAATTAGAACTGAGAACGCCATGTATCTATACGAAAACAGCAGAATAACTGAATGCTCCTAGGTGGCCGCCATTTTGTGCATACAAATGCACGTGGTGAGAACAATGGGTGGTGGCCATCTTGTCTCTCGAACGCTGCCTGCGGGACCCGGTCGTCGAGTGCCTTGAACTGTTTTCGGCAACGCACTCGCACGAACACCGGTTTCTATGGAGCTCTTCTACGTTTGCTTTCTCAGCAACTCAGACAAACGGTGTTCGGGAGTTTCAAACTACCGAACACAGGGAGCATTCTCCATGAACCAGATAGACCGCAATAGGTAAAGTCTATCTCATGAACACAGACTGGCTCTTGCTACATTTCTTCTGGAACTGTTTCCCAGCTTCAACCTCGTGGCAGACCGGTCAACTCTCCCTGTGGTGCCGTTCGGTAACTGTGGCGGAACCAACCTCACCACTGGCCACTGAAGGAGCCTGGTTGCCCACCTCTTGCCGCTGGACTATGGCCCTGCATTAAAAATCTTTTTATTTTCCCTATGTGAGCAGTGTTACCCCAGATAGCTAAGCCATGGAGCCCATTCGTATACCGAAAGACTATGGGAAAGACTTTGGCTCCATGGCGATTGAATTGTATGCATGTGATCTGAGCGCCATCCGGTAATAATGTGCGCTCAGGTCTAAGCTATCTGGGGATAGGTAGAATGTGTATGTTCTATGTGATGAATGTAACAGTATGTAATTTTATGTATTTTACTGTCTTTTTACTGCCATGTGGTTAATGGAGTTTTTCCTCTGTCCTTGGAGATAATTGGATTACTTCCCAATTATCTCCAGGATAGAAGACTCTGTGGAACTGGTTTTGGGCAGAAAAGCCATGCTTCATTTGGTCACAAAGGACTTTGATCTATCTTTTGAACCAATGGACCAATTTGGATGATTTTGACATATGTTTGTATTTGGAGTATGATGATTGTTTATGTGAATGTGATGCATACTTTTCAAGTTATGAATAATGTGGAAAAACTGTATTTCTCAGGCAGAGGTGAGGATTTTGTCTGGGAGTGTCTGAGTGTATTGTACGTGTTTATTGGTTGTTTTCCAAAACCCTGTGGGTTGTACTAATGTGTAAGAATGTGTATATAAGAACAATAAATCCACAGCTCTGGCTGTTCCTGCTTGACCCTCAAAACGGAGCATTGTCTCGTTCTTGGGGGGATTTATTGTATGCTGTTCCAGTTTGACTGCTAGGAATGTAAACCTATTCGTAAGGTTTTTCCTATTCGGCTGTTTACAGCATTCGTGTGTTTGCAGTTCGGGAGATTGGTGATTGCAGTAGCTGTCTGTGCACCTGAAAAGGGGAATATCGCCTAAACGTTTTTTAACCTCTTGTGTGCAAAACGGTCCGTTAAAGTAACTACGAACAGATTTGGCTGACAAGCTATCCAGGGATGTGACTTTTGTGGGGTTCTTATGTGTTTTGGCGGTATTTCCAGATATTGTGAAAATTTTTACTTTTTCTGACCAGAGGATAATTGAGTTTAGTATGTTCTCTAAACTCAATTACCGCGCTGGTTTAGAGGAGGAGTAATACACTGTATAAATTGAATGCCTGTGTTCTCATTAAACCAGTCTTGTCCCAGCATTATGTTTTGGCTCATGTGTGGGTTATTATGCGACATCAGCGATATCTGAACCTGTGGATTATTGGCGTATTATTTTATGGGAAAAGGGTATGCAAGACGGTGACACTTTCTCAGACTGTCACAGTGTGGTCTTACCAGCGATTTATAAAGAGGTAAAATTATATTTTCATCCCGAGAATTTATGCCCCTATTTATGCATGACAAAACCTTACTGGCCTTAGCAACTGCAGATTGACATTGCATATTGCTGCCTAATTTGTTGTCTATAACAATTCCAAATCCTTCTCGTGTGTGGTTAACCCTAATTCACTACCATTTAGGGTGTAAATTGCCTGTGTATTCTTGATTTCAAAGTGCATAACTTTGTATTTCTCTACATTAAATCTAATCTGCCATTTTAGTGCCTAGTCCCCAATCTATTTAAATCCCTCTGCAGCAAAGCAATATCCTGCTCACATTTTATTACTTTACAAAGTTTTGTGTCATCTGCAAACACTAAAACATGTCTTTCAATGGCTATTTCAAGATAATTTATAAATATGTTAAATAGAAGCTGTCCCAATACAGAACCCTGAGGGACACCACTAGCCACTTTTGTTCAGCTTGAAAATTTACCATTAATGACAACTTTTTGTACTCTATCCTTAAGCCAATGTTCTACTCAAGAACAAGAATATTCATCTAAACCAATTTCTTTTAGTTTGAAGACTAACCTATTGTGAGGAATCGTATCAAATGCCTTGGCAAAATGCAGTAAATCACATCCACTGCAATACCGTGATCTATACTTCTTGTCAGGAATTTTATTCATTTATTACTGGCCCTTTAATACAGCATGGAAGTACACACCCCTTTGGCTATTTAAACTCCAATCTCCAACACCTCAGTGCACAATTAATGTGTTAATCTGAACGATTGCATGAATTTCCTTCCTAATCCTTTGGATCACTCTTAGAGAGACTGGATCCCTTCTGAATCTCCTCTTCATGCAACTATAACTTGATTTCCTGGCTAACTAATTTGGACTGGCCCTGATTCTGCTTTTGGAATTTCCTTCCATACTGCTTGATCTCCTATTGAACGACCTTGGACTGGATAAATGACTTTGCTTATGGACTAACCCTGGATACATCACCTAAACTTCTATTTTTAAGGACGGTCAGTTTTTTCTCTCTGCTTTGCTGCCACATCAGTTTGCCGTGCTGAAACTGCCTCAAAATAAAAAGTGAGTGGTTTTTATTTTTTTTGTTTGGCATTTATTTTCTATAACTGCTGCAGCACCTTGTCTCGAGTCATCCAATAACAAGTTATCTGCAAGTTTTTTGCAGCAATCATTTGCATATCTCTTGACATAGATATACTGAAAAATAGTTATTTAAAATTTTAGCCTTTTCCTGGTCTTCATTAACAAACAGACCCATCTCTGTTTCCAATTTCCACTTTCATTTTTTGTTTTGGGGTTGGTTTTGGATTCTTTGGCTTTTCAATTTCTCATTTTCTAGTTTAGTCACTTTAGTTGCCTTTTTGCAAGCATTATTGGCTTGCTTATATAGGAAGCCTCTGATTTGTCTGCTTTAAATGCCCCTTTTCTTATTTTTAATCTCTTGTTTTACTTCTCTAGTGATCCACATTGGTTTTAATTTGTTTCTTTTATATTTATTACCCAATGGTACATTCTGAGAAATGTACCTTTCTAATATTTGTTTGAAGAGTTTCCATTTATCCTCAGTTGATATGTTGTAGAGCTGCCCTATTTAAAGTGGCTTTTTAAAAATTAAATGTTTTAGTATACGCCGCATGCTTTTACTCTTTTGAGTTTATTTAAAAAATTACCATATTGTGATCATCATTTCACAAATGCTCCCTGTGGCGAAACCGACCTCGCCACTAGGCATTGGAGAAGACTGTTTGCCAGCCTCCTGCCATGTGACTATGGCCCCTGGGATGTATTGCCCTTTAAAGACATGATTTGGGCATAATGGATTTGTGTTGTGCTGCTGCTAGCCCTTTAAGAACCATCTGGGGACATACTGTGGAGTTACTGGGTGTCCACCATTTCATGTATCAGAGGCACATGGTGAGAACAATGGATGGCGGCCATTTTAACTCACAGACACTGTTTGGACTTTTCTACACGGTGCCATCTCGCCGGTATTTGGTGCACAAAGACATCATGCAGTAGTTTTAAACTATACAACAGGGGACACATTATACAGTAATTATTTTTCATATAGCCTGTATATGTTCTGCAGAATCTGCATTAAACTGTATTTTCCAAAGTACTGAACGAATCTGGGTGAATTTTGGATATGTGGTTCACCCAGATCCCCCGGTTCCGAGGATATACTGGGGTTATTGCATGTTTTGGGCTCCCTGTGATATATTTTATACTGTATTTCTCTGCCTGTGATAATTAATATATTAACCATTCAGTGTTCAGTAATCATATCACAGGCAGAGGGGGAGGATTTTGTGTGGGAGTGTCTGTGTGTATTGTACGGATTGATTAGTTGTATTTCAAAACCCTGTGGGCAGTACTATGTTTGTGGATTGTGAATAAAAGAGGCTGTATGTGACAGTACAGTCAGTTCTGCTTGACCTCAAAACGAAGTGTTGTCTCGTTATTGGGGGAATTGGATTGTATGCTGATTGCCAGGAGCTGTTTACAGCATTCATATGCTTCTCTGGTTCGGTGATTGTGGTGTCTGCTGCAGTGCTTGGAGTCCTCAGGAAGCGCTAGGAGCATCCTTCAACGAAGGTACCCAGTCGGGGTGCCCGTCGATCCGTTACACTCCCCTACTTGAATGTCGGTCAAAAAAACTATTTCTTCCTTAATAACATGTACCCATTTAAGGTAACTGCCCAGTCATGTCTCATCCCACCATGTTTCTGTTATGCCTATTATATTGTTTAGTGTATGCTATTGCCTCTAGTTCCCCCCATTTTGTTATATAGGCTCCTTGCATTAGTAAGCATACATTTGATATTATCATGAGTCATTTGTACTTTTTGTGAAGTTTTATCAATATTACATACCTCCTCTGTTCTAAGCTTGCCCCTCCCCCATCTCCTCTCCCCTTATATTGAGCTAAAGCCCATCTCCTTTCTATCCTATCCCCCTTGTCTAGATTTCTATCTCTCCCTTGGCAAAAGTAACCTCGCCACTTGTACTTGAAGGGGCCTGCTTGCCAGCCTCCTGCCCACAGACTATGGACCCTGCAGGGAAACCTGTAAAAGGCTAACTAACTTGACCGACTGTTAGCACTGATTTTCCTGGAACTGTTTTGGGCATAGGACCATGTGCACGGTCAGTCAAAACTATGACTTCCAGGAAATTAATGAACCCCTGAACCGATCTGGGTGATTTTTTATTTTTTTTTGGATATGTTGTTCATCCAGGTCAGGGGGTGTTATGGGGTTTTATGTGTGTTGTTTTTTTTTTTTTGTTTTTTTTTAAGGTACTTTTTTGGGCTTCATAAAAATGTATGTTTTTCTGTGCTTTGAGATAATTGGGTTAGATTAGTACAGTTCCTGATTCAATTACCTCCCAAGCACAGAGGAGGTATTCTATTGTTTGTGTATGGGAGTGTCTCACTGTAGGACTCTGTTTTTATTGGTTTATTCACATTGTGTCCCTGTGCCCAACAAGGTCCACCTGGGTGTCACACTTGTTGGGAAACTTGCATAAAAGGCCAGTGTGCCTCCATTAAAATTCTGTTCCGGTTTACCCTCAACATCGAGTCTCATCTCATGTGTGGGGGAAACGGCTGTATCTATCCTGCGGTTTGCTATATCACTCTACTCCCCAGGAATTATAATCACTAGTTCTTATAAGAGCTGTTCCTGCTACGCTCTCTGGGAGTAGGCGAGGTCTGCCCACTGGAACCTGGATCCCAGTCTTGGGTCCAGGGTGGGTGAAGGACGGCGAGACCCCAGCGCAGTTGCATCACCGGAAGTACTTATGGTGTCTGGTGGAGTGCTGGAATTCCTCGGTGAGCACTAGGAGCATCGATTGGCGGAGGCACTCGGTCGGAGTGCCAGGCGGTTCATCACTTTTTTTGGGGCAGCGGTGGGATGGTCCTTTTTATAACCAGAGCAAGTGCTGACCGGATGGAGAGCCAGTATGCAAAGCTGAAACGACCAACTTTAAAAGACTTGCTGGAGAGCCGGGGAAGCATTGCAAGTAACCGACCATGGAGAGAGTTAATCTGCTGGAGTTAGACAAACTGGACCATTCAACAGAAATGGCTGAACTAAATGCCCCGAACGTAGAGGAAGACGAAACTCTAAACATCGTTTAGACACGGTTGGCGATATATGGGCCGAACCCGTCAGATGAATGGATCGACCAAATGTTTTGCACAATGGAGGCTGAAGCTCAGGAAAGGAGGGAATACCAACTGCAACTGGTAAGAGCACAACAACCTGCCATACCAGTGACCAATATCCCTACCCCGGCAGCGAACCAGAGAAAGGTCCCATTTGCAGCTTTCAAAGCCTTTGTAGAGAGTGATGGAGAAATTGACAGTTATCTAGCAGATTTCGAGAGACCGTGTGCATTACATCAGGTACCCACAGAGCAATGGGTCACAATCTTATCAGGCAAGTTGTCTGGGAAAACCTCTGAAGCTTTAAGAGCCATTCCTAACGAGGATGTCCACCTGTACCAATTGGTCAAAGAAGCCCTCCTTGCCCATTATACGGTTACCCCCAGAGTCATATCGCCGCTGCTTTTGGGAATTCAAAACGAAAGTGGGGGAACTCACACATGGAATGGGCATGCCGCTTACATCGCATTGCTTCCCACAGGATTAAGGTATGCCAAGCCAGCACCGGGGAGGAAGTACCCCAATTGTTTTTGATGGAACACTTCTTGCTTGATCTACAACCTGGACTACAAGAGTGGGTACGAGACCGGCGACCCCTCACATTGAATGACATGGCTCGATTAGCAGATGAATATACGGATACCAGAAGGGTGAGTCAAACTACCCCAGGGCCCCTGCTCCCGTTCCTCGCCCCAAATTCTGTGCTCCTGTACCACCTGGCCGAGTGACCACTGAGATATCCCCGGGACCAGTGTCATCGGTGCCGCGGATGGGGACACATAAGTACTGGTTGTCCGTCAGGGCCTCTGCTCAAACTTGGAGACGTCCCACACCCGTAGCCAATACTACACCCCCGCGTACCCCAACCATTCATTGTGTGGAAACTGACATTGGTACCGAGGAATACCTAGGGATTTGTATGAGGTGGACCCCATCCAAGCTGCGTCCCCAGACAACCGACAACAGCATCGACAAGAAGTCCAAGTGAATGGTCAAATAGCCCAAGGGCTATGGGACACGTGCGCTACCATCACCCCGGTCCTGCGACACTTGGTCAAGCAAGAGGATTGTTCTAACCATATCATCGCTGAACGGGCAGCTGTGTTCCGCCTCCCTGTTGCCCGTGTCCACCTTGACTGGGGAGCCGGATCCAGCATGGCCACCGTAGGGATCATGGACAAAATCAGAAAGATAAGTCCTGCGCTCACTCCCATAACATATGCTCACTACAGACAAGCAATGACTACAGTACACATCAGCCCCAATATATAGTAAAAACCAAAGAAAAACAAGTTACCTGCGCTCTCTCCTTAATCCCTATGTATTTTTAAACAAATGGAGGTTTTTTTAGTTACCTCCAATGGCCATGAGAGGATAAGCCCACCTGCCAACGTCAAGGCAGACCCCAGCTGGGTCCTAACTCTAACCATTCACCTTGCTTCCTTGAGCTTCTGGCAAAGATCTCTAATGAGACAAAAAGGGATATAGATATATATATATATATATATATATATACACACCCTTAATAGGGAACACATGGGATGGGCGGCTGCATTGTAGCAAGGCTGAGTGATACAAAAAATGGATACAAATGCAGAAAGATAAGTCCTGCGCTCACTCCCATCACTGGGCGGCAGCAATGACCCAGACCCCCAGCTGCAGCCGGAGCTACAGAGAGAGGAGGCAGGTGGTCCTTATTCCCAAGTCCTGGGAGGAACCCTTAACTGGCACATGGAGATGGGACTGAGGTCTCTCTTCCAGCCCTACAGGGATGCTGGGCAGCCGGAGTTAAAGGGAGAGGAGACAACCAGTCTCTCTCCCCAGCGGCAGTGCATCCTACCGGGAAAGGAGACAACAGGTCTCTCTTTCTAGCGGCATTGCATTCTACAGGGAGAGGAGACAACCGGTCTCTATCCCCAGTGGCAGTGCATCCTAGAGGGAGAGGAGACAACCGGTCTCTCTCTCTAGCGGCATTGCATTCTACAGGGAGAGGAGACAACCGGTCTCTATCCCCAGCGGCAGTGCATCCTAGAGGGAGAGGAGACAACCGGTCTCTCTCCCAAGTGGCAGTGCATCCTACAGGGAGAGGAGACAACCGGTCTCTCTCCCAAGCGGCAGTGCATCCTACAGGGAGAGGAGACAACCAGTCTCTCTCCCAAGCGGCAGTGCATCCTACAGGGAGAGGAGACAACCGGTCTCTCTCCCCAGCGGCAGTGCATCTTTCAGGGAGAGGCGACAGCTGGTATTTCTCCCCAACTACAGGGGGACAACACCCCTGACCCCAATGGTACAGATGGGACCGTGGTCTCTGTGCCGGATCTACAGGGATGCTGGACAGCCGGTCCAGATTCTCAACTAAGCACTTTCTCCCCTCTCCAGCCAATTCCCAGCAGGTCCCTGGGGTTAGTGGACGGGACTACCATACCCACTGACCCCCTTCCAGCAGAAGAGCTGGCATCAGAGCAAAGTGCTGCTGGCCCCTGCCCTACCTGCCAACTTGTTACCAGGCAGGGCTCTGTACACATCACCCCAGCAGAAGTGCTGGCACCAGGGCAGAGCGCAGTTGGCCTCTGCCCTCCCATTTTCCCTTGTCCATGGCCTGACTACCTGGTAGTCAGGCCACCCCAGCAGAAGCGCTGGCAACCGGGCAAAGCCTCTGCCCTACCTGCTCCTTTGTTACAGGGCAGAACTATGTACCTGTCACCCCAGCAGAAGCGCTGGCATTGGGACAGAGTGCAGTTAGCCTCTGCCTGTGCCCTCCCCTGGTCCTTGATCCAGGAGCTGCCCACAGAGTAACTAGAAACTGGGAGTACCAGAGGCCCCTTGGGGTCATACAAAACCAAGACAAACTACAGGAGTCACCAGGTCCAGTAATTGTTTATGTGGGTGGGTTACTCAACTAACTCAGGAACCGACCGACAGGAGGTCAGGTACCTGGTTAGTCTCCCCTTTGGAGGGAAGAAATGTGGGGCCTGCCTCCTGCCCACAGACTATGGGCCCTGCAGGGAAACCTGTAAAAGACTACTGAACTTGACCGACTGTTAGCACTGATTTCCCTGGAACTGTTTTGGGCATAGGACCATGTGCACGGTCAGTCAAAACTATGACTTCCAGGAAATTCCTGAACTGATCTGGGTGATTTTTGGATATGTTGTTCATTCAGATCAGGGCTATCAGGGGGTGTGTTTTTTTTTTTTTTTTTTTTAAAGGTACTTTTTTGGGTTTCATAAAATTGTATGTTTTTCTGTGCTTGGAGATAATTGGGTTAGATTAGTACAGTTCCTGATTCAATTACCTCCCAAGCACAGAGGAGAGATTCTATTGTTTGTGTATGGGAGTATCTCACTGTATGACTGTTTTTATGACCGGGTAAGTACATAAGATCACAGGGACGTTCTATGCCGCCCTGCGGCGTTTAGAGCCGCTTCCTTAAGGACGGCATAGAACGCCCTGCGGTCTTAAGGGGTTAAATAAAATCAGCAGAGATTAAAAATATCTATAAAAAAGATGGAAGAAAAAAACGTTTTAAAAAATTAAGAATGAAAAAACAAACAAAAACGTAAACCAGCTTTTTCCTGTATATACACATAAGTAGACTGTGCAGTCACTGCTTTAAGTAGACTGTGCAGTCACTGCTTTAAGTAGACTGTGCAGTCACTGCTTTATTTTTTTTTTCCGTTTGATTCCACCAGATATTTTTGGTGACTGATATTGGAGTGTAACATTATATGCCTTAATTTTTATCTTTCTTATTTGTTACCAACACGTTTGGCTATGTTGTAAATAGTGTGTATATACGTTGTATGTATGTTTGCTTGATATTGGGATGCATATTGAGCCTTTCTTTTTATTTTATTGATATGTCCATCATTTAGTGAATAAGCCTCACAATCGGGTTACACGTATTGCAATTTTGCTTCTTTTATACCCTTTCTTGCCAGCCACGCTGTGGAGTACTTGGACGCGTGTGATGGAGCATTGTCCTGCATGAAAATCATGTTTTTCTTGAAGGATGCAGACTTCTTCCTGTACCACTGCTTGAAGAAGGTGTCTTCCAGGAACTGGCAGTAGGACTGGGAGTTGAGCTTGACTCCATCCTCAACCCGAAAAGGCCCCACAAGCTCATCTTTGATGATACCAGCCCAAACCAGTACTCCACCTCGCTGGCGTCTGAGTCGGACTGGAGCTCTCTGCCCTTTACCAATCCAGCCACGGGCCCATCCATCTGGCCCATCAAGACTCACTCTCATTTCATCAGTCCATAAAACCTTAGAAAAATCAGTCTTGAGATATTTCTTGGCCCAGTCTTGACGTTTCAGCTTGTGTGTCTTGTTCAGTGGTGGTCGTCTTTCAGCCTTTCTTACCTTGGCCATGTCTCTGAGTATTGCACACCTTGTGCTTTTGGGCACTCCAGTGATGTTGCAGCTCTGAAATATGGCCAAACTGGTGGCAAGTGGCATCGTGGCAGCTGCACGCTTGACTTTTCTCAGTTCATGGGCAGTTATTTTGCGCCTTGGTTTTTCCACACGCTTCTTGCGACCCTGTTGACTATTTTGAATGAAACGCTTGATTGTTCGATGATCACGCTTCAGAAGCTTTGCAATTTTAAGAGTGCTGCATCCCTCTGCAAGATATCTCACTATTTTTGACTTTTCTGAGCCTGTCAAGTCCTTCTTTTGACCCATTTTGCCAAAGGAAAGGAAGTTGCCTAATAATTATGCACACCTGATATAGGGTGTTGATGTCATTAGACCACACCCCTTCTCATTACAGAGATGCACATCACCTAATATGCTTAATTGGTAGTAGGCTTTCGAGCCTATACAGCTTGGAGTAAGACAACATGCATAAAGAGGATGATGTGGTCAAAATACTCATTTGCCTAATAATTCTGCACTCCCTGTACACATTTTACAGACAAAGTCCCACCCACAGGGTTTTGTGGAACAATCAAAACATACAACACAGATAAACACTCCCACAATGACATCACAATCCCTCTTCTCTATCCTGGAGAAAATTGGTAAGTAATCCAATTAACTCCAAGGACAGAGGCAAAACTCCATTAAGCACATGGCCGCAAAAAGACCGTAAAATACCATAAAATACACAAGGTTACATTTATTACATAAAATACAGACATGCAACATATCCCCAGATAGCTTAGGTCTGAGCGCACATTATTACTGAATGGCGATCAGACCACACACATACAGTTCAATTGCCATAGCTATCTGGGTTAAATGAGTTCATTCAGTAAATCCGTGAATGAACGGACCGCGTGTGAACTGCAGACTGCTGCCATCCAGTGTTCAGTATGTGTAGCCGCAGCCACCCGGTATAGTCAATTGAGCTGCGGTTAACCGCAGCTACTGGGCGGTCAATTGGCGGCGCTCACTGGCTTTTGGACGGCCAATTAACGGTGCCTGCCAGCTAACCGCGACTCCTGGGAGGCCAATAGATGGCTGTTTGTTCGCTAGATAGAATCTACTGAACGCCCGGGCAGAAATACATAAATAGACCTTTTTGCATAGGAAAATAAAGTATTTAAATGCCGATCCATAGTCAAAAGGCAGCAGACAGGCAACCAGGCTCCTCCAATGCACAGTGGCAAGATTGGTCTCGTCACACCCCCGTTCTCCATGATTGCGAGAGTGATCTGTCACGTACGTACCCACAAGATATCTCTACTTCTCATAGCTCCACTTTGGCAGAGTCAGGCATGGTTCCCAGGGTTATTGAGATGTCCCACGATCCTCCTCTTTTTCTACCAACCTTCCCTCTACTTCTGACAGGGACCATGAGGGGAACCTCACCCCCTCGTACTAGATCAGAAGCTAGTGTCCTGGACGATTTTAGGGGTTCCTGGTCAGTCCATGGCCTATCACAATCGGCTAGGGATCTCCTATGGGATTCATGGGCTCCCGGCAGCAGGAGATGTTATATTTCCGCGTGGTCTGCCTGGAGTAGTTGGTGCCTGGAGAGGGATTCCGATCCCTTTTACTGCTCCTGTCCCATTGATCCTCAACTATCTCTCACACCTGTTTACGCTAAGTCTGTCATACCGATTCCTCAACGTGTTTAGATAAGCCATTTCGGCAGCACACATTCCGGTACAGGGCATTCCGGTGGGTCAGGATCCACTGGTTTGTCGGTTACTACGGGGTGCTAAGGTGTCGAAACCTCCAGCACCGAAATATTCACGTCTCTGGCATGTGGATGTAGTGCTGCATTTCCTGAGAGAGTGGCCTATAACTTGTATCTTTCGCTGAAACAACTTTCACCCAAACTTACCCTCTTGCTATGTCTTGTCTTGTTTCGTCACGTAGCAGACATCAGGGCATTCAATGTCGACTGTTTCTCCTTCACTCCAGAAGGGGTTATTTTTAAGATATCACACTGTACTAAGTACTCTTCTTTGGTCTTTTACCCGTTTTTTATAGCGGACCCCAGACAATGTGTGGTTAAGACGTTAATGTGATATACCGAAATCTCAGCTACTCTCCGAACCTCTTCGGCGGGTCAGCTTTTGATTTCTTACGTGGAGCCTCATGGACCGGTGTTTACTACAACACTGGCCAGATGGGTCCGCTGGCTTCTATCATTAGCTGGCGTTGGACCATGCTTTGGGGCTCACGCGGTCAGGAGTGCGGCTGCTTCACAAGTTTTCTTGGGGCAGGAGCCAACTCTTGCCGACATTATGCGTTGTGCGGATTGGACGCGCGAGAGTACTTTCAGGATGTTTTATTTCAGGCAGACTTCTTATGCCTCTTTAACGTTGGTTAATTCTTAGCGTTAAAAATGCAAATATGGGGGGGCGGAGCTTGAAGCTTGAACCCAGCGGACGCAAAACTCATGAGCTCCAGAAATAGGGGCATACAAACCCGAAAAAAAGCGATTTATAGCTGGCACAAAGCTACTCACCACTCTCTTCCTAAAGACACGGGTAATCAACACATGCCTTTCTTATATACCCCGACCGGCAAAAAAATCCGCTGTCGATTGTGGGCCTATACACTTGACTGGACTGGGTGAGCCGACCCCAAAGACCTGATGAATACTTAAACAATACTGACACGATGGGCTGATGATCCCAAAGGCCACAAACAAGCATCAAAGATACCCGAGACATAGGGGACATGCTGCAGGCCCCCGTAGCCAAGCGGGCACAGACAAACCCAGAACCAGAAGCAGGCACCACGCGAGCCCAGTGGAGCCAGAGAAAGAACCCGCAACATCCAGGGCTCCCACGGTGACATCCCCAGAGGGGGACAGGCAGAATTTTGCCACGAAGGAAGATATCCGCAACATGATGCTTGAATTGAAGCAGACCTACTATGCACAGAAGTGTAGGCGGTAACAGCCAGACTACAGGCCTCCGAGGAGGACATCATCGACACACGACAGGAGGTGCTGGCTCTCAAAGACACAGTGCTTCAGTTGCAAATCTCCCATACGGCACTCCTAACTAAACTGGAAGTTGCAGAGGACCACAACCGCAGAACTAACAAACATCAAGATCAGGGGGATCCCGGACGACATCAGCCAGGCGGAACTCCCCCACTACCTCCGGCGACTGACCACGGCCATCTTGCCGCACACACAGGCCAAAAAACTACCCTTTGATACCTGCTTCAGGATCGCCAAACCTGCATGGGCACCGTCCATGGCCACCCGAGACGTAATTATGAGATGTCATTCAGTCTCTGACAGAAACCGTGTCATGGCAGAGGTGCGAAACAAAACCCCACTCAACTCAAGTCAGCTACCATCACGTTCTTCCACGACCTAACGAGGAGTACATTACAGTGGCGCAGATCCTTGGGCCCGATTACAGACCAACTCCGCGCAGCAGGTGTAGACTATAGATGGGGCATACCCAGGACTCTAACAGTGAGTAAAAATGGGACCGTTCATCGACTCACCTCCCTGAACGAAGGTACAGTGTTCCTACAGGCTCTTGGACTTATACCACCTCTGCCTACCCTAATGGGAACCCCTAATTGACATGTGTGGGATCCCATGAGAAAGCCCCGTTCGAGCCAAGTACAGCAGCTGGGCTGGTGGCCCCCACATGAACTGTAGCCCGACAAAGTGGACTTACCAACGCTATACAGCTGCATATTTAGTCCCGAATATAACCATAGTTATCCTTAATGCCTAATTGTTTTGCATTTGAAAATGTTATTCTGGTTTGATGCTTATGCTCTGTGCCTCACCTCATGGGAAATGGCACACAGAGTTAAGTGTGCACTACACACTCCCTCCCCCCCCCAACTGGGGGGAGAGGCTACCTAGCCTTACACACTGCGAGCCACTCTTACTTGCACGGATTCTCCCTCCCCTGCAGCCCCGTTAGGTTAGGGGCAACACATCATGAGCGAATACACACAGACACCGGGCCCAAATGTCTGAATGCTAACCCACATAATGGCCCATGTACACCACCACCAGTATCCCACACCGGATGCACTAGACATGAGCACATAACTCTACAGACACCCGGCTAGCACAACTGCTATATCCTCACAGCGAGCACACAAGATACACGGATGGTGCACCCCATCTCAGTTGATCCATAATTGACACACTCAGCGGAACAGCCGACGGACAAACTAGAACAGCTAACACCAATATAGATATTTAACAACTGAGAGACAGGGACACACCACTCGAGGGATCGGTTCCGTACAGGCATCCTCACGGACCACCCTGGTATGGTGGCTAATATAACATCCAAGGCTCTGTTCATCAGATCTAAGCTTATAGCCACACATGCCAGGAGACCTAATTAACAAATAGAATTGCAAATAACAGACGACATACTTGTTTCTTATACATTCAAAAATGGGGCTGTTGAATACAGGAGTACCTATATTTGAATATACTACTGTACCAATGTCATGTACATGCTGATTGTGGCTCCTTGCTTCTTTTCTGTACCATGATAATCGTTGCCTCAATAAAAAAGAATGGGAAAAAAAAATGCAAATATGAAGCCTCCTGTCGTTATAAGATTGTAGATTATGCTAACGTAGTGTACCTATACTCTTAATTTTAGTAATGACAGGAGGCTAGTATTTCCCACCCTATTTTACCCTCCCATTGTAGCTGTGATGATGTAACGTTCTATATTTTTCTCTGGTTTAACTTTATAAGATAGTTGGGTATTATACTTATATGACATTGTAAGATTAGTGTCTTGTTATCATGACATGCATAATAGTTGTTACACAGTTGGATGTTCATTATATGCGGGCAGCTTGCCACTTCAGATACCTTTTCACTTTTTTCTTTATTTTTCAGTGTGATTGGTTATCCCCGACGGATGGACTCACCCTTGTGTTTATCCAACTGAAGTTCATACCGGATTTGGGAGGACATTATTGGATTTCAATTTGGCCTTACGTTGTTGGTCATTTTTTTTCTGTATTAGTCTACCTGTTTTATTTACTCGCTACAAAGAAAGAAGTGATGTAACTGTCAGGGCCTTTTATGTGTCATCTGGCTTATTTCTGATTGGTTGCTTCTGTGTCTGTGCTCCTGGAGATTTTCAGCAAAGAGAGTTATGCAAATACTCGCTGTGACGGACCGCTGGCATTCCGACTGAGTACCTCTGCCAATCGATGCTCCTAGTGCTCGCTGAGGACTCCAAGCACTCCAACCAACACCATCAGCACTGCAGACCCCACTTCCAGCGATGCAGCTGCGCCGGGATCTCTCCGTCTCCACCCACCCTGGCCAGGATCCAGCTTCCAGTGGGTGAACCTTTCTTTCCCCAGAGAGCGTCGCAGGAACAGAACAGCTCTTACAAGAGCTCAGTGATTATAGCAAGAGAGTATGACCAGCATAGCAATCCCTTGTAGCAGATTCCCCCAATAAGAGACAGGACTCAGATTGAAGGTGAAGACGAACTGTTTTACTTGGCACCAAAGACCCACAGGGTCTTTCAGAACAACCAATAAAAACATTACAACACAATAAAGTATACTACTCCCAGCAGAAATCCTCCTCTCTGTGATACAATTATCTCAAGACAATAGACTAACTTGATTAGCACAGGCAGAAAATATACAGTTTTTACACAATTCTTATAACTTTAAAAGTATGCATGCAATATTAATAAAGTTACATATTTGAAATCAGCATCCTTCAAATATAAATATACTCAAAAATCATAAACATTCGTCCAGTAGATCAAAAGTTAGATGGACGTCCTTTTTGAATGACTGCAAGCATGGCTTTTCTGCCCAAAACCAGTTCCACAGGTCTGGCAGTGTCCCTGGGACAACGCCCTGCTGGAGAACAATAGACAGGAAACGGGGGAGGGGCACATCTTCCCATGTATTCAAAGGGGCAGAAAAAGTGTTTCAAAATGCAATAAGCCCAAATAAGTTTCTTAAAGGGCAATACACAGTCCAATACAAGTCCTTAAGCCCCAAATCCTGTATTTAAAGGGCCAAACCTCCCAGGGACCATAATCACATGGCAAGAGGCTGGCAAGTAGTCCTCTCCAGGCACAAGTGGCGATGTTAATGTCGCCACACTCGCCTCCTGTCATTACTAAAATTAAGATTATAGGTATACTACGTTAGCATAATGTACCATTTTTTTTCATGTAGTTTGTTCAGTAATGACTTGAGTTCAATTCACTAGTATCCAACCACTGTTTTGCATATAAATGCCAACTATTTTTCTATGGCACTTTAAAATTTGTTAAAATATTTTGTTTAAACCCCCCCAAAAAAAAAAAAACGTAATTAAACCCATCACAATCTTTATCTCCATGCCCACACAGCCCTTAATCTTACACTGGCTACTAAATTAAATTGTACACTTTATTATAAAACATTCTATACTTTTACTATTGGAACACAACACAAAGTGATGAATTCAAGTAATATTGAGTAGTATTTTCCTTTTTTTCACATTATGGAAAAATTCTGCTAGCGTACATATTCACAACAGCAACCTTCCTATATGTCGGTGGAATTATTGTTCCATATAATTGTCAACGACCATAAGTAACCTGCCAATGTTTCTTCCTCAGATAACCTTGGATTGTGGTCAATGAAAGGTAAAATAAAAAGTTAGTAGAATGCGTACAATTTAGAGATTTAATCTACTTGCTTCTAAAACAAATAAAGGCATCTTTAATATACAAGTAACTCATTACCTATGATTAAATATGCTGGTACACATGAAATTGTTTTAATTCTTATCTTTATTGCTCTACCTTGCTAATATGGGTATCATGTATTCTATTTTACCATTTGGATAATTACATAGTTACATAGGCTGAAAAGAGATATGTGTCCATTAAGTTCAGGTATAATACCTAACTTAACACCTTAACGACCCAAAAAAACACGGACGTAACGAGTATGTCCGCGGCAAATATGAGCGGTAAACTTACCTGGACCAGCGAACCACGGCGATCTCGGTCAGGGGGGACTGCCCAAGATCTCAGCAGTCCCCCTGCAGCAGCTCCGGCCACCCCGGCCCTCCAGGGCCATGTGATCACCATGATCAAATGGCCGCAATAGAAGTCTATGGAGCTGTCTGCAGGGGCTGTCTGAGCTGTCAGGAAGTCCCCTTGACATCTAAAAGTAAAAAAAAAAAAAAATTACAAATAAAATAAAATATATTTTACATATATTATTTATGTATAAAATATAATAAAAGAATTAAAGCATTTTAAAATATATTATGCATATCTATGATTTCATTATAAGTGCACTTTGAGATATATACACATATCTCAAAATACACCTATAATGTAATCATATTTCTTGGCCATATCCATGGCAGTACAACAATGGGTAGCTCCTCCCTATTCCTAATTAGACAATGACTAATTCAAATCGAAGGTATAAGTAACCCTTCCTAACCCTCTCACCCTTAGTCTTTTTATTCCTGTCCTAGCCCTATTGGACCAATTTAGTCATTTCAGGACAAAAAACAACAACTTTCTTTTATGGCTTACCTAAGGATAGTCTTTTCCTCTGGCCCCTTGGGAGTTCAGCCTCTCTCCCTTGGGAAGTCTCCAGTACACAGGCTTCCGCAATGGTGACCCCCTGGAGAAACCCCTTCAGTGACCGGGGGTTCTAACTTGCTGTGACCAGATGGGGTAGCAAAATCAGGCCATCACCATAATTTCTGCAGTGGCCCAAGGGGTAGCAGACTGAGCATGCACATAGAGAGCATATGGATTTATTTCCTGTGACCCGAGGGGTAGCAGGATTATGCCATCACCCTATTTCCTGCAGTGACCCAAAGGGTAGCAGGCTGGACATGCACATACAGAGCATATGGATTGCAAAGACTAATATGTCATTGACTAACATTCCATCGTTTAAAAGGGTTCATGTACAACTCTATCTTGTACTTCCCGTGGATTTACTTGCAATGACCCTAAAGGCAGCAAGATTATGCCAAGGGGTAGCAGGCTGGCATGCACATTTAAAAGCATATTTATGGATATAACCCCTTCTAACCTTCATCAATTTCATCTGAACGGTAAGAGATTTCTGCTAATTGTAATTTCAATCAAACTTATTCCTAGGCCTCTGTTATGCCTTTTAATATAGCCGCTGGATTTTCTCAATCCTAGGCCTCTATTATGCCTTTTAATTTAGCCGCTGGATTTTCTTATTCCTAGGCCTCTGTTATGCCTTTAAATTTAGCCACTGGAATTTCTTATTCCAAGGCCTCTGTTTCGCATTTTAATACAGCCACTGGATTCACTTATTTCTAGTTCTCTGTTGGGCCTTTTAATAAAGCCTCCGGATTCTCGTATTCCTTGGGCTATATGGGTTTAATATAGCCACTGTATTCACTTATTCCTAGGTCTCTGTTATGCCTTTTAAATAGCCGCTGGATTTACCCATAGTTGCCAACATTTGGAAAAAAAATTCCAGGGACACTTTGCAGCACAGCTATCAATTATTACCTTGAATATTTACCACACCCACTGCCGCAAAGCTCCGCCCACTATGCCCAACCCACATTATTCATCTCGGCCTACTTATAGTGCAGATTACAGGGTCTGTGTATTCTCTGTGTATTCTAGTCCCCACCGGAGCACTTATTTTGAGAAACTGTACATTGTGTGACTGTTTGCTAGCTAATTCTATCTGCGACCATCCTATCTTATGAAATATGTAACCACATATTGTTTTGTAACCTAATTTTATATCTTATGAAATATGTAGCCACGTTAACTAATTTCATCTTATCTTTAACTTCATTATTTATTTTAAAACCTTCAAGCTAAGCTGTAACAATATTGTGTAAAAATACACCCTACTTTTAATAAACGAACAGAAGTAATTCTGGACTCACAACCATCTGTGTCATGTGTTAATTGCTTCTCCAGGCGTCTGATATAATATGGGTTCCCCTGAATATAAATATTGGATCCTTTATCCATGTCAATTTGGTGCCTTGATCTGACGGTCAAAAATACTCGGACACCAGTGTAGTGGCGGACATACCTCTGACCGTAAAATCAGCTGCTGCAAGGCGAGAAAAATATTTAACTTTTCTACCTATATAATTTCGCTCTCAGATCTACGTCCCTGTCCGTCTGTCTGGGTAAGAAGTGACTTAAAAATGTCAGATCCACTGGAAGCTAAAGTCTGCGACATTGAAGACAGATCTAGAAGAGCAAATATCAGAATTCGACATATTCCAGAAGAAATCGCTAATGAAAATCTGGAGAGCTTCCTTCTGGAATTCTTACAAAATGTAATTCCAGATGGAGCTCCACATGACTAATGGATCGCCAACATCGACTACCCAGACCCCAGAATGCTCCGGAGACATACACGAGACATAATGGTTAAATTTCATTCATATCAAACAAAAGAGAGAGTTATGGCAGCGATTAGGAACAATCCTATGTTGGAAGAAAAATTTAAGAATCTATCTATATTCCAAGATCTATCATACTCAACAAGAATGTGGCGAAAAAGCTTTCAAGACCTACTACCTATCTTGAGACAGAAGGACATAAGCTATAGATGGGGTTTTCCTTCATCATTAAGAGTGTCTTGGAATGGAAGAATGGTTAATTTTTCCTCTAAAGAAGCCCTAAAGAGTTGGATGGAAAAATCAAATATAACCGGAACACTTATAGCCAGTCCATGAAGGGGTCCGGAAAAGTGTCTGGTATTAAGCTAAGGACTCCCCTTTTTTTTTTTTTTTTTTTCTCTACAGTGGTAAAATGTTGACCAGTGGTAAAATTCTCTACAATTGTAAAATGTTATGACAAATTACTGAAGTCTTGGGAGAAATCTTTTTTTGTTCCCCCGTTTTTTCAGCTTGACAACTAATAAGAGTTATTAAGGATCTAATCACTAATTTAACCAGGGGCGGATTGTCTTTATTTATGTTGTTTTTTTTTTGTTTTTTTTTCTCATTCTCTAACACAGAGCACAAAGATTCATGTAAAATCTTTACTAATAACATAGATAAATGAAACAGTAGAAACTCACATGGCTATTCCAACACTATAACATTATCGATAGATAACAGAAAGGGTAAGTGGAAAAGAGAGGAAAGGAGACAAAGGGGGAGAATAGGGGAAATATAAATATACATGAAACACAAAGGTATCAATAATGACTAATTCACGATAGGAAGCTTAGAAGAAGGAAGGACTCTCACACTAGTTTGTAAGTACAACACTGGTTTTAAAGGACGCTATTAGTATAATTTACCAATAAAGTAAATAAAAGGGTTACATTTTTTTTTTCCTGTTTTATTATTTTTAAGTGTACTCCACGGAATAAGCACTAGAGAAAATAAGTAAACTAATAAGGTTATATAGGCACTAATGAAGATTTTTCACAAGTGTTTTTAAACACAATAGTATTTAAGAGGACAGCACTAGATCAATTTGCCCCAAGCTGGTTCTGCATCCAATACATACAGGGGGGTAAACTGGTAGAGTGCCGAAGTAAACAGAACACTAAGGGACAGAGTATCTACATAAACAGTTTTTGTTTTGTTTTTCCTCCATTCTCTTTCTCTTCCATTCTTCTCTCTCTCTTAACGAGAAATATAAAGGATATCAGAGAGAATAAGGGAAGAGAAGAAATGATGAAGGTGTATCCCCTTGGGCAGGGTTCTTGACCCCGGCCATGTGTCCTTGTTGAGACACAGTTACCATTAGGAGGGTTTGTTTCAAACCAACTATCGAGAGAATGGCTCTAACCTTAAAGGTCAACTTGTTGGGTGAGAGGCCATCCTGTATTTTCTGGCTTACAACCAGAATAGAAGAGTATGATTGTAATGTAAATGTCTATGTTGTGAAGGGTTTGTGCATGCCGATAAGAGCACCGGGAGATTTCTTTAAAGATGGTTAAAATGGTATCAGTAAACACTCAGGGCCTAAATTTACGAGCAAAAAAAACCTCTGGTCTACGATTTTTTTCAAGAATCAAAATATAGAGGTTGGGTTCTTACAAAAGACTCATTGGAGATTGATAGACAACGTAAAATGGGGAGGGGCTAAATTTCCAAATGTATTTAATTCCTCTTAATGATAGGAAGAAAAGAGGGGTGGCTATTTGTGGCGGAACCAGCCTCACCACTGGGCATTGGAGAAGACTGATTGCCAGCCTCCTGCCCTGTGACTGGCCCCATGTTGAAATGCTGGATTTTCCCCTGCAAAGACCCGAAAGCCAGGTCATTCGGTACTTTCCCTATGTGAGCAGTGTTACCCCAGATAGCTATGCCATGGAGCCCATTCGTATATCGAAAGACTATGTGAAAGACTTTGGCTCCATGGCAATTGAACTGTATGTATGTGATCTGAGTGCCATTCAGTAATAATTTGCTCTCAGATATAAGCTATCTGGAGAAATGTTGAATGTACCCGTTTTATGCAACCACTGCACAGTTATATATTTTTACGTATTTTATTGTATTTTGCTACCATGTGGCTAATGGAGTTTTGCCTCTGTCCTTGGAGATAATTGGATTACTTCCCAATTATCTCCAGGATAGAAGACTCCGTGGAACTGGTTTTGGGCAGAAAAACCATGCTTCATTTTGTCAAACAGGACTTTCCCTTAACTCTTTTTTATTTTTCAATTTGAAAATAAGTTTTATTGTTGTGATTGTCAAGCATCTTTGCGGCGCCTGCTCGCCAGGGTACAGAAAAGAAAAGGGATAGTGCAGGAACAATAATTAACATTGGTATTACACAATGACCATTCTTTATTTTCCTTTTTATTATCAACCGGTACTACTCATCACTTTAGGGCTATCACCTTTTGAGCTTGTCCCCTGTTTCGGTTAATGGCTATGTGAGGATGTGATTCTAGCCTCTGCGTCCACGTCTATCGTCCACGTTCCACGTCTATCATCTCTTTACAACTTCTTATGGGGTTAGTGACCCTCTGTTTGCCATGTCCTGGTTCCCCCCATTCTGGATTGTTCTCGCATCGGTCCCCTGTAGTGCTACTGGACTCTGATTCCCCTCTGACCTCTCTCTGTATTCCCTCCATCTTTCCCCCGCTTTTTTAATGTTTCCCTGTGGTGTCAAGTGTTTGAAAGCCATTAGTTCATACTTCCAATTGGTTTCTGCTTGATTTATTAGTGTGTCCCTGTTCGGTACCTGGGTTGATTTCCATGCTCTGGCTAATAGTGTTACTGCAGAAATCAGCATGTGGAAGAGCAGTCGTTCCTCTATTTTTTCCAATGTTGTGGGAATCATAAAGAGTACGCATTGTTCAAGGTTAAGTGGCCATTGTCTACCTATCAACTTCCCTATCTCTTTTTCCAGCATTACCCAGAGTGGTGCTAGTCTCTCGCATGACCACCATATGTGTCCCATTGTCCCTCCCTGGGCCCCACACCTCCAGCATTTATTGGGGGAGTCTGGGTATATTTTGGATAGCCTCTCTGATACCATATACCACCTGTATTGTAGCTTCCTTATAGTTTCTAAATGTGTGGAGCATTGTGTGTTTCCCTTATGAATTCTAAAGGCCCTCTCCCATTTTTCCGGTGGTAGGATGTATCCCAGTTCCCCGTTCCACGCTTCTTGGAATGGCATGACGGTTTCCTGTGGCTCGTTATGTAGCTCCTTGTATAGTATAGATAGTGTGCGTTTGGCTGGTTTTGGTGAGAGGCATAGTTGCTCTAACTTACACCCTTGTTGCTGTGTTGTGTTCTTTACTTCCATCCCCTTGAGAAAGGACTTCAATTGTAGAAATGGGAATATGGCTCTGTTTGGGAGGTGGTATAGTCCTTGGAGGTCTGGAAAGGGCATTAACTTTCCTTCTTTGTATAGGTGTGTGACTGTAGTGCACCCTCCGTCTCTCCATTGTTTATGTTCAAATGTTGGGATTCCTACCGCGATCACGGAGATCGGGGCGTTCCCTGGTATACTGTCCCGGGCCCTCTCTCTGTCCTCTGTCTCATCCCAGATTGTCAGGGTTGTTAAGGTAGTCGGTAGGGGGTCGATGTGTGCGAGGCGTAGGTGTCTTGGCAGCCAGAAAAGGTTGTGTAGGCCATCCCCCCAGCCCAATGGGCTTCTATTTTGGTCCATTGTGGGGTTTCCCCTTCTGTCGCGGATGCTTTAATTGCTGTTATGTGTGCGGCCTTATAGTACGTGTGGATATTTGGTAGCCCCAGCCCTCCCCTTTCGACCGATCTCTGTAGGACCCAGGCTGCCACCCTCGTTTTTTTCTTTGCCCATATGAATCTTACCAGGAGACTCTGCAGTGTTTTAAAATAGGTTTTTGGTAGTTTTATGGGTAGTGTGTGTAAAAGATACTGGAGTTTCAGAAGCAGCATCATCTTTATTGCTGCCAGCCTCCCTACCCATGATAAGTATTTGCCCTCCCAACCGTCTAGAGTCACCGCTAGTTCTTTGTAGAGTTTGGTGTAGTTTTTTTCCATTAGCCTATTTAATTGGGTCGGAATGTTAATGCCTAGGAACGTGATGTGGTCCGTTCTCCAATCAAATGAAAAGGCAGATTTAAGTCTATCTAGGGCTACTGTCCCAATCCCCAACCCCATGGCTTGAGTCTTGCTAATGTTTAATTTATTGTACGAATGCCGTCCATATTCTAGAATTGTTTCCACCAGGTTGGGGAGAGATATCTGGGGTTGTGTCAGGGTGAGCAGTACGTCGTCAGCAAATAAGTTCGTTTTATATTCCTTGTCCCCTATGGTCACCCCATGTATTGAGGCGTGTTGTCGTATGGCTATTGCAAGCGGTTCCAGCGTTAAAACATATAGCAGTGGGGAGAGCGGGCATCCCTGGCGAGATCCATTCGTTATTTGAAAGGGATCTGACACGAACCCCGCGTTTAAGACTTGGGCTGTTGGCCTGTTGTATAGAGCCCTGACCGCCGAGAGGAAGCCCTCTGGTATCCCGACCTTAGTAAGGACTGCCTTGAGGAACTCCCAGCTCAGTCGATCGAAGGCCTTTTTCTGCATCCAGTGCCACCACCACGCCTCCCATTCTCATGCGTTGGGCACTGTATATTATGTCAAGCACTTTCCTGGTGTTGTCTCCCCCCTGCCTGCCTTTTATGAACCCCACTTGGTCCGAGTGGATGATGTGCGGGAGCAGGCTTCCCAACCTGTGCGCATATATTTTAGCGTATAGTTTGGCGTCGGTGTTTAGGAGGGATATAGGGTGGAAGTTTTGGGGGCAGGTGGGCAGCTTTCCAGGCTTGGGTAGCGTTATGATGTGGGCTAGTAGTGTTTCACGGGGTAGGCTTTGTTGTTGAGTGGCTTCGTTATAGGCTTTCGTTAAATATGGCACCAGGATGGGTTTGAATGTTTTGTAGTAGCAGTTAGTAAAGCCATCTGGGCCTGGGGCCTTGCCCGTTGGGAGCTGTTGGATTGCTGCATCCACCTCCTCTTCGGTGATGCTGGAGGAGAGTTTGTGTTGTTGTTGCGGTGTCAGTGAGGGCATTGGTATCTTGTGCAAGTATTGTTTTATATGCTGTGGTTTTGGTTGGTGTGTCTTGGCGTCATTCGCCAGGTTACAGAGGGATGCATAGTACTTGGCAAACGCATTGCTAGTGTCCTTGGGGGCTGTGATCCTGTGTCCCTCCTCTGTTTGGATGTGTGCTATCTTGTTTAGTTTGGAGTGTTTTGAGGCGCTGTGCCACTAGTTTTCCTGCCTTGTTTCCTTGAGCGTACTGTATTGCTTTAAGCCTCTGGAGGTGCTGTCCTGTTCTATCTAGTGCTTGTTTGTGCATGTCTTGCGTAAGCTGTATAATGCGTTTCTTTAGGTCTTGTGAGGGGTTCCTTTAGTTTAGGATCGTGATATCTAATAGTGCCTTCTGCCTTTCCCGCTGTTTTGTGTCTGCCTGTCGTTTGAGGGTTGCCGCTCTTTGGATCAGGAGTCCCCGTGCTACTGATTTGTGTGCTTGCCAAATCGTGTTGTGGGATGTGTTGTGGGCTATCGTATTTTCTGCAAAATAGTGCCGTAGTGCTTGTTCTAATGTTTTACAGAAGTTGGGGTCCCTGAGGAGAGAGGCATTAAGTCTCCAGGGGCTCCTGTGTGTGGAGTCGTATAGGTCGATTAAAGTCACTACTACAGGTGCATGGTCTGACCATGTGAACTGTTTGATGTTTATTTGGTCTAAGTGTTGTCCCTTTACTAATATGCCGTCAATCCTGGGGTACGTATTATGTACCGTGGAGAAGAACGTGTAGCCCCTTTCCCCGATGTGTGTCGCCCGCCACACGTCGTAATAGTGGTGTGTGTTGAGTAGTTTCTGTACTGCTTTGCATTGTCGTTTGAGCGGTCGCATTCTGGGTGCTGATGGCGACACCGTGGAGTCTACCATGGGGTCCATTACGTGGTTGAAGTCCCCACATATTATACTAATCCCCTTTTGTGTTGTTTCCAGTTTCTTGATTATTTTATGGAGGAAATGTTTTTGTCCTTTGTTTGGGGCATAGATGTTTATGATCGTGTATGTGATGTCATTGAAGTCGCCCACCACCATGACATATCTCCCTCCCTCGTCCACTTCCAGGTGTGAGAGGGTGAATGCTACATCCTTGCTAATAAGGATGGAGGCTCCCTTTGACTTGTTTGAATATGTAGCGTGGAACTGGTGCGGGAAGTCTTGCACGAACAGTGGGGAGTGTGAGTTTGTTTTAAAGTGAGTTTCTTTTAAGCACACTACGTCCGGGTTGTTTTGTTTCAAATCCCGGCGTAGTAAGCTGCGTTTAGCAGGGCTATTTAGGCCTTTGGTGTTGTGGATGTATATTTTCATGGGGGTTTAAAAATTTGTACCCGCTTTTCCTGATAGGTTTCGGTGTCTATGTGTGGGGTTGCCGCCTCACCCAGCCATTTCGAACCAGGCGACTCCCCCTTGTGAAGCTGATGTGTTGTGCCCCCATGGGGGGTTCTTTCCCTAGGTAAAGTGGTGAGATGGTGGTCATTGTGTTGTGCTTTCTCTGGCTGACAAACGGGGTAGTAACATAACAGAACTAAAACTATAAAAGCTGCCTTATACTTGGCTTGGCGCCTAACTAAGGTGCCCTGGGGGAAGAAGCATAGTGCTTCCATTCCTGTGTGAAGCCTTTTGCGGCCTAACTGCCATTTTATAAGCTAGTCAACCTTGCTGTTAGTGGCCCGATTGGTGCTATGGGGCTGGTAGCAAACCCTAAACTCTAGGGTGTCTGTCTATTCCCTTTGTGTTCCCAGTGCCACTGAGTTCACCGCCCCCCCCCCCCTGCTTTTGTATTTTCACAAGTGTCTCTTGTGCAGTACATAGTCCCAAAGTCTCTCAATTTTACTTGCCACGTTCTGCGATGCTTGCTCCGTCTACCTGCGTCTGGGCACCTTCTGCCACGTGGATGTGACCCCGCTGCGGTCCGTCGCGGTGGCTGGGGCGGGTGGTGGCGGTATTCCCCAATCCTGAAGTGCTTTCAGGCCAGCTTCGGGGGTGTGGATGGCCGTTATTGTGCCTTCATGGGGGATGAGCAGCTTTACCGGAAATCCCCATCGGTTTGGCTTCTTATGTTGCCGCAGTTTCTCTGTGATAGCCGCAAAGGTCTTCCTCTTTTTCAGTGTTGCGGCTGAGATGTCTGCATAAATGGTTGTTCTCTGGTGTGGCTCTGGGAGGGATTGGCGTTGTCTGCTTGCTCTCATAATGTCCTCCTTAACGTGGAAGTAATGCAAGCGCACTAGCATATCTCTTGGCGCATCCGTGGTTAAGAATCTAGGCTTTGGAACTCGATGGTATCTATCCAGCAGGAGTAGGTCTTGAGGTAAATCCGGTGCTAGGACTTTAAACAGGGAGAAGACATCCGCCGCTTCGCTGCCATGGAACGAGATCTAGAGATGGACTATGTGGAACAACTGAACTCATGTCAGCTGCAGAGCATGGACGCAGAACAGGAAAACTGTGTGGCGGACCCAGACCTGCCAACCTACAGCTGGGAAAACGCAGCCAAGGTCCCCACTGCTTCACTACCAGTTGCAGAAGTAGGGGACCTCATAGACTGGTCCTGGGAAGACCCACCGATGGCAGGTAGAGATGGGACGGCTGTCTCTCTACCGGCCCTACAGGGATGCTGGGCAGTCGGCCCAGATCCCCAGCGGCAGGGTGAAGTGCAGGGAGTGGAGAACCTCGTCTCCCCTCCCCAGCGGCAGTGTGTACCCCAGGGAGCAGAAGGTGCTGTCCTTCCTCCCCAGCGACAGTGTGTGTTACAGGGAGCCAAAGGTGTCATCCTTCCTCCCCAGCGGCAGTGTGTGTCCCAGGGAGCAGAAGGTGCCGTCCTCCCTCCCCAGCGACAGTGTGTATCCCAGGGAGCAGAAGGTGCCGTCCTTCCTCCCCAGCGGCAGTGTGTACCCCAGGGAGCTGAAGGTGTAGTTTTGTGCGCTCAGATCCCAGCTATCTGGGGATATGTGAAATGTCTGTGTCTTATGTGTAAAAGGTGACTTTATGTATTTTAAAGTGTTTTGTGTCTTTTTGCAACCATGTGCTTAATGGAGTCTTGTGTCTGTCCTGGGAGATAATTGAATTACTCTCCTCCAGGATAGAAGACTCTGAAACTGGTTTGGGCCGGAAAGCCATGCTTCATTTAGTCACAAAGGACTTTCCCTTAACCTTTGAACCCCTGGTCTGATTCGTGCCATTTTTTTTTTTTGCAATTTACATTTTTTCTTTATTTTCCAAATTATTTCCAGTAAGGAAAAGTAAACAAAAACAAGGGGATTCAGAAAGAAGAAAAAGGGTTGGAAGTACAATCAGTAGTGTTACATTGTTTTAATCATATACTTATCGTACAATGTTATGCAATACTCATGCTACATTCAAATAAAGTTTATAATATATAAGTCCTAACCACATTTATTTTATTTTCCCTGATGAATACTGGTGTGTCCACTATGAAACTCACCTCAGGGAAATTTAACCACTACAAAAAAAAAAAAAAAAAAAAAATTCTCTCCACTTCGATCTTCATATATTTAGGTTAAACTAACAATAGAAGCTTATAATTAATTTAGCTGCTTAGTATTGTCAAAATACATTAAATTAAATATTAAATTAAGTTAAATGTCCTACTTATTGTATGTGTCTTAAATTATGTTCAAGCCCGACCTGAATAAGTAAAAAGACTCATTTTAACTCCTCATAAACACTCAGCGTATGTAATATACCACAACTCCCTTATATTACAGTAGCTTAATCCTGAAGGACTGAGCCAAAATTTTTAATCGTTTTTTTTTTTTTTTTCATTTATTTCTACTGGGTTATATTCTGAGTTATATTCCTGATAGTAACCATAAAAAGAATAAGTTTAATTTATCATATCTTATACTAAATATATACTCCACATATCTATTAAACTTATTTCGTTGTTATCTTTGTATATAAGTTTTCCAACAACTAGCTACTTTTAAACTTAGTAAAAACAAAGAAAACGTTACCTGCGCTCTGGCCTAAATCCCCATGTGCGTTTAAACAGAAATGGAGGCTCTTTGGTTTTATTCTAATGGCCATTTGAATATGTAAGCTCACCTGCCACGTCAAGGCAAGCCTCAATAGGTGAGTTCCTACACTAGCCATTAGATATGCCGATATCAGCCATGAGTCTCCAATGAGACAGGAAGGGGTATTTTATAAACCCTTTAACATTTAACCCTTTATAGGGCTTCTGCACATACAATAAACTTTGCTGATATCAGACAAAGTGAGACAGAAAGGGGTGTTTTATAAACCCTTTAACATTTAACCCTTTATAGGGCTTCTACACATTCAATAAACTTTGCTGGTATCAGACAAAGTATAGACGTCTCTAATGAGACATGAAAGGGTGTTTTATAAACCCCTACATACTTTACCCTAAATAGGGCTATAACGTACAAATCACCTTGCTGGTATCAGCTAAAAGGCAAATTTCTCTGATGAGACAGGAAGGGGTGCTACCCCTACATACTTATAAAGTCTTAATAAGACAAACGTGGGAAGGCTGGCACCCAAAATTTTTAATCGTTGTTTTTTTTTTTTTAATTTATTTCTACTGGGTTATATTCTGAGTTATATTCCTGATAGTAACCATAAAAAGAATAAGTTTAATTTATCATATCTTATACTAAATATATACTCCACATATCTATTAAACTTATTTCGTTGTTATCTTTGTATATAAGTTTTCCAACAACTAGCTACTTTTAAACTTAGCTTCCCAATTTTAGTCTGATCCCACATGATGAGCTCATAATCTATAGTCAGGGACATTAATGTTTTGATTTCATCTATTGTGGGTAAGCTTGTAGTCTTCCAGTTTCTCGCTATAAGGGTTGACACTATAGATAATAATAAAAAGATTAGTTTACGCGTAGATTTAGGAATATGGTCCGGAAAAGCTTTGAGAAGTAGCATTTTCGGTGTGTGGTCTGGCTTATAAGATGTCACCTCTTGGATCATTATTTCAACCTCTCTCCATAAGCTATTAACTCTTTCACATGTCCACCATATATGGAACATAGTTCATTTATGAGAGTGGCATCTCCAACATATGTCTTGTGCATCAGAATACATTGCATGAATGCGAGTGGGTACCATATACCATCTATATAGGATTTTCCGTGCTAGTTCAAAGTGTCCTATACATGAGGACATTCCCAAATGTGCCGTAAAAATGTTGTTCCATTCATCTTCTGATACAATTTCTTGAATATCAATTTGCCAATCTATCATAAATTTTGGTATTACTGTTTCTCTAGAATTTTTTTAAATATTATAACAAAGTGATAATACTTTCCTAGGTGGAGTTAATGCTATGCACATCTCTTCAAATTTCGTGACTAACTTTCGGGTTGTTCGATGTTCTACATATAGATTATTATTGGCCAAAAGAGCTTTAATCTGCCAATATGCAAATTTAGATTGTGGCGGAAGTGTAAATTCTGATTGGAGAGTTGGAAAAGACTTTAACCCCTCTATAGTATAAAGTTTAAAAATGTGTGTGATTCCTTTTCTATGCCACTGTAAATAAGGAAATGTTTCATTACAACTATATAAACTTCTTATGGGGGTTGCCAATGACCATGGATACCCTGAACATAAACTTCCTCTATTACTATCCCAGATTTTAAATAGAAGTCTTGTCGGATGTAATATGTCAGAGGTTACTTTCCGTTTTTGTGGAGGAAGCCATATTAAAGAATAAAAATCTTGTGTTCCACAACAGTATGCTTCTATTGCTACCCATTGCGGAGTATATCTTTGTGGGTTAATAGAGGCTATATTGTTTAAGATTGCAGCAAAATAGTATATTTTCAAATTTGGAAACCCCATACCCCCACTTTTTACTTGTCTCATTATTAAACCTTTTGGAACTCGGGGATGCTTCCCACCCCAACTAAAACGTAGCAATATAGCTTGTAAAGATGTAATAAATGTTTGTGGAACCTTAATCTGTAATGATCTGAATAGGTAAAGTATTTTTGGTAAAATTTGCATCTTAATTGCTGATATTTTACCTATCCATGATAGTAATACGTTTCCCCAGGCTTTCAATTGGCTTTCCGTATCTCTAAATAGTTTTTTATAATTAGCTGAAAATAAGCCTTTTTCTTTTTTTAGTAAATCTAATTCCTAAATAAAGTAGATAATCTTCCCTCCAATCATAATGATAATCTAATTTAAGTCTATCTTCTTTAAATTTAGGAATATTAAGGCACATTGCTTGCGATTTACTTGTATTGAGCTTAAAGTACGAGTTTTGACTATATAAAAATAATTCTTTAAATTTGGTAAAGAGATATGTGGCTGAGTAATTGTTAACAAAATGTCGTCTGCATAAGCGTTAAGTTTATATTCACTCCGCCCTATTTGAACTCCCTGTATATCTTCATTTTGCCGTATTGCTGTAAGTAAAGGCTCTAAAGCAAGAACATAGAGCAACGGCGATAGAGGACAACCCTGACGTGTTCCATTAGTAATATTAAACGGTCTTGAACAAAATCCTGAAGTCAGTACTGTCGCTGTGGGATTACTGTAAAGAGCTTTAATGATTAAAAGAAAAGAGGGAGGAAATTTATATGCCTTCAAGGTTTCACATAAAAAGGTCCAATTCAAACGGTCAAAAGCTTTCAGCATCTAGAGATAATACAACGCTTTCCTGCTTAGATGATTTTACAAAATGATAAATATCTAATACCTTCCATGTATTATCTGACCCCTGTCTGCCTGACACAAATCCCACTTGATCTGTATGAATTAAAGTAGGTAAAATAAACTTTAATCTTTCCGCATATATTTTAGCATATATTTTGGCGTCTATATTCAATAATGAAATTGGTCTAAAATTTTGACAAGCCGTGGGGGGTTTCCCTAATTTCGGAATGGTAATTATTTGTGCCGCTAAAAATTATGTAGGGAATTCCCCTGCCTGAGTGCCTTCATTAAAAAAATGGGTCAATGGGTCGGCCAGGGATTCCTTAAACAGGGTATAATACAGGTCGGAAAAGCCATCAGGTCCTGGTGCTTTCCCTTTGGTCATACTCTTTATTTGTTGAATTACTTCTTCCCTTGTAAGATCCTTTAAAGTAGATAAGTTTAATTTATCCAGATATTGACCTATTCCTCTAGAAGTTGGTTATGGAAGATTTTTTTTGATCTTTTAAGTTATACAATAACCCATAAAAGGCTGCAAATTCCTCACAAACCAGCTTTGGTTGAATAATTTTTTGTCCTGTCTTAGGAAGTATAAATGGAATTCTAGATTGAGTTTGTTTATCGCGGAGTCTCTGTGCAAGTACTCTAGTGGCTTTATTACCCATATAGTATGATGTCGCCTTTAGTTTTTTCAAAGCGATGTTAGTTTGTCGTTGATGGATTTCATTAATATCATATTGTATTTGTTGAATGCTGTCTTGTAAAGACGCGGATGGCCTTGCCTGATTCTGTTTATGGAGATGGAGTTTCTTTAGGAGATTCAACCTGACTGTTTGATTAGACTTTTTAAGATATGAAGCTCTGCTGATAAATAGACCTCTTATTACAGGTTTATGCACCAGCCATAATGTTATGGGGTTTATATCTCCGCAGTTATTTGTATCAAAATATTGGCATATTTCTTGTTGAATTTTATCTAAGAATATAGGGTCATTTAATAACTGATCAATATTGGCATATTTCTTGTTGAATTTTATCTAAGAATATAGGGTCATTTAATAACTGATCGTTTAGTCTCCATTTGCTTCTATTTGTGTAATTATATTGATTCTTTAGGCTAAGTATAACTGGGTTATGATCTGATTCTATCGATACTCCAATCTCGCAAGATTCAACTTGTGTTAAATGCGAGCTATGCATATAAAAACCATCTATACGTGAATATGTGTTATGAACTGAGGAAAAAAGCGTATATTCTCTAGTATTAGGGTGAAATGTTCTCCAAATATCATAAAGTCCGTAACCTGTTAGAATTTTATTAAGAATATTGCATTCCTTATGTAAAGATGACTTTCTTTTCCTTGAATGATTTGCTGTTGAATCCATATTAGGATCTAAAATATGATTAAAGTCTCCCATAATAATCGTAATGCCAGTTTGCATTTCAGTTACTTTATTCATAAGTGAGCGCATAAATTTGTTTTGGTTCACATTAGGAAAGTAAGCATTCACTATAGTGTATATGATATTATTTATTGTACAGACTAAAATAATAAATCTGCCTTCTGGATCTGTATATGTTGCTATCTGTTCAAAAGATAATCGATAACTGAATAAAATTGATACACCTTTAGTTTTCTTAGGGGATGTTGCATGGTATTGAAATGGAAACTTCTTCAGGTTTAATAATCGTTTAGAGTTGTGTTTAAAATGAGTCTCTTGTAAACAAATTATGTCGGCTTGTGATTTCCGAATCTCTTTAAGAATCATAAATCTTTTATGAGGTACATTAAGTCCTCTAACATTATGAGAATAAATTTTCATTTTCCCTTTTTCTCTCTTTTTCCTTTCCCTTTCTTTTTAAACCCGTGGGTTATAATTGAGACCTATGAAATGGAAAGACCGGAGAAGAGAGAGAAAAAAAAAAAAAGGACCCCACAGAAAATAGAAAGAAAAGCAAGAAACACAAAATAAATAAAGGGAGGGAAAAAATTCAGAAGTTAGTCTGTACAGCGCTGTGCCGGGCCGCACAGAACACTATACAGTACAACCTGAATATGACTTATGGATAGACTAAGTCTAAACAACAGGGTGATACTTAAATAAGTGTCAGAGTATCCAAATGACACTTCTTGGGTGTGGGGTAATGCGAACGGTTAGAGCTATAGTGGCAGCCACGCTGAGCTCTTCTATGCTTAACTGTCCCAAAATTTAGATTATATGTTTCCAAAAGTAGTATTAAAGAGAAAAAAAAAAAATATATAATAAATATTCAATTCTAAGATTTGCTCTCAAACAAAGACACCAATATTCACTAACAAATACTCCACTACTATATATAAGACCGTCCATTAAATAATATAATGCAGAGATAATTCTTATACCATAGCACTACTTCGTAAGAATAGGATTTAAGCTTACATAGTCCTTGCTTTAAACTTATGTTTCTATCTGCTTCTCTATTCTTTAGCTTAAAAATATAAGCCTATATATCTTCATTTATAATAATAGCGTATTGCTTAATAGCTTAATATTAATCAACATTAGTGGTATAGGTCAGCATTGCATACTACTTTTCCATCAAACGTTTTATCAACGCAACAAATTATTTAGGTAGCACCTCAGTTTACTACTTATATTAAAATATATCTAAACCGTATTGTTATATCTTTATGAATTCTAGTATCTGTTAGTTGGTATAAACAATTATTAATATTCAGTCTCCACCCATATATGTATAATAAGGTATAATTTATAAAAAGTATGCACCTTAATAACAGCTACGCAGATTACCTCAGATCTATCTTACCTACGCTTCCCCATCCATTTCTCTTCCTATTATTAAATAATAAGGCCTATGCAGATAAATAAATATCAAGTTACCATGAGCAGGACTAAGCTGGTTATACGTGTGTCTTAATAAATATTAAATAGTGTCTCTCCCGGGTGAATTAACACTCATTAATCATTAATCCCTGTGTCCTTGTAATCCTTATTTAGTGTGTTTAATCCTTCGCTAATATATCTGTTTAGCATCTATAGATTATATTATTAACATTCATTATATTAGCATGTAACTTCATAGATTTGATATTGATCCACAAGTTCAATCTGTTCCATTATCAATTAATATTTTAGTATACCAGCTTAAAGGAAAAAAAAAAAAAAAAAGGGGAGGGGTGTTGTGGTCGTGACCTAAATATGAATATTAATCTCTTAATACATAATAATTAAGCAATACGGAACAACATTAATATTTTTATAATTCATGGTATTATGGTCGAATATGTGGATAGAAAATACACAAAACGTTGTAATATTAAATGTATATTTAATATAACTATAATAACATAAACAGATGCTAGCAGAATGTCAATTTACTACAATAATGATACAATACAAAACTACAACATATTACTTACAAAAGGCCCCAGCCAAATGGCTGGGGTTAAGTCAGAGCTGGTACTACATCTTAGGTTCAGTCAGGTACAGGCAAAGAGAGAGTTTTCTCCTACATCTGGTTTTTATTCAGTGTAAGTAGGCTGGCCTGTGATGTCACTGCCAGAAGCACATGTCTTCCTACACACTCCCCCTAGTGGTGCCCCCAAAGCATTACACTAAATATGCTTTACTGACATCTAGTGGTGCGTCTAAAGCATTAAGCTCATTATGCTTTTTTTATGACAAAAAGTCATTAATTAATAAATACCATTACAAACCACCCTTTGACTTATGTCATAAAACAAACATTATAAACCGTACATCTTGAATCTACCCTATTTTAACAGTACCTGCCCTACAACAAAACCCACCTTTTGAAGAACGATACCCATTTACCCATTAATTATTACCCATTAACATTTTATTGCTTATATAAATGTTCACCATTGAGCACATGCATTACCAGTTGGGAAATAGGCACATACCCACCCTTATAATAATGAACAACTCAAACCATGTTTTATTAGATTAACCAATGATATTGTGTTCATGTGAGGATGTGTTTTGGAGCTTAATATAGTATTAGACACCACAAACTCATAACACCTATGAATCATGGCACAGACCGACTCGATTTCTGTAGCCTCTGGCTGGTCTGTATGCCTGGAATTTTCACAAACATTAGTCCTGGAAACTGGATACTCTATTCTTCGACAGTCTCATAGAACATACGCATGGAGACAGGGATGAATGAAACAGTTCATGTGATCAAGGACTTTTGTGTGTTTGTGGTCACATTGTTTTGTTTTTTCTTTCTTTATACCATTAACCACCTTGACATAACAGTTTCCTGCTCCTGATGCATTTTGTTCCGACTCTCACCACTCTTAGCTGCAATATTTTTTCTCCTTACAGCAACAGTTGAGCATAGTGTCCAGTGCTGCTTCTTCTTCTGCTTAAAATATCCTTGCTTGAAAGTTCTTGAATGAAAACACAGGCAATGACGAACACAAACATAAATAATAACTGTGCCAATCATCACAAGTACCATTTGATTGTGGTGTCTTAACCATATTTTTTCCTATGGCATTTGGATAAATACCTACACACCTCTCTTCACATCCAGCACACTCCTGATTCACAGATAAACACAATATCACTGCTGTATCTACCAATTTAACCCAAACACTCGTTATTACTGCTGCATTTACCAATTTAATCTAAACACTCGTTATCACTGCTGTATTTAACCAATTTAATCTAAACATTAACCAAAACAATTACATTCCTATTTACCACCCTTCTATTTAAACATGTATAGATAACCCAAAATGCCTACTTTCTCTTATCCCTCTTATCATTCTTCTGTTTTTTTTTAACTGCAACCACTCATGCACTTTACACAGACACAAATCAAGCACCTACTGGACAATGGGGTTCCCTCGTTAGAGCCCTCCCACCCCAGTTTGGTTTACACAAAAATACCCCCTGGTCCCTATGGGTCAATTCCCCCCTTTCCCAGGCAAGCATACATACATACATACAACAATAATACATAAGGGTTTCAATTGCAATACAATCACTAGAAATAAGAGAATAGTATGCACAAAATCATAGCATAGACATGTTAAATAGACAATAAAATAAAACATTCAATAGCTCATCAAAGGTCAACATTTAAACACTGGTCTCCATCTGATATTCTATCTGTGTTCCAATGTCCACCTCTGGTTTCTGCTACATCTGAAAAGGTTAGGAAACAGATCAGGATTACTTTCCTAGTCACTTATAGCGTATACTGCAAATATTTTACTTAGAATATATATATATATATATATATATATATATATATATACACACACAGACATGTAAACACATTCCTTCAGCTTTTCATTTTATAAACAATTTGTTCAACAAGGTAACTTTCTTAATTTTCTACTCGGCTCTTAAAATAAACAATCAGCTAATAGCTGCTTTCAGCATCTTCCTTGCAATTCAGGAGTACACAACACTAAAAGTCCAATACTCAGTACCCCCTAGCCTAAATTCCCCACCCGCTACTGTAACTATGTTTACAGCCCATGTTATGGCAGTTCACCCGCTAGGCAGATATGCTCAGTACCCCCTAGTTTAAGTTCCCCACCCGCTACTGTAACTAAGTTTACAGCCCACGTTATGGCAGTTCACCCGCTAGGCAGATATGCTCAGTACCCCCTAGCCTAAGTTCCCTACTGTAACTAAGTTTACAGCCCACGTTATGGCAGTTCACCCGCTAGGCAGATACACAATACACCCACGTATTACTTATTTTATATTTCCTGGTCTCTCAGGGATATACAATAGCTAATCCCCTTCCCAGGGCAATATAAAACTGACACAAACTTTTAAGCAATACAGGATTTCAAATGGACTTATGAGTAACACATTTCTAGCCAACTTAAACATGTTTAATAACTTTCCACCCTTTGGTTAAATTATAGAGGAGTGAACCACAACACCTCTTCCGCCTCTGAAAGGATATAGGTCAATATGTCTCAAAGTTCAACACTTCTGACAGCTATGAGTGACTCCCTATTAATTTCTAGCCTTTCCACGGACATGCTTGCACCTCGCGGCTAAGGGCCTGCACAACTAACCACCCTGTGATGGCAGTGGCTTTCCGCATGGGGGTGACCGCCCCCGCAAAATTATAGAGGAGCAAACATACAGCAGCCTCTTTTCCGGCTCGATTAAAGGTTCTGGGCCAATATGTCTGCAATTTAACCAGTACACTCACGTATCTCTTATTGTATATTTCCTGGTCTCTCAGGAATTTCTATTAGATAGCGTATCCCCTTCCCAGGGCAATATACAACAAAAACTAGTCACCAAGGGTCTCTATGGTCATGATAGGCCACCCTACCACTAGTGTAATACGCCCTTTTTTTAAATATATTTCCTGGTCTCTCAGAGATTTTGCCTATCCCTTTCCCAGAGCAATATATATAAACAATTACAAATAAGTTACAAAACGCTACTTATAAGTAATACAGGGTTTCAAATAATAATACAGGATAGAACTGCACAACAACTATTGGGTATGCTCCCCCTTATCCGGACACGTTTAAATACCCCCTAGCTCAGGTTCCCCACCCGCTACTGTAACTAAAATCACAGCCCACGTTATGGAGGTTCACCCGCTAGGCAGATACACCCTAATTCAAAGCATGGAAATATTAAAATCAGTTATAGATGGCTTCTAAAATAATATAAATCTTAATCTGAGCCCCTACACTTACTTTGTTAAAAATGCTAACTTGTTAAAATATTCAGACTAAATAGGACAAAGGAATTATTTTACCATTTTTTCAGTTCATTTGTTACCAGTTCCTGCATATGTCCAGTAATTCCTTAGTCCTGAATAATAAAGCTGAAAAACACTCCACAAATTGATTAGTTTAGGCAATTACATTTACAAAACAATGCAGTTTATTTTTTCTCATACAGCAAGACTACCCACCCCCAACAAGGACAAATTCTCCCCCAGCTGCAGCTGAAAAGCATGGTCACACAGCTGTTAAAAAGGTGGTCTCTCCTTCATGAGTCAAAATCATATATATATTTATACTAATATTCTGTGTATACGCACACATTAATCTATTATTCACTGAATCTGCTTTACTAAACGTATCTTTTTCTTAACTACTAATTTACTAGACAAATCCATGAATGCCAAACAAATGTAAATTAGTACACAAACAGGGTCAAATTTAGCAATAAAACCTGGTGAACTAGTTTAGTGAAAAGTCTTTTCCTATGCAAATGGTAGCAAACAATGAAACTAGGCCTCAACTCATTCACACCATGTGGTCAATGGTGGATTAAAATCCACATGGTCAGACAAAAGGTAAAGTATATATAAGTTTTCTCCTATATACAAATGACCAAGGATTGGTAACAAGCAACACAATAATTCATCACTATGTTCTACAGCAAGAGATACATTAAAAACAAATATCTAATCCCTATTTGCTATCTGCATTCATTCCATTAAAACCAAATCATCATTCATTTATTCATTTTATACAGACAGACAATTTACTGTATTATTTAAGCAAAATGCATAACATTTATATTTTCCCCAATATTCAAGCATAATCCTGCCGACTACGCCAAATGTTGTGGTCGTGACCTAAATATGAATATTAATCTCTTAATACATAATAATTAAGCAATACGGAACAACATTAATATTTTTATAATTCATGGTATTATGGTCGAATATGTGGATAGAAAATACACAAAACGTTGTAATATTAAATGTATATTTAATATAACTATAATAAATAAACAGATGCTAGCGGAATGTCAATTTCAATAATTATACAATACAATACTACACAAAACACTATTGGTTGCTAAATATTATACAAAAGGCTATTACAATTGCTAACTGTTACAATACAAACATATCACTTACAAGGCCCCAGCCAAATGGCTGGGGCTAAGTCAGAGCTGGTACTACATGATCAGTCAGGTACAGGCAAAGAGAGAGCTTGCTTCTCCTAACATCTGGTTTTTATTCAGTGTAAGTAGGCTGGCCTGTGATGTCACTGCCAGAAGCACAGGTCTTCCTACACACTCCCCCTAGTGGTGCCCCCAAAGCATTACACTAAATATGCTTTACTGACATCTAGTGGTGCGTCTAAAGCATTAAGCTCATTATGCTTTTTTTTTTATGACAAAAAGTCATTAATTAATAAATACCATTACAAGGGGAAACCCAATAGCAATAACATATAGTTAATATCTCTTATGCTGTGTTTATGTCTTAGTAAATAATCTCTTAACTCCTTCACTGATATATATATTTAGCGTATGTAGATTAGTCCATTTTGGTATCAATCATTATATTAACATGTTAGTTCATAAATTTAGTATTAGTCCACATGTTCAATCTATTCTATTTCCAATTAATTTATTAGTATACCAGCATAGGTTAGATAATATATAAACAAGATATAAAAGATAGCAATAATAACAGTGATAATATCATATCGTTAATTCATATTGGGGTATATTTGTCTAGTTGAATAATTAATATTGCTAATATCCTTTATTATCCTTTGCTGCCACATCTCGTTGCTCATTATTATTACTGCTTTAGTAATATAAGATTGCGTATCTTCATTCTGAAGCAATTAATAATTAATAATTGATAATTGGAACTATAATAACTATAATAAGTTATCTAGTCTGATCAGAACAACTAACACCATTAAATAACCTATTAAAGGTTACCAACTTACACATATAATTGACATTGCATAATTTTAGTAAATAATAAAATAAATAAGTAACTTGCGGTCTTATAGTTCACTTTTCAGGTTGCTCCTTAATCCTGGATTACAAAAAAAAAAAAAAAATGTAACTCATTTCGAATCTAAATTCAATTTTAAGTTCCTTATAAATCCAAGTTCTTTTGGTTCTTTTTAGTTCTGAGTACCCGGCCTTCTTCTCGTAGATTCCTGCTATGATCTTTATCTTTATCTTGTTCATGTAGTAGATGTATCTTCCATCTCTGTAGCAGCTCCTCACCTTCTGCAGGAGAGGTCAGTGTTATTTTACCCTCTTCTTTAAGAATGATAAGCTTAACTGGATATCCCCAGCGATAAGGTATGTTGTTACTTCTAAGAGATTCTGTAATAACCTTGTAGGTCCGTCTACGTCTCATGGTCTCTGCTGATAGATCTGAAAACAGAGATATTCCTCTAAATCTCTCCGGTATATCTTTTTTATTTCTGTGAGCTCTTAAAATCAGCTCTTTAGTGTTAAAAAAGTGAATCTTTACGAGGACATCTCTTGGTGTGGTGGAGGAAAGATGTTGTGGTTTTGGTACTCTATGCACACGATCTAATACTAGCTTTTCGATTGGAGTATCTGGTAGTAGAATTTGAAAGAACTCTGTAACATAAGTTGTTAAGCTTTGTGCACTTACTTCTTCCAGTATACCTCTTAATCGAACATGATTTCGTCTTGACCTGTCTTCCAGGTTCATAATTTTAAGTTCTTGGGAGGCTATTCGCTCCTCTAATCGCACAAAACGTTTTCCAGTCTCAGTACATGAGTTCCGTAAATCAGTCTCCACATTATGTGTGCGTGCAGCTAACTCTGTCAGATCTCCCTTAACCTCAGAGATAGCATCTATGAACGAAGACTGCATTCTAATAACAACGTTATCAAGCATAATTTGCAATACCTGCTGTGTAAGTGGAGCCTCCAAACTTATATTTTCATTTGGCTGTTCCATTAATTGCTCCATATCTGAGAGCTCAGCCTGATCTTGGGGCATGTATTCAGCTTGCTTTATGGATTTAGCCGCGAAAAAAGCTGACCTGTCTCTCATATCAGCGGGCTTCTTAGTTCGCTGAGCCACCATAGTGACCAGGCAGACCAGATAGGTCGAGCGAGATGACTAAGCCGAAAGAGCTGGATAAGCTGGATAAGCTGGGAAAGCTGGGTAGCCGGCTGGCTGTATCCTCAGAGGTATCCTCAGAGGTGGCCCGGGTAAACCGATAAACCGGGTCAGTCAGTGAGTCAAGTCGGTCAGCAGGGCTACACCGGGGCCGCCACAGGATTCCAATTCCAGCAAGGTTACAAACAGGGACTTATTTTCCCTTAGTCGTTGTGTGAGCCCGAGCCGCCCGAACTCGCTTAGCTAGCCGCCACTCCGCTCAACATCCGGTCACGCCCCCTCGTGCCATTTTTTAATATGTTGTTCCCCTGAATGGATTGATTATGAAAATGTATGTTTTATGTTTGTGACATGTATATTTTAGAAGTTATAAATATTGTGTAAAAACTGTATTCCTCTGCCGGTGATAATGAGATTACCCATTGTGTTCAGTAATCATATCACCTGCAGAGGGGAGGATTTTGTGTGGGAGTGTCTGGGTGTATTGTACGGATTGATTGGCTGTTTTGTAACGCCCTGTGGGCTGTACTATGTTTGTGGATTGGGAATAAAAGAGACTGTATGTGACAGTACAGGGAGTTCCTGTTTTAACCCTCAAAGTGAAGTGTCGTCTCATTATTTGGGGAAGGATTTATTGTATGCTGTTCCAGTTTGACTGCTAGGAGAGTAAACTTATTCGTATGGTTCCTATTCAACTGTCTACAGCATTCATATGCTTGAGAGAAGGTATACGCTTCTCCAGTTCGGTGGTTGTGGTGTCTGCTGCAGTGCTTGGAGTCCTCAGGAAGCGCTAGGAGCATCCTTCAACGGAGGTACCCAGTCGGGGTGCCAGGTGATCCGTTACATTAATATTTTGTAAAAACTGTATTTCTCTGCCTGTGATAATTGTTTTACCCATTGTGTTCAGTGATCATATCACAGGCATAGGGGAGGATTTTGTATGGGAGTGTCTGTGTGTATTGTACGGATTGATTGGTTGTATTTCAAAACCCCGTGGGCAGTACTAGGTTTGTGGATTGGGAATAAAAGAGGCTGTATGTGCCAGTACAGTCAGCTCTACTTCACCCTCAATTTGGAGTGCCGTCTCTTAATGGGGGAATCTGCTACAAGGGATTGCTATGCTCTGCATACTCCCTTACTATATTCACTGCTAAGCTATTGTAAAAGCTTGTTCCTGCCTTGCTCTCTGGAGGAGTCTATGGTGGTTATGGTGTTGGCTGGAGTGCTTGGAGCCCTCAGGAAGCGCTAGGAGCATCCATCAACGGAGGTACCCAGTCGGGGTGCCAGGTGATCCCTTACACTATTATTGTGGCAAGTTCCGTGAAATTTGAATTTATATATATCGATCTGCAGATACCAAAGCTAGATTTTTAATTATGGTTTGTAAACTAAATGAAATTAAATATACGTTGGTTAATATATATCTGCCGAACACCCTCCCAGTGATTACTCTTAGAGACATACTAGAACAAGTTGAATCTATAAAAACTGGAGTGTGTATTATAGCAGGAGATTTTAACTGCGTTTTGGATCCAATCTTGGATAAGAAGTTTAGTAATAATTTAAAAGCCAATAGTTCTGTTGTAAAAATGGCCAAATCTTTAAACAAGTTACTGAATGAATTAGATTTTTTTTGACCTATGGAGATCTTCCAACCCGGAGAGACAGGATTATACTTTTTTTTTCTAGAGTACACTACTCATACTCGCGTATTGACATGGTGTGGGGCTACGCAATAGCTTTAGAAATGGTAGAGAAGATTGAAATCCGGTATAATACCTGGTCAGACCACAGTATTAATATCTGGACTATGAGAGACCAGTGGAATACTATAAACAAAGCTACATGGAGATTAAAAGATTATCTACTCCATAATAAAACAAATCTAGATTATTTTAGATCCCAGATAGTACGCTATTTTGAAATTAACATGCCCAACTAAACATCATATTCTAACAACTGGTGTTCTTTTAAAGCTACCATGAGAGGCAACCTAATAAGCTCAGAAGCACACTCAAATAGGAACAAAAGTCTGGACTTATTCCCTCTTTATAATAATCTAGCCGAAAAAGTGAAAAGGAATAAGATGAATCCCTCGAGTTAATTCAGAAGCGATTAAAATGATTAAAGATCAAATTAATCAAATTAACATAGAAAAGAATGCTTACAGTTTTGGACAAATTAAGTTGAAAGAATACAGTATAGGGAATAGAACAGACAAACTTCTAACTAAGATGCTCCGAGATAAAAGGGTCTCAAGTAGAATAACAAAAATAAAGATGACTAGTCAGATCCATATTTATCCCACGTCTATTGGGAAATGTTTTAATACATATTACAGGGAGTGCAGAATTATTAGGCAAGTTGTATTTTTGAGGATTAATTTTATTATTGAACAACAACCATGTTCTCAATGAACCCAAAAAACTCATTAATATCAAAGCTGAATATTTTTGGAAGTAGTTTTTAGTTTGTTTTTAGTTTTAGCTATGTTAGGGGGATATCTGTGTGTGCAGGTGACTATTACTGTGCATAATTATTAGGCAACTTAACAAAAAACAAATATATACCCATTTCAATTATTTATTATTACCAGTGAAACCAATATAACATCTCAACATTCACAAATATACATTTCTGACATTCAAAAACAAAACAAAAACAAATCAGTGACCAATATAGCCACCTTTCTTTGCAAGGACACTCAAAAGCCTGCCATCCATGGATTCTGTCAGTGTTTTGATCTGTTCACCATCAACATTGCGTGCAGCAGCAACCACAGCCTCCCAGACACTGTTCAGAGAGGTGTACTGTTTTCCCTCCTTGTAAATCTCACATTTGATGATGGACCACAGGTTCTCAATGGGGTTCAGATCAGGTGAACAAGGAGGCCATGTCATTAGATTTTCTTCTTTTATACCCTTTCTTGCCAGCCACGCTGTGGAGTACTTGGACGCGTGTGATGGAGCATTGTCCTGCATGAAAATCATGTTTTTCTTGAAGGATGCAGACTTCTTCCTGTACCACTGCTTGAAGAAGGTGTCTTCCAGGAACTGGCAGTCGGACTGGGAGTTGAGCTTGACTCCATCCTCAACCCGAAAAGGCCCAACAAGCTCATCTTTGATGATACCAGCCCAAACCAGTACTCCACCTCCACCTTGCTGGCATCTGAGTCGGACTGGAGCTCTCTGCCCTTTACCAATCCAGCCACGGGCCCATCCATCTGGCCCATCAAGACTCACTCTCATTTCATCAGTCCATAAAACCTTAGAAAAATCAGTCTTGAGATATTTCTTGGCCCAGTCTTGACGTTTCAGCTTGTGTGTCTTGTTCAGTGGTGGTCGTCTTTCAGCCTTTCTTACCTTGGCCATGTCTCTGAGTATTGCACACCTTGTGCTTTTGGGCACTCCAGTGATGTTGCAGCTCTGAAATATGGCCAAACTGGTGGCAAGTGGCATCGTGGCAGCTGCACGCTTGACTTTTCTCAGTTCATGGGCAGTTATTTTGCGCCTTGGTTTTTCCACACGCTTCTTGCGACCCTGTTGACTATTTTGAATGAAACGCTTGATTGTTCGATGATCACGCTTCAGAAGCTTTGCAATTTTAAGAGTGCTGCATCCCTCTGCAAGATATCTCACTATTTTTGACTTTTCTGAGCCTGTCAAGTCCTTCTTTTGACCCATTTTGCCAAAGGAAAGGAAGTTGCCTAATAATTATGCACACCTGATATAGGGTGTTGATGTCATTAGACCACACCCCTTCTCATTACAGAGATGCACATCACCTAATATGCTTAATTGGTAGTAGGCTTTCGAGCCTATACAGCTTGGAGTAAGACAACATGCATAAAGAGGATGATGTGGTCAAAATACTCATTTGCCTAATAATTCTGCACTCCCTGTATAGCGACTTATATTCCCTCTCAACAAAAGAAAAATACATAGACAAATACCTGGAGGCTATTGACCTCCCGACAATAACAGACTCTCAAAGAACACTCCTTAATGCTCGGATAATGACCCAAGAGGTGGAGGAAGTTATTAAAAAAAAATTGGAGAATAATAAAACTCTGGGTCCTGATGGATTTTCAAATATATTTTATAAAGCCTTTGGCGATCTTCTCAAAAAACAATTAGCAGATTTATTTAACAATATAGTAGAAACCGGTCAATTCCTTAAAGAAATGCTAAGAGCAAATATAACACCAATATTGAAGCAGAATAAAGACCCAAGTCAGGTGGAAAGTTATAGACCTATTAACCTCATAAATTGTAGATTATGCTAGCTTTAGTGTACCTATAATCTTAATTTTATTAATGACAGGAGGCGAGTATTTGCTTAAGACTTTCTTTACTTAAGCTTCACAGCAGCACTTTTTTACTTAGTAACAAGGTAACCAATCAGAAAAAAGGAATAACAAGGTATATAAGTCCCTCCCAGTGATGTCATTTCCTCTTTCTGGCTGCGAACAAATAGGAACCGGAACTGAAGGAACCAGATGAGGGATTCAGGATGCCAGAGGAGAAGAGTGATGCTTGAGAGGGAAACAGGAACGTAGACTTGAGATCTTTAAGAGTAGAGGTGAAGCATGTGATGGAGCAGCAACTAGGCTTGACCTCTTAAGGGAGTTTTACGCTGAAATGAGAGAGCAGAGTCGAAACCAAGGATTAATCCATGAATTGGACTTTGAAATTATGATAACCAGTTGATATGAAACATATATTATAGCTCGCTAGAAAAGTTAATCTATACATCATAGAAAAATAACTCCTAGGCATAGTGTGTTCGTTCTTGTCTTAGAAACTTACCTACAGGGGCGTCCCTAGGGTGGGAAAAAACGAAAGTAAAAGTGGTGGGAAATACTCGCCTCCTGTCATTAATAAAATTAAGATTATAGGTACACTAAAGCTAGCATAATCTACAATTTTATAACATGACAGGAGGCTTCGTATTTGCTGTTTTAACGCTCCCCGAGAAGGGCCAAGGAAGCGTGCACAGCCGGACGAAAATAGAAGTTGCGGAACGTCTGTTCTCTGGACCAGTCTGCGGATTGAAGAATGTCTTGAAGCGAGGCTCCAGCGCTGAATACCCCCGATGCCGCCGCTCCTCTGATGGAGTGGGCTCCAAAGGAGGCTTTAATCCCGGCTAGGGAGAGCAACCACCTAACCCATCGGGGAAGGGTTGTGGTTGACACTGGATTATGTGGCCGGACGTATGAGACCAATAGTTGGCTGGAAGACGTTGGACGAAGAGAGGAGGTGAGTAACAAATAACGAGAAAGAAGAGATACCACACACAGTTTCGGGTGGTTAGGGAAGTAAGGGTAAAATATAGAAGAGGAGTTTGATTTTGTCCGTCTGGACACGGAAAAAGTGACACCCTCTGGGGAAAAGTTGATAGCGTCATGGTCAAATGCTCGAACATCCGACACTCGTCGGAAGGACACTAAGCAAAGTAATAGGGTGAATTTTGCCGAGAGTTGACAGAGGGATAGATCTTCGTTGTTCGGCCAAGTCTCGAGGAAACGAATCATGACATTAACGTCCCACAGATGGGAGTATTTCGATTTAGGGGGGGCGAGCCAGTTTGATGCCCCGCAATAGTCTACAAACCAGCTGGTCCTGGCCCACCGGAACTCCGTCTAGAGGAACATGGGCTGCTGAGATGGCTGAACGGGAAACGTTGATGGATCTGTAGGAACGGCCTAGATTGAATAGATGAGAGAGGAAATTCAAAATGAACTGTCTAGGGGCCGTAAGGGGATCGGTATTCCATTCCAGGCACCAATTGCACCAAGTGTTCCAGGAGGAAAGATAGCATCTTCTAGTTCCAGGGGCCCACGAATCCCAGAGGAGTTCCTTAGATCTCTGCGATAGTCCTCCGAAGTGCCAGGTTCCCCTGAAAGAGTCCAGGCTACAAGGTGGAGATGGCCTTGTGTTACCATTGGATGAGGGTTCCCTTGAGGGTCCTCTAGGAGATTGGGCCAGAAGGAGGGGATCTTGGCAGGAGAGGTCCAGAAGATCCGGAAACCAAGCTTGGCCCCGCCAGAGTGGGGTGAGTAGTACAAGTGTGATCTGTTGTCTGCGAATCTGAAGGAGAACTCTGGGAATCATCGCAAACGGAGGAAAAGCATAGGCTCCCGTCGTCGGCCAACTCTGAAGGAAGGCATCTACAGCTAAACATTCTGGGTCTGGAAGCCAGCTGAAAAACCGTGGGACTTGAAAATTCGTCCGGGAGTCGAATAGGTCTAGGGTAAACGGGCCCCTGAGTTTGGAGATGTGGAGGAAGATTGTTCTGTGTAGGCGCCAGTCTCTGCCGTCTCTCCAATGTCGGGAGAACCAATCCGCGGTGATGTTCGATTCCCCTGGGAGATATTCCGCTCGAAGTGTGATGTTGCGTTGGAAGCAAAACTCGTAGATGTCTTTTGTCACTTCGGAGAGGATGTGGGATCTGGCCCCGCCCAATTTGTTGATGTATTGGACAGCTGAGATATTGTCCATCCGAAGGAGAATACAGCAGTTTGAGAGATGATTGGTCAAACTGCGAATTGCGAACGAGCCTGCGATTAACTCAGACAATTGATGTGGAGAAAGTGTTCTGAGGTGGTCCATGGTCCTCCGGTGGAGATTGTATGACAGGTTGCACCCCAACCCTGGAGACTCGCATCTGATTCCACTACATAGTCCGGGGTAGGACCGAAAATTGCCTTGCCGTTCCAGGCCGACATGTGGTGGAGCCACCAAAAGAGTTCCTCCCTCACCTCCGTAGTGATCGGGACCCTCTGGTCGTATGATGGATGAGTCCAGAGGAATTGAGCTTTCAAGCGTTGCATGGCCCGGTAGTGAAGGGGGCCTGGGTAGATTGCCTGAATAGAAGCAGAAAGTAGGCCTACGATTCGAGCTAAACCTCGGAGAGGTAAATCCTCTTGACGAAGTGTTTTGCGTAGTTCCTTCCTGATCGCAGTTAACGTGGATTGAGGTAGGCGAAGAACACAGGTTGAAGAGTCGATCTCGAAGCCGAGAAATTGAATAACTCTGGATGGGGACAGTGACGATTTCTCTTGGTTTATGACAAACCCCAAGGATTCGATCAATACAGATGTATAGTTCGTCTGTGAACGCAGTCTGGATGCGTCTTCGCAGAGAAGCAAGAGGTCGTCGAGGTAGATCAAACAACGGATGCTGCTTTCTCGAAGATGTGCGGTGACTGGTTTGAGCAGTTTGGTGAAGCACCACGGGGCGGAACTCAGGCCGAATGGAAGGCAGGTGAATTGGAAAATCCGGTGGTGCCAAAGAAAACGCTGACTGGATGGGTGTACTGGTACCGAGAGGTAAGCGTCCTTGAGGTCGAGATGAGTGAACCAATCGCCTGGTCGGAGAATGTCTCTGAGGAGATGAATCCCTTCCATTTTGAAATGTCTGTAAATAACGAAAGAGTTCCGTTGACGGAGGTTGATTACTGGGCGAAAGTCCCCTGATTTCTTCTTGACTAAGAAGATGGAGTTAAGGAAACCTTCGTCTAGTGGAGCGAGTTGAATCGCTCCTTTTGTTAGAAGAGAACGTAGTTCTGAATCTAGAAGAAGACTGAGACTGTGACATTTTTGGATAGTGAGGATAATCTATTTGAGAAGGGAGAGAGTGAAACTCTATGGAATAACCCTGAACTGTGTTTAGGACCCAGGTATCTGAAGACAGTGTCTTCCACATGTCTACACAGTGTGACAACCTGCCCGCATGATAAACAGTAGAAAGGTGAAAGGTAGGAAATCTCACCTGTTGGGTATCTGTTGCGTCCGCGGGATCTGTATCCTCTTCCCTTATCCGCCCTTTGGGTGTAAGAGCCTCTTGATTCATAGTTGGGGAAGAATGATGAAGTTGGGGTTCTCTGGCGTTGGTTTGTGGTCCAGAAACGGCTGACTGTACGACCCCTTGTACGGCCAGCCCTGCCAAAAACCTGTGAGGGTTGATGATGAAATACCCTTTTCATGGATGACTGCGCCTTGTTTAGTGTGGCGTATAGGTTTACATGCTTATGTAATTCTTTAATATAGGGTTCTCCAAACAATAGACCCTTTGCTTTGGGGCCCAATTCTTTGCTCAGTACAGAGGGATGTATTCGCATTGCCCAGCAGGCAAATAGAGCGTAGCGCCCATTCTCTAATCACAGATGGGTCTAGAGGGCCTTCATTAGATAAGGCTTCATCAGCCAGTAGAAGAATTTTAGCTAGAGGTCCAAGGATATCTAGCATTTTGTCTTGGGTTAGGCGTAGGCTGCGCTCAATGCCCTTCTTTGGGTCACGGCCTGATCTGGCCAGATATGTGTAGAGCAGCGTATCAAACTCCGGGGTCACCGCAACCTTATCCGGTAGAGTGGGTCTAGGGCATTCTGCTCGTAGTCTTTTTTGGATCTCTCGATCTAGGGGTCTTCTGATCCAAAAATGAATATACTGGGAAAGATGGTCTGGTAGTGACCATTCAGATGATCGAGGATATCTAATTTGCCTCGGGTCAAAAAGAGGCTGGCCAAGTGCATCTAGAAAAGATTCAGCGTCCCCAGATGGATTCGATCAGGGTATCGGAACTTCGGTTGGGAGTTCTCCCATGATAGATTGAGGGAGAGGTGCTCCTTTAAAAGATGTCTCGGGCCAGTCTTCCTCATCTTCTGAGGAGTGGTCAGCTTGCCATTCATCTAGGATGGCTAAGGGGTGTAAGTCGAAAGAGTCTTCCTCCTCTTCCAACAGAGTAGGCTGGATGGAGTGTTTTTCTCTAACATCCGCCTGTTTAGGGCGTTTCGCCGGTTCTTTACCCTTACGTTTGAGTGGTTCAGGCCCATTCCCTTTCCAATAACGTTTACTGGGTTTGGAAGGGTTTCTTTTTGTGGAGTCGGAATCCTCCGCATCTTCATCAGAATGCGGGGTTTCTGAAATTTTAGGCTCTTTTGATTCAACGGGCAGCACCCGAGCCAGGGCCTTTTCTAGTGAAGCAGCCACAGCTGCATTAATAATTGCTTCACAACAAAGAGGAGTTAGGCGCTCACTAAATAAACTAAAGGTGGGCAGCAGTGAACCAAGCAGGAATTCCCAATACCTGCTCACAGTAGTAAAACAGAAGAGACAAAAGTGGTAAACCGCGCCCAAACAGTGCAAATAATAATTAAAATATATACATACAGAGAGTCCTCTAATTAGGAATGTATAAAACCTTCAAGACAAAAAAGTACAGAACAATAATAGTGCAATATGTCAAGTGAAATAAGAGTATATAAAAGCTTATAAAAGACTCACTCACACTTTGCAGAGCTACTCAGAGCTCTGCCGTATAGCGCCTAGACGGTATAATCCCCGTCTCAGGATATCAAGTGATGGTATAATGCGGTATCCAATCCTCCACAGTGGTATATGGAAAGATAAAAATAGAAATAAAATCCAATAGTGTAGTATATCTATTAAAAAGTGTGCAAATAAAGGAAAAGTATCCTACTTACAAATTTCAGAGCAAATATCTTGCTCTGGTATAGACAGATCCTGTATTAGGAAAAATTATTCCAGACCAGCCAAAAATTGTATTTAGAGGAGCTCCAAATTTGAGAATGCAACTCACACAAAATTATACAAAACAGAAAAAGTCAGAAGTTATAAATAATTTTATGAAAAACAAGAATGGATTTTTTAGATGCAATTGCTGCGTAGCGTGCAAAAAAACTAAAAAAATGGACCGATATATCCATAGTTTTAAATCAAATAATACAGATAAAAGTTACAGTATTAAAAACACAATTACATGCATGAGTAAAAACGTGATATATTTATTAGAATGTCCATGCGGACTGCAATATATAGGGAGAACTATAAGACCGTTGAAGGTCAGGATTGGGGAACATTGTAGAAACATAGAAAAAGGGCTAAAAACCCACTTGGTATCCTCACATTTTGAGTTACATGGTAATGATCCACAGCACTTAAAATTTATGGGCATTTCAAAATTGTCCCAACACTGGAGAGGTGGTGATATAATTAATAAATTGGGCAAGAAAGAAATGGAGTGGGTCTATTTTTTAGACACACTACACCCTAAAGGTCTTAATGCAGAGTTTGATCTTTTTAATTTTTTATAATAAATATTAAAAGAAAAAATCTTTCACACCAGTTTTTATATACTTTGCATATTTATATACTATTGTTATTGCTTACACACCACCTCCCCTGTGTATTACTTTAAGATCTCCATATATGTGCATGGTTCACTTTGTGTATAGCATATTTTTATAATATTGGTTATTTTTATAGATTTCTATGCATGCTTATTTTCTGGTATGCAACACCTGGTATAAACCTATATATTTTGTGTGTATAGCTCTATGATGTCTTTTAAAAAAAAAAAAAAAGTGTGCTGGCTATCTTTTGTAATTAAACATATGTTTTATTTGCTTTTATTATATGTTTTTATATTTACATTCTTTCTTTAAATTTTATCACCTTGTTAATTACATAATTTACTTATTTTATTCTTATATGTATTGTATCCCATATCGGCAATTTGCCGAACTACAATTCCCATGAACAATACCAGATCGTGATACATCACTTCCGGGTGACGAAACAGTGTTTATAGAGAAATGGACAATGTAAACTACATGTCCCATCAACCATTGGGAGATACGCTGATGTCACTTCCGGGAGCCGCACACAACATGAATGGAGGGATACTACATATCCCAGCAAGCTACGAAAAGACTCGCTGACATCACTTCCGGGTGACACACGCGACCCGGAAGTAGGAAGTGAAATTGCATCAGGACTAAATCACATCAATCAGGAACACTTATATAAAGAGGACTCCATTGAATTTTGGACTTATTACTTCTGAAGAAGCCCCAGACCGGGCGAAACGCGTTAAGTAAGAGATCTGATACTTCTTTTATTACATATTTTTTATTTTGTAACAATAAAGTTATAGTTTTTACTACTTTATTTGTTGTTCCTGATACATCTTGAATCCTGACATATCCTTTGGTGGGGATCATACCACCACATGCTGTCTATACCAGAGCAAGATATTTGCTCTGAAATTTGTAAGTAGGATACTTTTCCTTTATTTGCACACTTTTTAATAGATATACTACACTATTGGATTTTATTTCTATTTTTATCTTTCCATATACCACTGTGGAGGATTGGATACCGCATTATACCATCACTTGATATCCTGAGACGGGGATTATACCGTCTAGGCGCTATACGGCAGAGCTCTGAGTAGCTCTGCAAAGTGTGAGTGAGTCTTTTATAAGCTTTTATATACTCTTATTTCACTTGACATATTGCACTATTATTGTTCTGTACTTTTTTGTCTTGAAGGTTTTATACATTCCTAATTAGAGGACTCTCTGTATGTATATATTTTAATTATTATTTGCACTGTTTGGGCGCAGTTTACCACTTTTGTCTCTTCTGTATTAATAATTGCTTGCAAGTTTTGATCTTGATTTGAAGCCTCCATAGCAATAGTGTTGGTACCTATGGGGCAGAATAGGCCAATGTTAGAGTGGGTAAGGCCGTCACGAAATATCACAGTATGTTATAATTCCACATTGCAAGCTGTAATTGGGCGTCACCCAGTATAAATCACCTCAGGGAATACTTTTCACACCCGTATAGAGGTATAGTGGCACAGACAAAGCGGGCCAATCATGGGCTGTATAAAATAACAGCAATCATATTTTAAATTTAGGTAATTAACTTTATACACATGCACAGTGTAAATATGAGATGTATCAATCATAAAGTATATATGTGGAATTGCTCAAAATAAATATTTAGAAAAATGTGACTCCAGTTATTGGTAGGAATATATTGGGTGTAAATCCAAGTAAAACAGTATTGTATTGAGAATAAAATGTGCAAGGTAGTTTGTATGCAGTATAAATTTCTCCACTAGAGGGAGGTAGTCTGAGACAAAGATGCACTAATATTTGAAGTGAAACTCCCTCCTTTGTGAGTGAGGGGAATATGCAGGAAATTATATTAAACTTATAATTAAATTGATTAATTTAAACGGTAGAAGATTTATGTAAATATATATAACTGCTGTGTAAAGCGGTATAATGGCCGCCGCACGGCCGGAGGAAAAGCAGATCGCGGCTCCAAGAAAATGGCTGCCGCGATCTCGCGCGTGCACACTAGAGAAGAGAGGAAGCCGTTTGGATCCCGCGGAGGAGCGCGAGATCCAAGATGGCCGCCGTGCGCACTCAGGACCGTTGAAGGCGTTCTCCACGGTCCGAAAAGCCCGGGAAAACGGGGCAAGAATGCTGCTCAAAGAAAACCGGGCTAGAGCAAAGGTGAAAAGTAATAAAAAGGAAAAAAGGACGAAATAAACAGGATAAATAAAGAAATACCAAAGAAATAACTATATGAGGAAAAAAACATATATTTTATAGAAGCAAACTCAAAAGTATATGATATAAGTAGAATATGTATATATAAACAGAAATATGAATGAAGCAGATGACAGATAGATTAATAGATAAACCACAGAAACCCACAGAAGTAGGAGACAGTGGCACTCTGACCTGTACTGGTGTGAAGCAGCAAAGAAAGAGGAAATGACATCACTGGGAGGGACTTATATACCTTGTTATTCCTTTTTTCTGATTGGTTACCTTGTTACTAAGTAAAAAAGTGCTGCTGTGAAGCTTAAGTAAAGAAAGTCTTAAGCAAATACGAAGCCTCGTCATGTTATAAAATTCTGATGTCAAGATCTTTGCTGCAATAATAGCAAATAGGATGAAAACCACACTACCTGATATAATAGACCCCGATCAAATAGGTTTTGTACCAGGCAGAATCTCCTCTGATAACAACAGATGTATTATTGACATCATAGACTTGGCTAATAGAACAAAAACCCCCCTCGCTATAGTAACGGTGGACGCTGAGAAAGCGTTTGAAAGAGTGGATTGGATATTTATGAGCAAAACCCTGAAAAATTTGGATTCCAGGGATGGATTCATCGAGCCATAATGTCTCTTTACACCGGTCCTTCGGTGAGGACAGTGGGCCCTAACATCTGCGCTGGTTCAATTTGTATAATGGAACAAGACAAGGCTGCCCGCTGTCCCCTATTCTTTACATAATTACTATGGAAATCTTGGCTAATAAAATAAGATCTAACCAACAAATAAGAGGTATAACTATTAAACATAGAGAGTTGAAACTAAAGCTATATGCGGACGATCTAATCTTGACCTTTACCGACCCTACTAAATCCATTAAGGCTTTTATGGAGGTTGTAAAGGACTATAGCGAAATTTCTAACTATAAATTAAATGAAGATAAAACAACCATATTAGATATTAATTTCAATACTACCAGCAGGACCCACCTACAAGATTTCTATAACTAAAAATAGTATCCCATATCTAGGGATATCTTTGACAAGCAATCCCTCAGAATTAATGCAGATTAACTTTTTGAGCAACTTTAGGGACATGTCCAAAGCTCTGAACAAATGGAATAAAAAAGAAATTTCTTGGTGGGGCAGAATGAATTTAATAAAGGCATATCTCTTCCCTAAGTGGGCATATATGTTTTGAATGCTTCCCATAAGAATTCCTAGACCATGGCTCGACATGATTCAAAATTCGGTCACTAATTTTATTTGGAAAAATAAGAGACCTAGAATAAATAAAATACTCCTGGCACAAAAAATTAAAGATAGTATCTTGTCCCTACAAGACTAGCCAACATGTATAGCTGTCACGGGTGAGTGGTCCGGTGTCCAGGACCCAGACACTGTCCTGGCGGCGGTTGGTGGACCTGGACCCATGTATGCCTGATGTTCAGAGTAGGAGTCACAGTGTTGAGGTGAATTAGCAGAACCACATACCAGAACCCTCCCAGGAGGTGAATAGGGAGGCTCTGCAGCAGGGATGTATCCAGTACTGAAGCAAGGCAAGACTAGAGATAGGCACCATACATGAAAACAAGACGTAGGAGAACCCAGAACCAGAACAGGACAGAAAGCAGAACCCAGAACATGTACACAAGACATGAGGAAAACAAGAACATAACATGGGCATGACTGGACAGGACTGTACATGGACTGGGATTACAAGACTAAATAAAACAAGACAAGAAATACAAGGTAAAACAAGAGGAGACATAACTAAGCACTATATATGAAAAGTATGGGGGTTTAGTTACATTATATGATCATACATTATTATTATCATCATTATTATGATATTTATAGAGCGCCGTCAAATTCCGCAGCACTTTACAATGGGTGGACGAACAGACATGTAGTTGTAACCAGACAAGTTGGACACACAGGAACAGAGGGGTTGAGGGCCCTGCTCAATGAGCTTACATGCTAGAGGGAGTGGGGTAAAATGACACAAAAAGGTAAGGACAGTATTAGACTAGTGACAGTTGCAGAAGAGGAATCAGTCGGGAGCTATTAACAGTTTAATTGATACGCTTTTATGAAGAAGTGGGTTTTTAACGATTTTTTGAAGGAATGGAGACTGGGTGAGCATCTAACGGAGGAGGGAAGCGAGTTCCACAGGAACGGTGTAGCCCTCGAGAAATCTTGAAGGCGAGCATCAGAGGTGGGAGTACGGACAGAAGATAGACGTAAGTCTTCAGCAGATCGTAAGGGCCTAGACGGGACATACTTATGTATAAGGGAAGATAGATAGGTGGGAGCAGCATTATGTAGAGATTTGAAAGCAAGAACCAGAATTTTAAATTGAGCTCTATATTTTATAGGAAGCCAATGTAGGGACTGACAGAAGGGTGAGGCATGGGAGGTGTGGGCGGACAGGAAGATGAGCCTTGCCGCCGCATTCATTATGGACTGTAACGGCGCTAGTTGGGAGCACGTAAGACCACTGAGAAGCGGATTACAGTAGTCAAGGTGAGAAAGGACAGTGGAATGGACCAACACCTTAGTTGCATCTGGCATTAAGTAGGGGCGGATGCGCGCAATGTTTTTGAGATGGAAATGACAGGATTTGGCGATAGATTGAACATGAGGCTTGAAGGAGAGGTCGGAGTCAAAGAGAACACCTAGGCAGCGAGCCTGCATGGGGGAGCTGATGGAAGCACCGTTGACTTGGAGGGAGACAGACACAGGAGTAACAACACTTGAGGGAGGAAAGACCAGAATTTCAGTTTTGGTCAAGTTTAGTTTAAGGAAGTGGGAAGCCATCCAGTTAGAAACAGCAGAGAGGCAGTCAGAGACACTAGTCAAGAGGGACGGGGAGAGATCAGGAGAGGACAGGTAGATTTGCGTGTCATCTGCATAGAAATGATATTGGAAGCCAAAGGAGTTTACCAAGGGAGGCAGTATAGATGGAGAACAGTAGGGGACCAAGGACTGAACCTTGGGGGACACCAACAGAGAGGAGTTGGGGAGAAGAAGCAGAGCCAGAGAAAGAAACACTGAAAGAGCGCTGGGAGAGGTAGGAGGAGCACCAGGAGAGAGCAGTATCTTGTAGACCGATATTGCGGAGGATGAGAAGAAGCCGTTGATGATCAACAGTGTCAAAAGCCGCAGACAGGTCAAGGAGAATTAGGATAGAGTAGTGACCACGAGATTTTGCAGCGAGTAGATCATTGGATACTTTGGTCAGTGCCGTTTCCACAGAGTGCTTTGCACAAGCCTGCCAACAACGCCAATGTACCCCATATCTGGCAGGTCCTACACTGCCTAATGCATGCTAAAACAACCATACTAAACCACAATACAGCACTTACCTGCAAGAAAGGGCAGAGACTTGAAACACTGCTGCAGGTCCAGGCTGAAACAAAAGGAAAGTGGAAAACAAACGGGTGTGGCAACATAAAACAAACATTTAAAGGAAACCTGGAGACTGGGAATCCCAGGGATGGATTACAGGAAAGAAACCCAGAAATCCCAGAAATAAAGAAAACCAGACATAGACCAGAAAACCAGAAAAACCAAGCAAGGACAGCAAAAAGAGTACTGGATACCAGAAGCCAAAGCCAGACATCTCCGCAGAACATGGCATGATGTGACATACCTCCCCTCTTAAGGAGCAACCTCCGGGTGCGACAAGCAGCTCTCAGGCAGAGACCAGGAAAGAAGCGAGGATCCAGCAACTAAGTCCTAAAGACTTACCGGAGGCAAGGATTCCCCGACAGCAGGAAAGTAGTTTGCGGCTCACAATGCCATTCCGAACTACTTTACTTCCTTTGGAAAGGTCTCCTGCCAGGACCGAGATCCACTCCAGAATAGGAGCACACATTACAAGAGAACACCTGAAGCGACCACCATACAGCTTAGCAGATCAACATCCTCCACGACAAAAATAAGGAAGCCATCTCCAGCAGACTGGTCCAGATACATGGACTCTTGCATGCCGAATAACCAACAGGAACTAGAACAAAGAACCAAGAACCAAGCATCACAAGAGAACACCTGAAGCGACCACCGTACAGCTTAGCAGATCGACCTCCTCCACGACAAAAATAAGGAAGCCATCTCCAGCAGACTGGTCCAGATACAGGATCTCTTGCATGCCGACCAGACAGGAACAAAAGCAGAACAGGAAAGCTGCAAGGTCTACTCCACGAACTCCAAGTGCCCACGGCCATACTGTCACGGGTGGCGGTACGGAAACCGGGACCCCTGAGTGTCTGATGAGAAGTGGGAGTCTTCAGCGTGGAAGTGGATTATCAGGGCCTGGTGCAGGGCAACCGCATGCCCCCTGGTGTTGAGCACTAGCGTTTGTGCAGCTACATACCAGAACCCTGATTCAGCTTATGCGGATCCCAGGAACTAGGAGCAGGTAATTAAGCAGACCTCCCAGGAGCTGAATAGGGAGGCTCTGCAGCAGGGATGTATCCAGTACTGAAGCAAGGCAAGACTAGAGATAGGCACCATACATGAAAACAAGACAAAACTAGGAGAACCCAGAACATGTACACAAGACATGAGGAAAACAAGAACATAACATGGGCATGACTGGACAGGACTGTACATGGACTGGGATTACAAGACTAAATAAAACAAGACAAGAAATACAATGTAAAACAAGAGGAGACATAACTAAGCACTATATATGAAAAGTATGGGGATTTAGTTACATTATATGATCATACATTGCACAAGCCTGCCAACAACGCCAATGTACCCCATATCTGGCAGGTCCTACACTGCCTAATGCATGCTAAAACAACCATACTAAACCACAATACAGCACTTACCTGCACGAAAGGGTAGAGACTTGAAACACTGCTGCAGGTCCAGGCTGAAACAAAAGGAAAATGGAAAACAAATGGGTGTGGCAACATAAAACAAACATTTAAAGGAAACCTGGAGACTGGGAATCCCAGGGATGGATTACAGGAATGAACCCAGAAATCCCAGCAATAAAGAAAACCAGACATAGACCAGAAAACCAGAAAAACCAAGCAAGGACAGCAAAGAGAGTACTGGATACCAGAAGCCAAAGCCAGACATCTCCGCAGAACATGGCATGATGTGACAATAGCTCGACCTTACCACTATGTTGGAGATGTAAGCAATTGTTGGGCTATTTTATACTCATTTGGTGGGAAAGTGAGATTGTCAGAAAATTTTGGCAGGAAAGTTTTGTTACTCTTGATAAACTGATTTCTAAGCCTATTCCTAAACTCCCAGAAAATGCTATTTTACACTTAAATATTGATTCCTTATCCCAGAAGGACTCGACTATTTATATTCATTTTACGATAGTGGTAAAGATAATAATAGCTAGGAAATGGAAAAATCCATTACCTTTTTCTTTAGACAAACTCTTATCTCAGGTTAAGTTCCAGTTGGGAATGAAATCCCCACTGGACAAGTTATATGGTAAAGATCTGAAAGCTAAAGATTATAGTACCTTTTGGCTAGAAAAGCTACAAAGTGATTACGGTTGTCTCTGAGTGACAGAATGTCCAGGTCACACTCAAAGCTTAAAGGGCGGAAAACTGTTATAAGACTTTAATGTGATCCTGGAATTCTGTGACCAATTTATAGAACTCCCCTAGCTCTTCATTAGGTTTGATTGAATTCTGAACACCATGTTTTATGTAAGCAAGTTAAATGTCTATTTTGTATGAAAATAATAAAAATTACTTATTAAAAAAAAAAAAATGTCAGATCCAAAGAACTTGTTTTCTATGGTATTATGATTATATTCAGGTGGATGTTGTTATGTCTTGTGAAAGGAATCTTGAGATAGTGGAATATATCTGTGGGTTTCAAGTTATTTTTATTGTTTGCCTTGTCATTTTTTTTTATAATTCGAGACAGAATCCTCAGGCAGATCTCAGTTTAGAATATGAAAACAAGCACTGTGAAAATTCCACTGCAGTGGTCCTAAGTGTGTAAACACTGTATTGTATAGTCTTGTCTTGGTTAAGGGAGTAATTAACCTTTACAATCTCATAGGTACCATGAGTAATTCCCAAAGTACACGGGAGGAATTCACTGCTTTAACTATAGTGAAACATCATAATGGCAAAGATGCAGTTAAGAACATAAACAAACTTTTAAAGAAAGCTGGCATGCCTTCCGAAGGCACCTTGGACCCCCAGATATAGAGAGAATTTATGGATAATTACCAAGGATGGTTAGAAGCTAATAATTTAGTTGAGACAGCCTAGAATGGCATGATACTGCAGTTGAACTAACTAAGACTGGATTGTAGGAAAACCACCTTATTACCAATGTTTTGGTAGTCTGGGAAATGATTCATCCACAGACTCCCCCAGCAAGCTGCCCCCACTTACCCGGATAAGGATGAAGGGTGACCTTAAGTCTCTCAAACAAACCCCTTACTCTCTACTACTAATCCAGTTACTCAGAAACCTTGCTGGATTTACCCCAGATGTGAATGGACTAACCCATGGGAAGAAAAATGTAGAAGTTGTGGGTTCCCTAGATCATCAGTTCACCACCTCATTCATGCCCCACAGAGTGAAGTACCATCAAATCCCCTCAGAGGGACACATCAAACGAAACTGTAAATGTCCTTTTCGCCTCAAGCCAGACAGTCCCAATGCAGCAGCAGCACCCCCCACTTATCCCTCCTTCACAAAATACTGCTGCTTCCCCATAGGAAATCGACAACCCAGTGTCCCTGTATGCTTTAACTATTCCTGACATAGCTGGACCCTCTCGTACTGTTAATGTTAGATAACCAGGTGACAGAATAGTCCCTTTTTTGCTCAACACTGGGGCAGTCCGATTTGTGGTGCAGGAAAAATACATTTTCCCCTATGAAAAAAGCAGATGACGTATTTTCCTGTGTGGGGGTGGATGGGACCCCGTCTGAAATCCCACTCACCCACCAGATGAAGCTCAGGCTCCACGACTCCACTTCTCTAGTTACCTGGCTACTTGTAAGCCCAAATGTCCCTGTTAATTTGCTAGGCAGTGATGTTTTGACTGCCATTAACACAAACATTCAGTTCAGTCCATCTTTGTCCCTGCCCCTTGAGGACAACTGCCTAATACCCTTTGCCCACTTAATTGTAACTCTCACCATGCCCAGACATTTACCAGAACCTACCATTGACTTGTCCTAAGTCCCTAATTGTCTATTGGCTGCAGGGAAGACAGATACAGGCAGACTCTCTGTACTCTTAGTCAAAGTGACTCTCCTGCCAGGAACCACCTTTCAGAAACAGTATCCTCTTAGTCCAGCTCAAGATGATGCAATTTCACAATCTATACATTAATTGCTACAGGCAGGTATTATTGTCCCAACTGTAACAGTGTAAGCATGCAGAAGCCAAACACAGAGAGAAGGACACAGGTCTTCAGGAAGTAAGAGGCCTTTATTCTTCTTCTTCTTCTTCTTCTTCTTATTTTATTATTTATATAGCGCCAACAAATTCCGTAGCGCTGTACAATGGGTGGACTAACAGACACATAATTGAGATCAGACCACTGACGTACAGGAACAAAGGGGGTTGAGGGCCCTGCTCGATGAGTTTACATGCTAGAGGGAGTGGGGTATAGTGACACAAAGGGTTAAAGTAGGGGAATTAAATAGTTTGTTACAGAAGGGTTTATTGAGTGCTTGGTAGGTCATTTTTGACAGGTGAAGGAACGGAGTCATGGGGTGGGGGATGAGAAACCTGCTGACAGTTTAATTGATAGGCTTTAATAAAGAAGTGAGTTTTCAAAGATTTTTTGAAGTAATGTAGGCTGGGTGAAAGTCTGATTGAGGAGGGAAGGGAGTTCCACAGAATAGGTGCAGCCCTGGAGAAGTCTTGAAGGCGAGCATCAGAGGTGGGGATCCGGGCAGAGGATAGGAGTAGGTCTTGGGCTGAGCGCAGGGGTCTCGTCGGGACATACTTGTGTATGAGGGAAGATAGGTATGTTGGAGCAGCATTATGTAGGGATTTGTAAGCAAGCGCCAGAATTTTGAGGCGTGGGAGGTGCGACCGGACAGGAAAATAAGCCTCGCAGCCGTATTCATTATAGATTGCAGCGGTGCAAGCTGGGAACATGTAAGACCGGTGAGAAGGGGATTGCAATAGTCAAGGCGAGAGAGAACAACAGCATGAACCAGTACCTTAGCCGCGTCCGGCGTTAGATATGGGCGGATGCGCGCTATGTTCTTGAGTTGGAAGCGACAGGATTTGGCTATCGATTGAACATGGGGAGTAAAAGAGAGATCAGAATCAAAAAGAACTCCTAGGCAGCGAGCCTGGGAGGTAGAGGTGATAGTAGCGCCGTTGACTTGGATGGCGACAGACACAGGAGTAGCAGCACTTGAGGGAGGAAAAACTAGAAGTTCTGTTTTGGACAGGTTGAGTTTAAGGAAGTGAGCAGCCATCCAGTTGGAAATAGCAGAGAGGCAGTCAGAAACACGAGTCAAGGTGGGCGGAGAGAGATCAGGGGAGGACAGGTAGATTTGCGTGTCATCTGCATATAAATGGTATTGGACGCCAAAAGAGCTGATGAGTTTACCAAGGGAGGCAGTATAGATAGAGAACAGTAGGGGGCCGAGGACAGAACCTTGGGGGACGCCGACAGGGAGGGGTTGGGGAGAAGAGGCAGAGCCAGAGAAAGAAACACTGAAGGAGCGCTGGGAGAGGTAGGAGGAGCACCAGGAGAGAGCAGAATCCCGTAGACCAAAGTTACGGAGAATGTGAAGAAGCTGTTGATGATCAACAGTGTCAAAGGCGGCAGAGAGATCAAGGAGGAATAGGATAGAGTATTGGCCGCGAGATTTAGCAGCAATTAAATCGTTGGATACTTTGGTCACAGCAGTTTCGACAGAGTGACCAGCGCGGAATTACCGATCGGGTCTCAGATGAACTCCTGTTCCAAAATTCTGAGGGACAAATACCTGGTGCATTAGACTTTTGTTAACAGCATATCTCCTCCCATACAGTATAACCCCTCCTATATTCCTCAGACCAATCAGCACACAGGATATTCAGGATCACTTCATATGGCAGGCCACATGAATTGTTGAAGACAAAGGATTTTACTATCCACTTCCTCACATGCTCAGTATACTGATGACTCATCCAACTGTTTGTAACCAGATACTAATTAGCATATGCCATGTGGAGATTTTGGCCTACTAAATTTTGACCATGCTGGAATCCCATCACATTCCCCCCTTTGATGCTTCTGATATAACAGTATTCCAGATGCATCACTAATCATAATCTGCCAACACCACTCAAGTAACCATGAACCAGTACAGACCTTGTAATCATTCTAACTTAACTTCATGCTCTCTCAACATTCCTCATCCTGATTATTCTCTCTGTGGGCTAAGGGTTCATACTTCCAGACAGCCATTACATGGGCAGCTGTCTCTCTTTCTATAGTGCTCTCTATAACACTACGTATAGAACTGACCACTAGTGGAATCAGGCAGGGCAGAAAGAGACATAGAAATATAATAAATTCTGCTCTTCCTACTAGTGCCTTAATCCCTCCAAGCTGCTCATACCAACTTCCAAACCAACTACTTGGATTATACCCACTCCAAACCTGAGTAGGTACATGCGCAAATTTAACCATGTGGCTTCTAAGTTCAGCCACTGCCTGCCCTTCATCATCTATGTGCAGACAACAGTTACTTAGATTAAACTTCCCGCATCCACCTCCTTCTACTGCTAGTAAGTAATCAAGGGCTAGCCTATTCTGGTATATGGCTGATCGCATCCGGGTATTCTGCTTTGCTAAGAGGTAGAGTGCTTGCGCTGTCTCATTGGTAATTGGTAATCTCAACCACCGCCTGTAGTCTTGTAATATGGTTGAGCATATATATTGGAGTTCTATATCCATAAGTACCATCTTCTGCCCAGGTAGCAGGTCCATAATAATTAATAATACGTTGGGGAGGCCACTAATCTTCCCAGCTAGGATGCTCGCTTCTTTTTATGATTTACATCATAAGCCTTTACTCCCAAGGTCTCTCCTGTTTCGATTGGCAACAAGAAGGATGGTTTGAGAATACCTAGCACACATGCCCCTTCCTAGTCTTGTGGTAACTCTGAATATGCCTTCTTACCACAAATCCAGTATAGATTTGCTGGGGCTTTCCTATTGGATGTAGCAGATAAATCAAATCATACCTCTTTCAAATTAGTGTAATTGGCAAACGGATTAGTAGGTTCTGAGACATTTGAAGCTGACCACCAAGTAGTATCTTTTGTATCAGCATTATAGGCCTTCTGTCCTAAACAGGTTAACTCTCCAACAGGTGTATTGTGTATTATACATTGGCCCTCTTCTAGCTAAACATACATGGCCTATAATAGAGGTTTTTAACCGCCATTCTGATTTACCTCTGGTACTTACTTATCAGACTGAGAAAGTATCTGTTGTTCATCTGTCTCAGAACCAGGGTACCATGCTTCCTTTGCTGCCCATGGCCACTGGTCTCCCATATTAGAACCTCCACATACAAAGCAGTTAGTTATATTAAGACTACCTGCAATACTCTCCGCCAAATCAATAAATAGGTTCTTAACATTATGGGGAATTTTATCCTCAATACTCATCTCCTCATAGAAGGAATGAGAAACCTGATGAGAAACCTGTCTCCATTTCGATGCCCACACACACACACACAACAGCCCCAGTATCCAACCCTGTTCCGTATATTTGGAACCCAAACAGACCTTCGAACCTGTCAATAAAGTGCTGCAGATTGGAAATGGTCATGTGAACGGGGTTACACTCCATAGTTTTACAATGTGGTGTAGTAGGCAACCTTTGGATAATCATATCTTGATCTACTGTCTTTCCCCAGGTCGCCCAACCTACACATGACCAATAGGGGCAGAAGTTAAAGTCTCTATTTGGACAGTCAGGATCAGTAGATCTTTTGCTAGGGCATAAATATTTATTGTCAAACCCATAAGTCCGTTGCCATTTCAGATTACCACATACATTCCAAGGTCTTCCACTACCCGAAATCGCCTTACATGTATCAAATAATAGAATACCCGTGGAATGTATGGTGCTTATCACAGTCTTATTTATTAATGTCCCCTGGGAGTTACTATTCCGAATTACCAACCAAATTGTACGGGGTTGGAATTGGGAATCAAAACATTTAGGCTCTCCTACTGCTGGGTGATACACACTGTAATCAATATCTAAATATCTACATTTAGATACAGATCCCTTACATTCATACTCTGAGTGCCAAATAAGAGTTTGGGACATTTGATTACCTGTTTTTGTAGTCTTAATACAACTAACAGAGCTTTGAATATCCTTACCTTTACCCTCCTGAAAAATTATAAAAATACTAAAACATGTAATTAAGCACATCATTCTTGTGGTCCTCATCCTATTCTTCTACCGTGCGACGGCACCTCAGCTTCCCGCTTGTGAGGGCTGCAAGGATTGTTGTCCTTCTGATCCTCACTTTCCTTCACACAGATCTCTTTGAGACACTCTGGCTTATGACACGTAGGCAGGTGGTCAGGCTTTATTATGGCCGTCAAAACACCTACTTGATAATCTCTGTAGACTTTTAACTAGAATGTCTCGATATCCCCTCGTACTTTTTCTCACAACATGTTCAATCCAACTGGGTTATGCGCTTCAACCGGATCTTGCAAGGATTCTGGAGTAGCTTGCCGAGAGTCTGCCGCTGGTTTAACCTTAGAGTGATGAATCCAAGGAGTCACTTCCGCCACCTTTACAGCTGTTGGGGTAGATAAAAGAACAACATACAAAGGCTAACAGGATACACCCCGAGCTTTAACTCAATATGTATCGGTGGGATGTTACAAGCAAGTCCTGGAGGATTATTTTCTGCCCATACTCCTGGAATGTCAAATAAAGTTCCATCACATTTAGGGTTTGCATTTGTTATTACAGAACAGAAGCGCCATTCTTCTCTTGGCACCAATACCGCTATTATGCCAGGTGATTTATTAAACTTCAGAGACTTTGAAAGACTTTGAAAGTTATCTGAGCTTAAAGCTTTGATAATAAATCTCGTCCTAGAAGTTGGATTGGACACTCAGGCATATATAGGAACTGGTGCTTCACAAAATGGCTGAAAGGGTAAAAGCTGTTCTGGACTCAACTCCCCTAGATTCTCGATCCTCCGGTCACCACATCAATTGATGGGAGTTCTTGTTAGCAAATTAAAACACAGACACGAAAGAGTGCTTAACAAGTTCTCAATGAGTATATTTTCAGGGCTAGCATTTATACACAGTTTGTCACGCAAGCAGCGAGATTTATCACTTCCTTAAAGTTAGTAGTACATACTTGTCTGACATTAAAAAGATAAGCATTTGAATAAAGACGGCACAGTAACATCCTGAGATAGAGCAAGGTCATAAATCCTGTAGACCAAAGACCTTGGTACAAAATACATCTGCCAAAGTCAGCATAATTATTTCAAACATTATTTTAAAGCATATAAAGTTAACCATTTCATATCCTTACAGTCAGCACTAATGATTATAAACCTTATCTAAGCATAAAATACATATGAACAAGGAAAGTTAACTATTTCATATGCTTTCATCCCCCTCTTTGAGCAATACATTGCTCATCTTATCGGTTAAAATCTTCCCAGGACAGAGACACTTCCACATTATACCATACCCAAGCAATCATGTGATCTACAAGAAACAGAAACTCAGCAGGAAAAAAGACACTGAATACTTTTGCAGACTGATATATAGAAAATGGTTGTTTAAGACAAAATGGAACTTGGGCTTATAGCAAATACATTATTGCAAATAGCTGACATGTTAACCAATTTTAAACAGACTAACCAGCCTGTCATCTGTATCGTAAGCCCTGGGTAAATATGGGCAAAGTGTATTATTCCCAACAGTTATTTTCCTCCTTTGTCCACGGAAGTGGGCGCATATAGTCAAAGTGGGAATAATACCTATGCCCCGTCCAAGGACCGGGGTCTAGGATTACCAGTCCACCCAATGATCTCGGGCCAGGCAAAAAATCTGGGGAAAACCTGAGTGGGGGCCGTGATCATGTTAGACATGTCATCCCCTCACAGTTGACACCACTTGTGACTTATAATACCCGCACCTGTGAGTACATAGCTCAAGTATCAGGAGGAATTGGGAAACACTTCTTATGTATTAATTCATGAGATAAATTATAATCTAGCTTGAAATTCTGACAATAATCACCAGGACCTTGCGTCCTATATCTTTTAACCATTTCCCTATTCCAAAGGTCCAGTCAAAACCAGTCATATCTTCACGCAGTTCCTCAAAACATGGGAATCCATCCTTGGCACACTCAACATATATCAAAAACACACATAGTACATCCATCCCTGGGTCAGCTAACACTTCCTCTCTCTCCGGCTAACTCTACAAAAGTAAAAATAAAAATAGTTCAATAGTTCAGAAAAATAGAATAAGTCTTTCACAGAGTATAAAGAAATCAGTTTAGACACCAGACATTTTGTTCCATAAAATGGCTAGGGTAGCAATATGGCTGACAACAAGACAATGTCAGCTTCCACATATTTCTTCTTCTGTTTAATGGATTTTCACCACAATGCTCTGTGCAACACCCCAGTGGTTGAAAGGGTCATTACAGAACCAGCGGTATTAGACAGCACTGCACCTTCGGGACTTTCCAGGTTCTTGCGTGCAAAGTTTATGTCCTCATAAGTATCTCAGTTTCTTCGGACTGCATGGATAATGACCAAACAGATGTAATTGCAAAATACTTATTGCATGGTCAGCCGGAGAGATTGATGTGTAGTCCCAGAAATCAGGCGGCACAAACACTCCACGACGGTCTCTACAATCATACAAACACAAGGATCAATACAACATCAATTAATTAATTACCTAGGCTAAAACTTAAATTAGAGATTAAGGTTAAACCCTTAACGTGTGTAACATGTACTTCTCTTATATTTGCTTATATTTTATGCAATCTGTCTTCTGTGAAGTTTTACATAATACCAATTTGGAATGCCTTTGTACGGATGAGAGAAGCACTCACTCTATAGAAATGCTTGTTAGGATGAATATTAAAACACTAACATTCACATATACATTCCCAATAAAACTCTGTTCCTAAACTTGAACCTTGATTTGATACTCAAAATTAATTACTTTAATAATCCCAAATAATTCAATACTCTTGGATTAACACCTAAACCTATATAAAATATTAAAAACATGAACCATCTGTGTATTAGGCTGGGATTGTTGGGTGTGGGTTTTGTGGTTGGTATTGAGGAATCTGTGGGGGTGGGTTTGGGCACTCATTTATCCAGTGACCCTGCTATCCACAACTAGAACTGTGTGTTCCACCAATACTGAAGTTGCTACCTCTACAAAAGTTAGAACCTTTGACCAAATCCTCTACCTTTGCCTTTAAAACTTTTCTGATTCAATCTCCTATCACCTCCCAAATTTCTTTGTCTCGCCTGCTTAGGGTCACAGTCCTTGTGACTGATACATACCTTTTCCTTCTTTCTTTCTATCAAAACAACCTGCTGTATCTTTCTCATGAATCTTCCCAAGAAATTCATTTGGGGTCAAAAAGGGCCAGTCAGAGACCAGCAAGGAACAAAAGTGAACAAGGAGGAAGCATATTCCATATGCAGGTTGGGATTACCGAACTCACATCCCCTCTTTGTGTACCACACAGATATAATATTAATAAGCTTTTAAAGGTTTAATGGATAGTTAAATTGTGTATATAAAGCAAGGTTGTCTAGGGGTATATACATTGACAATGAAAGCATAGCCTTCATATAGGGCTTGCAATACTGACAGTCTGTGTCATGAGCGTAATGCAGACATGGGGTTAGGTACTTTTCCATTGTTATACTATATTGAAAACACTAAGACTTTGCGCATTTTAAAAACACATATTGCTTCCTGTACCTGCGGCCGTGCAAGGATGTAGTTGGGATATATTTCAAATTGAGTATCAAAAGTCTAACCACAAAACTATATGTTATACACTTCTTAAGAAAACAAGTTTAACCCGTTAGTGCGTACTTTGGATAGCCTCTTTGCATAATTTGGCACCTAGTGAGATTATTATATTATTTATTAATCCTCTTCTGGATCTGCAAAATGCTTTCAATTTACCCATACAAATATAATACAGTAGTTTAGGAGATTAAGATTGGCCCTTAAGGACCAAACTTCGGGAATAAAAGGGAATCATGTCATGTCACACATGTCATGTGTCCTTAAGGGGTTAATTCACTTATAAATTTCTGAAATTGTCTAATCTCTAATAAAAATACCATTTTATTATTACTCCATAATCAATGAGGCATTCTAGATGAATCTTACTTTGACACAAACACTGCAATATACTTTAAAAGTAGAGTTACTTCTGAGCTGGACAATACTCCCCTATTAGAACTCCTTTATGAGGGAGAGACATCTTGTCCATTCAATCCTTTTTATCAGTAAAAGAATGACTTTCAGGATTAATCAGTTTGCAAATGGAAACGTGGATCCACGATTTGAACAGCAGAAGTTTGCGGGGCCCCTTTCACGTGGGATGTAACAAGCTCTTTTCTTGCTCCAGGAGCGATAGCACACAATTGTTTCATTCTAGCCGGCTGGACAGCATTTCACCTTTTGTAAAAACACTAAATGCTTGCGTTAATGATATGCAAATCACTCTGCTAGTTAAACTCCTACACAATGGACAATAAAATACATGAAACACATAACACACCAATTCATTTCAAACCATATCTCACAAAACAGACGTAGTAGATACACGTATCGGGTACCCAGCAGATATGCCAATGCAGAAAACACATTCATGGGCACGCAACTACACACTCTGTGTCCCTCCTAGGAAACACGGGTAGACACAATATGAAAGCAGTCTTAAACTAACACCTCCAAATCTCCATTCCCATATAGCTATATCAGACAACAACACAGAGCCTCTCTGAGCTCATAGAACTACTCCAACTCCAACTACTCTTGGCCAAAACGCTAGTATTCAACAGCTAATAAAACAGTTATTTGCTAGGTTATTTGGCTGGCATTTGTATCAGTATCACTAGACTGAAACAAACTGATTCAAATATAATTTAAAACAACACAGCAACATATAAATTAAACCACTTTCCAGTTAAGCTGCACACTTCACACATGATCACAATCACCATTTCCTCAGAACAAACAGTTGTACTCAGAACATATTATTGTAAGGTATACCAATTTTAGTTTGTATTAGATTTATTTTAGGAATTCTTATTATTTACATGTTTTTTTCCTAATTAACGTCATTACTTTAATCTACTATAGTATTGTATATAAAGAAAGGATCCATTTATATAGCGCGCTCATAACTCAAATATTTGTATGAAACTTCCATTAACTAATCTGAGATGATGCTGCATCAACTTAAATCTTATAGAAATTGAACAAACATCTGGACCAGATTACACAGACATGGTTTCTCCCAAATCTTTCAGAACTCTCGGAGACTTAAAAAATTTATACTATGCCATGTTATAAGGCATGGCAAACCTTTAGACCGGTCAGTCTCCAAGAGCCTTAGTAACACAGGTAAAAACCTTTGTCCATGATGTCTGATTCAGGCTATATACCACAATTTAAAAGAACACATATAATGTGAGACATAGAAGACACAAAACATATGCAGTAGCTGAATCATTTAAAGCATCTGTAGCAATAAAAAAGGTTAGCTTTCAGCACAAAATGAAGCATGTGTTGGACCGCTGAAAATGTAAATGTTGCTCTCTTATTAACAAACCAAAATCATATTAACAGTATGGATCCTATGCAACAAACACACAGGGCAGGGAAGATGTGCTGTCCCACTCTCATAGAAAGTGTAATGGGCTTATGGTATTAAAGTAACAATCATACCAGGCACACAGATCCCATGTGAAATAACTTGCAATAAAACAGAGTAATACACTTATACTTCTATGCGACATAAAGAATAAAGCAAAAGATTTAAGTAGGTCTATCAGGTACAACCTGCGAATCAGTTCTTTTTTAATATACAGTATGTATATATATATATATATATATTGGTCACTCAGGACCTGAACTTACATTTCCCATACTGCTGACTCAGGGCAGACCCACTACTAACTTACCAAAGTGTGTCCCCAATACAGACAGACAATCACCCACAAAGAACACTTAAGACAAACAAAGGTGACCAGGAGAAATAGAAGTTTGGGGGTATACTTATAGATCTATAAACCGTGCTCCTCAGAACACCTATAGTCTTAATAAACCGGAGACCTCTTATGGTCTCAAAACCTGTATCTACCTGAGATACCCTGTATCTATCTTAGATACTAACCTGGGTTACCAAAACCCTATAATAAACCGGAGACCTCTTATGGTCTCAAAAACCTGTATCTATCTTAGATACTAACCTGGGTTACCAAGAACCCCTATATATATTTAGACCAAATGTCTAATAAACCGGAGACCTATTTACAGTCTCAATATAACTAAAGTCCTTACACCTTTCCTTTCTACTGGATACAGACTTACTGAACCAAAGGGGGTCATAGACAATTAGCATCAATAAGACACAAAAAGGCTACTTACCCAATGGTTTTGCTGTCATCCCACTTCATGACACCAAGCTGAAAGGATAAAAGCTGTTCTGGACTCAACTCCCCTCGATTCTCGATTCTCCGGTCACCACATCAATTGATGGGAGTTCTTGTTAGCAAATTAAAACACAGACACGAAAGAGTGCTTAACAAGTTCTCAATGAGTATATTTTCAGGGCTAGCATTTATACACAGTTTGTCACGCAAGCAGCGAGATTTATCACTTCCTTAAAGTTAGTAGTACATACTTGTCTGACATTAAAAAAATGAGCATTTGAATAAAGATGGCACAGTAACATCCTGAGGTCGAGCAAGGTCATACATCCTGTAGACGAAAGACCTTGGTACAAAATACATCTGCCAAAGTCAGCATAATTATTTCAAACATTATTTTAAAGCATATAAAGTTAACCATTTCATATCCTTACAGTCAGCACTAATGATTATAAACCTTATCTTAGCATAAAATACATATGAACAAGGAAAGTTAACTATTTCATATGCTTTCAATGGCCTCCTAGAATGCAAGTATAACTCCTGAGAATCGGTCTGGCAGCGCTTTTCCCAGTAGCTCCTATCACAGTTATAATCTTCTCAGAAGGAGGAGCTACCAATCTGGTCACCACAGAATGTTCAGCACGTCTATCATGAAAGGACTTCTCTTTCCCCCATTGATACATCGGCCATAGGCTCTGCTTGGCCAAGTGGGATGGAGCCCAGTCGGTATCAATAGTCTTCCATGACAGTGTCAGCCAGACCTACAAAATCTCTATCTTCCCTTTCTCTAGGTCGCATGGGTGGATAATATCTGTACCCTTGAACACTTCCTCTATTATTCCCACTATTTCCTTCAAAACTTCCTCTACCTCGTCCTCTATAGCTGCTACCATAACCACCTCGCCCTCTTCCCGTCTACCACCTGCAATATATCCCCTCTGTGGGCAATCACTCTTCCAATGTCCTTCCTCGCTACAATATGCACATTGATCTCTACCAAGTGGTACCCTGCTCATCCTATTCTCAACTCCTCTATTCATCTCCCCTCCTTCTCAAGCTACACCTGAAATAGCTACCACTCACATATCTATTTTCTTCCTCATCTTATGTTCCTCCTCACACTTTCTCTCAGTTTCCCTATTCATATACACCTTATTTGCAACCTCCATTAGCTGTGATATAGATATCCCTGCAAATCCCTCTAATTTTTGTAGCTTTCTCTTAATATCGCTCTGGGCCTGGCTGACAAATGCTGAGTCTATCATTCAGAAGTTTTCAGGGGCTTCAGGATTGAAAGGAGTGTACAATCTATTTGACTCAAGCAGTCTCTCATAAAAAGCACTGGGTAATTCATTAACTTTCTGTAACATTTCAGCCGTCCTGGACATGTTAATTGCCCTTTTCCCTCCTGCCTTCATGCCAGTAATAATGGCTTGTTGATAGGCCTTCAGATGGATCATGTCAGCGCCACTTATGTTCCCAAGGTCAGTAATAATTGCTGACAATCATCCCAGGTGGGATTATGGGTCTGTATAATAGAGGTGACCAAGTCAATCATGGCTTGAGGTTTATCGATGTACGAGGAGTTATGGGTCTTCCAATTAAACAGGTCGGATGTAGTAAAAAGTAAATAAACAAATACAGGATCTGCCAATTGCAACTGTCCATTAATGTCAATATGTGGTGGGCCAGGTGTAAGTCGGAGGGGCATATGTCAATGTCAGGAAGGAAGGGTGCCAGTCAGTTGTCGGGTTAGTATGGGACTTCTGCAAGGCTGCTCAATAATAGGTTCCGGTCTGGGAATAGTAAAATAGGTGTAAGGGGGTGAGCTAATCTTACTAGTCCGCATTTGGTGGATGAAAAAAATGGAAAAACAAAAACTTAACTTTAATATATTTATACATAAAATAAAAACTTATATCAATAAATATATTAAAATAGGGTAAGCAGTCCTACTCCTGTCTGTTATAAACAATGTATTATCAATGTAACTCCCAAAGATGGCCAGTAGGTGGCCCTAGAGTAGCTCCCTAAAGTCTAATGAAGCAGATAGACTTTAATTAATTATGTCCCTATTTTATTATTACTTATTTTAATCACTGTCCACCCTGATATCTAGGCTTGATTAAAGCTTTAGTTCTAAGGTAAATTAAACATCTCAGTTTGTATTTTAGTAAAGGGGATATTTTGGACAAAGCTGGGAGGGGCCCATCCAGTAACTAAAAAAAGATAATATACCATCTTATACCATTGATCATTGATTAGGGGGAGGGGAGGTAGTACAGAAATACAAGAGTTTGAAACAAAAGAACAGATAGGTATGTGGGTAGGCGGGGACAGTAGAGCAGGGGGAATGCAAATACCAGCTATACCAGTTTTAATTTCAGAAGAAGAGTGGGGGAAGGGCTACTCTGGCTCTGGAGGATGAATAGGGGGTTGGTAATCAGATGCAAGGGGGGAGGGGATGTCCAAAGCAGTTGTAAATAAGTCCTTAGTTCTGACCACCATATGGCTCCATTGTTTCTCATATGACACAGTTTAATTCACCATGGCAGTTTTTCAACAATCAGTTTCCAACAGTCAATATATAGAAACTGATCATAGAATTCCGGCCTACTAGTTACAGCCACATGTACACCCTGCACTAAATTTAAGTCAAGACTGCTACATGGAGGCCATGCGGCCACCAGGACAGGCCACTCCCTACTACACAGCCTTTTGTTATTTCAACAAAACGTCTGATGCAAAAGCTGTACAAATATACACACAGTTTCAACAGTCACACCAATCTCCTTATCACCAGCACCACATCGCACAGTTACTAGGCCCAAACACACATGTGCACGCACACACAGGATCCTCACATGCTCAACAATATCAAGACGTTGCACACACACAAGTAAAATCAAGACTCAAACACTGTATATACTCATCACTGTAACTATTATTGAAACCATACAACTATCCACGCTATTAATCCACATAAACTAACCGATCACATAACATTTCAACAATTTCGTCTCTACAGTCAGTGGTTATGGTACGGTTAGTAATTATTATACAGTTGGATAATTATGGTTTTAAAGTTACTAGGTCAGTTAGTAATAGTTAAGGTGTTACACATACAATGTTAAACAGTAATTTTAATATCGTTAATGTAATATTAGTGGTTATGGTATTTTGAAGTAGTTATGGTATTATAAAGTGGTTATGGTATTTTGAAATAGTTATGGTATTATAAAGTGGTTATGGTATTATAAAGTGGTTATTGTATTTTGAAGTAGTTATGGTACAGTTTTTTAAAATCACAGGTCAATTAGTAACAGTTATGGTGTTACACGTATAACATAAACCAACAGTTTTTTAGTAGTTATATACAATACACAATGTCAGTAATTATAATACATGTTAGTGGTTATGGTACCATGCACTATTATACAGTTATACACACAATTTACACTTCCACTAGATGGCAGAGCTCAAGCTTTCTAGCAGGATATACAATTTAACCAATTCACCAATTCACCAACTACAGTATATCTAACAATATTTACAATAATCCCAACTATTCTAATTGGCCAGCACCTCGAGAACTATCGAACAATTTACACCAAGGATTCGGTAAGTCTACGCTGCCCAAGCACTACATATAGCAAACTAGTGGGCGGAATTTACACAGTACCCAGCTAGTCTTCTTACGCTATCAAAGGTCTAGCGGTTGAATTTACACGCCTACCACTTAGCCAAGATAGGGTGAGATCTAGCAGACGGAATGTACACCAAAATTCTGCTAGTCTCGCCGGTCCCCCGGACCTAGCGAACAAAATTTACACCCTAGATACGCTAGTCAAGACAGGACACCGGTGTCCGACATGAACTATTTACACCAGAATTCAGTCTGACCCAAACCACAGTATTAGACGGGCTGACTACAGAGCGTCTAATGTCAACATAAGCAGTGCGCCTTCGCTTCTTCCATCCCGAAGGACAGGGCATATTCCATACAACCAAACCAATTCCAAATACAAACCCCTTGTGGGCCTACCGCTCTATCGGTATCAGTAATACAAACCCCTTGTGGGCTTACCGCTCTAACGGTTTCAGTCTTACCTTTTAGTTCCTGGACCTGGGTTCACACTCATTGACGGAACACCCCGGTACTCACTACACAGAAGCCGATGATCTCCTGGACAAAAGGCCAGTGGCGCCGAGACGAAAGGAGGTCCACGCAGTAGAAGTCCAGGGGTGCAGCGTAGAGGATTTGATAAAAGTTTACTGTCTCAAATCTCTGCACCAGCTTCCGTGCAATGAGCTTCCCTGCCAACTGCACCAGAGATGTAACCGTGTAAGCATGCAGAAGCCAAACACAGAGAGAAGGACACAGGTCTTCAGGAAGTAAGAGGCCTTTATTCATATTACCGATCGGGTCTCAGATGAACTCCTGTTCCAAAATTCTGAGGGACAAATACCTGGTGCATGAGACTTTTGTTAACAGCATATCTCCTCCCATACAGTATAACCCCTCCTATATTCCTCAGACCAATCAGCACACAGGATATTCAGGATCACCTTATATGGCAGACCACATGGCTTGTTGAAGACAAAGGATTTTACTATCCACTTCCACACATACTCAGTATACTGATGACTCGTCCAACCTTTTGTGACCAGATACATTAGCATATGCCATGTGGAGATTTTGGCCTACTAAATTTTGACCATGCTGGAATCCCATCACACCTCCACATGTAATACCCCATTGTATCCCATGAAAAAGAAAATAGAGAAGGCAAAAGCAGTGGTTTAATGTATGGTGCACAATATCAGGGCAGTAAATGCAGTTACTGGACTAATCAGCCCGCATGTTCCCAATCCCCATATATTGTTACCCCCGATTAAACCCTCCTCTACTGTGTTTACTGTCATTGACTTGGCAAATGCTTTCTTTTCTTTACCATTGCACCCAGACAGCCAGTACATTTGTGCATTCACACACAAGCACACACAATACACCTGGACAGTGTTGCCACAAGGTGCCCAGAATTCACCATGTATAGTTCAGCAATGGCCCAGATTCTTGAAGCGTGGCATGGGCAGATGATGTTGTGTTACTACAATATGTTGATGACTTGCTTCTGTGTTGCCCTGATCAGGAGTCATGTACTAAGCACACCCTGTCTTTATGAAATTTTTTGGCACAAGCAGGGTGCAAAGCTACCAAGGCCAAATTACAAGCATGCATTCCCACTGTTACTTTTCTATGATACTGTATTTCTCATGGTACAAAGCATCTCACAGCAGTTCAAAATATTAACCCTCCACGCAGCCTAGCCCAGCTTTGTACTTTGCTGGGCCTTGTCTCCTATATGCAGCAATCTACATGCAGCCCTTGTATGATTGCCTGATCCTTGACCCCTTTCATTTATTCCTGAAGCAGAGGAAGCCTTTTACACTCTTAAATTGCTTGTCACTTCAGCCCTGGCACTTGGTCTACCAGACTGAAATGTAACCGTGTAAGCATGCAGAAGCCAAACACAGAGAGATGGACACAGGTATTCAGGAAGTAAAAGGGCCTTTATTCACGTACCGATCGGGTCTCAGATGAACTCCTGTTCCAAAAAGATCTGAGAGAAGAAAGCATGGTGTAGATTCCTTTTGTAAGCAGCATATGCCCTCCCATACAGTATAACCCCTCCTATATTCCTCAGACCAATCAGCACATAGGATATTCAGGATCACCTTATATAGGCAGACCACATGGCTTGTTGAAGACAAAGGAATTTATTACCCACTTCCACACATGCTCAGTATACTGATGACTCATTCAACTGTTTGTAATCAGATACTAATTAGCATATGCCATGTGGAGATTTTGGCCTACTAAATTTTGACCATGCTGGAATCCCATCACAATAGGAAGCCGTTCACTCTGTTTTGCACAGAGCAAGCTGGCTATGCCACAGCTATCCTCACTCCATGGTGGGAAACACAGACCCGTTGCCTATTACTCTACCAGGTTAGACACTGTTGCAAGAGGGGCCCCTTCCTGTGTGCGTGCAGTAGCTGCACGCACACAGCCACTGACATTATTTTAGACAATCCTGTTACCACTTACACTCCGCATGTAAGGCCAGATTAAGAGCCCAGTGGGCCTGGTGCTGACAATTATGATGGGGCCTAATTACAGAATCTTATCAACCAAAAACACTAAAACAGTCATACCTCTCAAGTGTCATGTATCTGATGGAGTTGGTGTTGGAGGGAAACTCAAAGGATGCAGCTATAAGAAAACACATACTCTATGCTAATCTCCCTCCAATTTATGTTTTTACCTTTTAAGCAATGTCCAATGAAGCAGGTAGTCAATGAGCGGGGTAAAAGGGTGGGCCACTGACGCGAATCATGTGACCATAACTGCCAAAAGGAGCGAACATGCCCAAAAATGGGGCATGTCTGTCCAAAGAATTGGAAGGCCAGCCTGGCATCAGTGTCCCTATGTATCAGTGTCAGTGTCCCCATGTCGCCCAGTCCCCTAGTCTCCCAGTGTCTGTGTCCCCGTTTCTCCCAGTGTCCCCATGTTTCAGTGTTTCCACTGTCACTAGGATACTAGTGACAGTGGAGACATGGGGACACTGAGACACTTTGGGACACTGGGAGACATGGGGGCTCTGAGACACTTGGGGCACTGGGAGCACTTGTGAACACAGACATGGGGACACTGGGAGACATGGAGACACAGACATTGGGGACACTGGGAGTAATGGTGTGACAGACACTAGGGACACAGAGACATGGGGACACAGACACTGGGAGACATGTGGACACAAACATTTGGGGAAACTAAGACACTAGGGACACTGAGAGACATAGGAACACAGACACTGGGAGACTAGGGGACACTGGGAGACATGGGGACACAGACATTAGGGACACTGGCTGGGAGGCATGGGGTCTTAGACTCTTGGGGACACTGGGAGACATATGGGCACTTATGAACATAGACATGGGAACACTGGGAGACATGGGGACACTAGGGACACAGACACTGGGAGACATGGGGACACTGAGACAGTAGGGACACTGGCTGGGAGACATGGGGACACATGTGGACCCTGTGAGACATGGGAACACAGACATTTGGGGACACAGAGACATGGGGACACTGAGAGATATGGGGACACTGAGAGACATGGGGACACAGACACTGGCAGACTTGGGGGCACTGGGAGCCATGGGGACACTGAGACACTAGGGACATTGGCTGGGAGACATGGGGACACTGGGAGACATTGAGACACTGTGTCCCTAGTGTGTCCATGTCCCAATGTGTCTCCCTATGTCTCACAGCGTCCCCATGTGTCTCAGCATCCCCACGTCTACCAGTGTCCCCTAGTGTCTCAGTGTCCCCATGTGTCCCCTAGTGTCTCAGTGTCCCTATGTTTCCCTGCTGCCTTTCCCCCCATCCTTCACATACCTGAGCTATAGTCTGTGTCTGCAGGCTTGGACCTGCTGTTTGGGCTCTCTGTGCTATGTAGCTGCTCCCCCGCGGATCAGTGAGTAGAGAGAGGCAGGGAGATGCTGTAACTTCCTATCCCTGCCTCTCTCCATACACAGTGACCCCTACTGGCCGGTACAGGTATTGCAGAGTAATCACCGTTTATACTGAGAAAAATATTTGCATTTGTATTGCCGGTATTACTGTAATATCGTCACAGCCAGGCAGCCTCAAATATTGGCTGTGCCTTAAAAATACCAGTCAGATGGCAAACCTAAGAGTAGTGTGTAAAAAAAAAAAAAAAAAAAGAAAAGTAATTTTTTTTTTTTAAACTGGGCCTATTCCATGGGCCTGGGCCTGGGCCTATTCCATGGGCCTGGGCCTGGGCCTGGGCCTGGGCCTGGAGCTGCAGCTCCATCAGCCCCTTTGTTAATCCGGCCCTGTCCACATGACATCAACAGCATTTTGGCACACGTTCAGCCCAAACCCATACATACTGCTAGGCATTTTAGGATGCAGTGTGCCCTCCTTAATGCCTTTCAATGTCACCCTGAAAAGATGTATGGTGTTAAATCCATTTACATTGCTTCCCCTGGATTTCAAAGGAGAGGAGAGAAGTATTAGTAGTGGTTCTGATCTTTTTGTGAAAATCTCTGTCACCAGATGAGTTAGCATTAATGACTGTGCAGAATTAATGGCACAAGAGACAGCTGTGTTTTTGCATGTAATTTATTCTCCATGATCTAATTCAGACTTTGAGTTTTCTGTAGACGTTCCAGATATGCTGATGAGAAGGTTAATTTCCACACTGGATATGCTGTAGTCTCTGCACATGAGGTAATTAAAGCTGAACCAATTGCCCCTCACTGCTCTGCACATGAGGCTGAGCTGAAAGCACTCATTGAGCGTGCAAACTGGCCTCTGGTAAGACAGCTAATATTTACACAGACTCTCGATATGCCTTTGGTATAGCCAATAATTTTAGGCCAATATGGCGTGCTCGTGATTTTCTCACCGCTGCAGGAACTCCAATCAAGAACTCTGAAGCTGTGAGTGCACTTATGGACGCTATCCTACTACCCACTCAAGTAGGTATCATCAAGGTGGCAGCTCACAGATGAAATCACAAGAGGAAACCACAAAGCAGACGGAGCTATCAAGCAAGCAGCAATTCAACCGCATCCTTACCCACTCTCAGGTAATACCTCCCTACAGGTTGTTCTTCCAGAAAACACTGTTGACAACAACATACTCTTGAGACTGCAGGAGCAGACAGGCAAGGAAGAACAGGACCTCTGGAGGAAAAATTATGCAAAACCCAATGATGACAGAATATGGAGAAAAGGTAAAATACTATGTCTACCACGAGTATTGTACCCTATGATGGCCCAAATAGCCCATGGACCCACACATTTATCCAAGATGAACATGAACTGTATAGTGAATACCCATTGGGTGGCACCTGGGTTTATTGTTATAGCAGCTTAGTACACCCAGGCTTGCATGATTTATTCTAGTAACAATCCCAGACAGGCTGTCTAGACACCAGTTAAACATACACCAAGGCCACTTTACCCGGACTGTAGACTGTAGATAGACTATATTCAACTACCTAAGGTAGGAGTGTATGAATATGTGTTGGTGTGCGTTGATCTCTTTTCAGGTTGGCCTGAGGTCTACCCAGTGCCGAAAGCCACAGCGAAGGTCACAGCAAGAAAGCTTCTGAAGGAACTGGTATGTAGATAGGGGGTACCTGAGGTGATTGAAAGTGACAGAGATAGCCATTTTACTTGGGAAATAATGCAGAAATCATGAAAGCTCTAGGGATTAGTCAGGCTTTCCACACTCCCTACCACCACCAGAGTAGTGGGAAAGTGGAAAGGGCAAATGGGACACTTAAGAATAAAACTACAAAGGCTACGCAAGAAACAGGGAAACCCTGGACAGAGAACTCTTCTCTATGAGATTCACCCCCCAGCCTATGACTAGCTTGACCCCCTTTGAGATTCTGTTTGGTTGTGCCCCCAAGACAGGCCTCTATTTTCCCCAGATCCTCCAGATGCAGCATGGTAGTATGACTGCCGATGTACAGGCCTTACACCAAAGATTAAGCAGGGTGCATAAACAAGTGTTTGATTCTATTCTAGATCCAGACTCTGATTCTGCAACCCACAAACTACTGCCTTATGATTGGGTGGTGATAAAAAGGACTGGAACCTAGATTTGATGGTCCTTTCCAAGTGCTCTTGACTACTACCACATCTGTAAAATTAGAAGGAAAACCCACTTGGATTCACACCAGTCACTGCAAAGTGGTCACCTGATCTGAAATCATGATGAAATACTCTCCGCTCATATGATTTTTGTGTGTGTGCCATTTTAGCAGGACCTTTTCTAATCTGTTAGCTAGAGAACATGGTCTCTGGAGAGATAATATATGGTTACGAATAGCAGAATCTTTCAATTTAACCTCCTTTTGCCTCAACCCTCTACATAGCACTAAACATACCATTGAATCTTGTTTAATAGCTGTACCTACCCCTGTGGCTATTTTTGCAATTTTTGGTATTATTTACAATGATGCCGATGTAGAAAAAGATGATATCGAGAGGTTTATCTCTCTCTATGCTTACATGAAAGGTCAACCACAAGCAAGGACTTTGCGACCGAATAAGACCTCGATAGTGACTCTTAATATAACTATGGCAGAAGTAAGGTCAGAAATGACTCCATATGTACTCATGTAGAAAATCAGATTGTGACGAGACCAATCTCGCCACATTGCATTGGAGAAGCCTGGTTGCTCGCCTGCTGCCTTTGGACTATGGCCCCCTTTTAAAAGACTTTATTTTTGCCTGCAGAAAAGCTGTATTCATGCTTTTCTGTCTGGGGTTCGGTAGATTTGTTTGAATGTGTTATACCCCAGATAGGAATCCCATGGAGCCTATTCGTATGAAACTGACTGTAAAGACTTTAGCTCCATGGCGATTAAACTGTATTCGTGTGGTCTGAGCGCCATTCACTTAATAATGTGCACTCGGACCTGAGCTATCTGGGGATATGTTACATGTCTGTGTTTTATGTAATAAATGTGACTTTATGTATTTTAAAGTGTTTTGTGTCTCTTTGCAACCATGTGCTTAATGGAGTCTTGTGTCTGTCCTGGGAGATAATTGAATTACTTATCTCCAGGATAGAAGACTCTGAAACTGGTTTGGGCCAGAAAGCCATGCTTCATTTAGTCACAAAGGACTTTTTACTAACTTTTGAACCCCTTGTCTGATTTGTGCCATTTTTGAATATGTTGTTCCCCTGAATGGATTGATTGAGAATATGTAATTTTATGTGAATGTGATGTATGGTTTTGGAGTTATGAAAGTTGGGTAGAAAGTATGTTTTAACTGTTTGTATAATTGAGTTTCCTCTCAGGATAAGGGGAGGGAATATGTGGGATGTAACTGTGATATGATTGGTTGTTTTATCCCTCCCTGTGGGTGGTCCTGTATTTGAAACACTGTAATAAAAACCAGGCTGGGTGTGCCAGCACCTCAGACCACTGCTTGACCCTCAACACGGAGCCTTGTCTCGTTCTTGGGGGGATTCACTGTATGCTGTTAGAGACTGATTGCCAGGAGTGTAAGCTGTTCGTCTGCTTTTCCTGTTCGTCTGCTAGCAGCTATTTGGGAGGTTCCAGTTCGGGAGTTGGAGTGCTATTTTGTATCCAGTTCGTGAGTTTTGGTGTTCTGCAGTAGCTGTGCCTGGATCTCTGGAAAGGGGGCCGATCGCCTAAACGGTTTTTACCCCTTGTGTGCAAAACGGTCCGTTACACAGATGTCCTGTAATTCCATTATAAGGCAGCCCAGTCATCTAAAACATGTCTGCTTACCCAGTGGTTGGGCCTTTTCCTGCGGCAATAAAATATATTCCTATATACCTGGTAACATTACTGGAGGACCTAGTGCCCCCTCACGCTTAACTATGACTATGTTTAACAAATCAGACCTGATCCTAGGCCAAGACCCACCAAAAAGGACCAGTAGAAATAAGAGAAATACCCAGGATTCCCTCTCCCCAGACTGTGACTCCAGCGTCTGCCTATTATCTAAATCTGCTCTAGCCATGTAGCTCTAGCCCTTTCCCTTGTTGGGGTTCCTGGCCTTGCTTCACGCAATACTAGAACTGTTCACTAGCAAAGAATGCCACCTCTCAGGCCTTAGAAGAACTCCTAATGGATACCCAGGCAAATAAGAAAGCAATCCTTGAAAATAGAGCCATTGACTACCTATTAATGAAACATGAGTTGGGATGTGAGGTTGTCAAAGGAATGTGCTGTTTTAACCTGTCTGATCATGGAACTATAATCCATGAACACATACAGAACTTACACGATCTAGTGAGGGGTATCAAAAGAAGACACTGGGTTCTTTGAGAACTGGGACTGGACTTTTGGGCTTAGTACATGGTAACACTTGTCAAGAAAATATTATATTTCCTACTTATTGCAGTATTTGTTATATTGTTAATCATTCTTACTTTCAAGTTTTTCTCATGTCTCTTTTCTCACTTATGTATCTCAAAACCTCATGTTGGCCAACCCTTAACTTAAACGCCAGCTTTGCCTACTTCGGACGCCTATACCCCTGTATAACAGAATATCTGATGACCTTTGGTTTGTCCTGTCTAAGGGAACAGTGGTGAAGAAATAACACAAGTCCCACAGGTGTGGCTTGCACTCCTGGATATACCTTAGACTGTTGGATGAACCTCGGATCAAAAGAAGGGATTGTGAGGGAATATATATTGATTCCAATGTTCAGTGTAATTAAATTGAGGCCTACATCTGATGCTCTTTATATGTAATGAACATTTCTCTGTAAAATGCTGTATACGTTTCAGCATAAGTTGCATTCTCTGTGTATTCTAGCCCCCACCGGAGCACTTATTTTGAGAAACTGTACATTGTGTGACTGTTTGCTAGCGAATTTTATCTGCGGCCTTCCTTTCTTATGAAATATGTAACCACATATTGTTTTGTAAACTAATTTTATAACTTATGAAATATGTAGCCATATTGACTCATTTTATCTTTTGGTTATGCAGAGACAAATATGTGAAATATAGGCGCTAATATTGTGGTTTATTTGGTTCTATTTTTAGTATAGCAGCTAGAACACTGTATGGGTGCTCCAAAATCACCCACTAGTTGAATTGTACAAAATACACACAGTACCAGGTGTAGAAGGGGTTAACCCCTGAACCGCCTGGTGGGTTTAGTGCAGCGTTATGTAATGGAATATTATGACTCACCCTTAGAAATTTGGGGTGGTTAAGGTCATATATAAAAGGTATATAGTGTAATATTGTTAGCACAATAATATAGGTGATAAAGGTGAGAGATAACAAACTCACATGGTATAGAGCATTTAAACATAGGCTCTAAACTTAATAGCTGGTATGTTTTTAGGTAACATACAACCCTTCTGCAGATCTTCTGTATATGTTGATATTTCTTCCCAATCGTATATATGCCAAAGAGAAGAATGTAGAGAAAATACTCTAAGTGTAGTGAGTTAAAAGACTTGATGGTGAGCTATAACACATAAATGGGTGTGCTCACCTGACATAGATCCCTCCAGACACGTGTATGTGTCTGTTCTGTGAGACACTTTCCCTCCGCTACCCAGTTAATGTAGAAACTGGATCCGCTCTTTCAAATGCAGTGCTATTTATAGTAAAAAAATACAAATAAAAATACACTGATAGATAAAAACAAAAGTTTAAAATATACTAGGAGTTTCTGGATGCTCCGAGACGCGTTTCTCCTATGTAGATAGGCTTTCTCAATCGGCTATGTTCATTGTTCCGGGTTCTGTGATTTTGAATGATGTTTCGCAGCTCTTCCAATCGGTGCCGTCTGTTCTGTCATACCCACCCACTTGATCATCTGTCCTTAATGCTGTAATGCAGGGGTGTCAAACATGCAGCCCCCCAGATGTTGCTGAACTACAACTCCCATGATTCTTTCAATGAAACAGATAGCCAGGGAATCATGGGAGTTGTAGTTCAGCAACATCTGGGGGGCCGCATGTTTGACACCCCTGCTGTAATGCCTCGTATGTAAAGTCTCCTGATTGCCGATACGTCACTTCCAGGTTTCGAAACTACAGCGTCCATAATCCTTTGCGCTAGTATGTTCCTTACCCGGCATTCTCAGCATTATGTGAAAATTGATAGTAATAAAGAAAATACATATATATTAATTTATATATATTCTACAGTGTAGGTAATAACATATTATATTGGGAAAAATGTGACTTAAATCTTTTTGGTTACTATTGTGCAATAAACTCACTTGTTCCCACTGCAATGCTATGTTTTGTATAGGAGGTTATGAAAAAAAAATGATGATGAATTAAAATAGATAAAAATAGATCTAATACTTAATTAAAGTGCAATTTTATGTCTCATTGGTGTATGAGTTAAACTTCCAAACACTGACATTATAATAGAATTTAAATATAATACATGTTACATATGAGAACAAAAACTGAAATAAATGTAAAAAATTTAAAAAAATAAATTTAATTGAATACTTTCTAATTAAAAGGGAGAGTAGAAAATTCACAAACAATTACATAATTCAAAATCTAAATTTAAATTTAGAGTAAAAGTATGTAAGTCAAAGATCCACCACATCTCTGTTTGGCCCAATTTTTTTGTGATGTCATCCCCTCTCCAATTTGCTGTAATTTTTTGGATTGCTAAAAATGTTAGGCATTTTGGGTCACAGTTATGTTTCTCTTTAAAGTACATGGATACATTGTGCTGTGTGAAACCCTTTTGATGTTTCTTACGTGTTCATTTATCCTAACATATAAAGGTCTTTTAGTCCTCCCTAAATAATATAAATTGCACTTACATTTTAGCAAGTAAATTACTTGTTTTGTGTGGCAAGTAATAAGACTTCTTATTTTGTATTCTTTTTGTTTATGGGGTTTTTTAAATGCAGTAATATGTATTTTCTTACTCCCAGTTTGTAAACAAGCTATACATATTTATTCAAAGTGCAATTAAAATTGTACAGAAAGACTGGAGAGGCGGAGATTTTAATAAAAAGATAGGGGAAGAAGAAATGAAGTGTATTTATAATTTGAAAACTTTGATTCCCCATGGTCTTAACCAAGATTTTGAGTTATGTCACTTTTTAGTATAACACTGCCTGTGATATATCTTAAGATTTTAGGAATGTTCTTAATATAGGTGTCTATTTATCATTATTATATTTCACATTCAATTTTTATATATTTTTTATAATGTGTGTTTTTTATTAGAATATATGTTTTTAAGATGATGTCTCTCTATTTGGCTATATTGTATTTTTAATTAGACTGTGGACACACCTGATGTTTTATATGAATTTGTTTTTAGACATCTCTATTATCCTTCTTCTATTATTTTATTGTATTACCATCAACTATTATCTATATAAGACTGTATATTATTAAGAAACAACATTGGCTCAAAGCATTTTTGATAAGGATTTTTTATTTGGACATTTTCAAGAATTATACTACTTTTCTAAAGAAATTGAGGACAGTAGAAACAGTATGGAACGCATATGCGTTCCAATGACGCTTAAAAGAGATGTATGCCTGTATGGATCCGGCCGAGACCGGAAATGACGTCACGGAACTAGGAAATCAATGGTGGAACGCATGGATGCGTTCCACTGAACATATTGAATGATCGCCGAAACCGGAAGTGACATAGACGCCACAAAGGGGACGGAACCCGGAAGTAAAAGGTGGAACGCATATGCATATGCATATGCGTTCCACCGGACGTTTGACCGCGAACTTTGAGAGGATTTAAAGGATCAAGAGGACACTACTACTGTATGCCAACTGAGGAAGCCACACTGGCGAAACACGTTTTGGCAAGCATATTGGACACTACAAGGTTTTATTTATTGTATTACTTTTACTTATCTTTATTTATTTTTTTCTTTTGAATAAATATTTTTGCTTTGGAATATACCATTCTTCCACTGTTCACCATTGAGGGGAGACTGACCACAACAAGCATCAAAGAAGTCTGGGGATCACCCAATTAAGATCCCAAAGGAAATCCACACCAGAGCCAGGTTGTACTATATGGCTCTCCCATTGTGAGTGTATATGATACATATCTTATTAAGATTTTGTGTACAGCAATATTTGCACTATTTTGTACCTCTCTATCTCTTACAGCTTAAATTTAGAAGAGAGAGAAGTATATTTTTTTATTCATTATCACCATTTGCTCCACCTATTTCTTTGTGTGTTATAAGCTATACATATACCACATCCAAAAAAAACGTCCTTATGTAGGAACATTTTCTGTTTAGTTTCTCTCATGTGGTTGTTAGTAAGTTTAGTGGCTACATTTGGAGCTCCTCTATATATAATCGTAGGATTGTCAGGTAATAGATTGTATAGTAATGGATCCTCTCTTAGGATCTGCCAAAATTCATTTATGATCTTTTATATTTTCCTCTTTTTCGAGTTAAAATTGCAGATAAAAAGGTATACTGGATATAGGGTCCTTGTTTTTTATCTTTGTATTCTAAAAGTGTTCTTCTGTCCTTGATTTGAATCTCTTCAATTGTTTTTTGAAGCACATCCTCTTTTTATCCTTTCTCCCAAAAACTATTTTTCAGTCTGTTTGCTTGAATATCATATGTGGCTACATCAGTGCAATTTCTTCAAACCCGAAGAAATTGTGATTTGGGTACATTGAGTAGCCACGGAGAGAAATGGCAGCTTTGTAAGTTGATGTAGTTATTCACATCAACTAATTTAAAATACGTTTTTGTTTTTATTTCACTGTCCTCAATGTATATATTTAAGTCTAAAATTCACGCTATGTTGGTTAAATTCGGCTATTAAATTCGGCTATTAAATTCAAAAATGCAAAAAAATGGGTCAAACTCTCTACAGGACCTTTCCATATAAAAAATAAAAAATATAATCTATATATCGATGATAGGAAACAAGGTTTGCACTCCAGTCTGCATTATCAAAGATAAAAACCTGTTCCCAAAGTGTCATAAATAAATTGGCATAACTGGGTGCAAACCTTGTGTGAGGAACTGACTCTGCTGGGTTTCGAACCCTGGTTTACATTGTGCTAAACCTCTTCCTTACCAGTACACCAGCCTGCCTTTTGCAAATTAACCTGAGATCTGATACTATTGCTTGTAGAGTCAAGGTTATCAGTGACAACTCTCTTCAGCTGTGTCTGGTCAGGTGTCTGGTTCTTGGCCTATAAAAGCCACTTCCTGTCTCTGTACCTTTGCCAGATTATTGTGGTTCCTGTACTCTCTAATCCAGCGTGTTCCTGTTTCTCCTTCCTGTTGCTGAATTTGGACTGTTTTGACTTTGCTGCTTCTCCTTCCCACTGACCTCGGCTTGCCTCACTACGATTATCATCTTTCTGTTCCAGTCTCCCATCTCTGCTTAAGACCAGAAGGCCACTCAAGGCTCAGGGGCTCAACCACCTGGGTAACGAGTGGCTACCTCTGGCAGAAAACATTGCTGATCTGGCTACTGGACTCCAAAACTTTGTAACATCAATATCATTACAGAATAATCTGGCCATTCATGGAGACCGTCGGATCAGATTCTGCATTGGCCCAGCAGGTTGCTTTTAATGCAAGAACTATGCAGACCCAGGCACAGACCATTCAAGTGCTGCAGGATCAGGTAGCTGAACTGCAAAATGAAGTTCGATCAATGCATAGTGAGCTTACCAGCTACAGGGCACATGATGTTGCGGCTGCTGCTACTACTACTGTTACACCTGCACAAGATGCCCGCTTGCCTCTACCAGAAAAATTTGGAGGAGACCGCAAAAAATTTAGGGGTTTCCTAAATCAATGCCGTTTGCATTCCATGATGTTACCTAACCGTTTTCCATCTGAAAGAGAGAAGGTGGGATTTATTTTTTCCCTCTTCAAAGATGAAGCCCTGGCCTGGGGCTCCCCTTTTCTGGAACAGGACAGTCCAGTCTTGGGAAATTTAAAAGACTTTCTTGAGGCCATGTGCCTAGTTTTTGATGATCCCAATCGCTGTGCTACAGCAGAAGCCACTCTCCTTCATTTACATCAAGGGAGGCGCTCTGTGGCTGAATATGCTGCTGAATTCAGACAGTGGGTTACTGATACTACTTGGAACCAATCAGCCCAGAGGTTCCACTTCAGAAGGGGTCTCTCAGAAGCTATAAAAGATGAGCTAGCTCGTGTTGATCTTCCTGTTGAGTTTGATGCATTTGTGCGGTTGGCTATCCGTATTGATCGGAGACTTTCAGAAAGAAGATTGGAAAGACAGGGCTCTTTTAAACCAAGTGCTACTCCTACTTTCTATTCAAGAATTTCTACTCCGACCCCACAAACACCTACAGACTCTGAACCTGAGGCTATGCAGGTAGATCTAATAAGAGGGCCATTATCCAATGAAGAAAAACAGTGGCGACGCACTCACAACTTATGCCTGTATTGTGGTAGTGCAGGGCATTATGCCATCAATTGCCCTAACAAGTCTAAAAGAACAATAGCTATGACTGCTGAGGGTGCACAGATTCAACACCATTCCCAGATTTCAGACCAACTGGATTCTGTCACACAACCCTTGTTTTCTCTGGCTCAGGGTGAAGAAGGTATGATGACTCAACATCCTCATTTGGTGGTGCCTATCACTTTGCAATATGGTGATAATAAACTTTCAACTACAGCTATGATAGATTCCAGAGCAGGGGGAAACTTTATGGACATTAAATTTGCAGCAGGAAATAAAATTCAGTCTATCCCTAAATCTTCACCTGTGTTAATGGAAACAGTTGACGGTTCTCCACTTACGTCAGGCCCGGTTACACATGAGACTGTGCCCTTAAAATTGATTCTGGAAGTGAATCACCATGAGTCTATATCTTTCCACCTAATTTCCTCAACACAGTTTCCAGTGATTTTGGGTATACCCTGGCTTGCTCTGCATAACCCACAGATTGATTGGAAGACTAGAACTTTGTCCTTTCCTTCAGAACACTGCTTAATGAATTGTCAACCCTCTAAGGCGACACCTGTTACCACAACAATTAATGAAATGGTTGCTACAAACTTAACTAAGCTTCCGCTACAATATCGGGATTTTGCAGATGTCTGTGATAAGAAGAATGCTGATCAGCTTCCACCTCACAGGCCTTATGATTGCCCCATAGAGCTGCTACCTGGAGCTGCTATCCCATTTGGCCGTATATACTCCCTTTCTGAGCCTGAATTGAAAGCACTTCGTGAATACATACAAGAAAATCTTGCCAAAGGCTTTATTCGACCATCCACTTCTCCAGCAGGAGCTTCTATATTCTTTGTAGAAAAGAAAGATGGCAGTCTACAGCCATGTGTCGATTACAGGGACATTAATAAAATCACTGTTAAAAACCGTTATCCCTTGCCTCTCATTCCTGAACTTCTGGAGAGACTTCGTTCAGCTGAAATATTTACGAAGCTTGATCTACGGGGAGCATATAATCTGGTTCGCATAAGACCAAATGATGAATGGAAAACAGCTTTCAGAACCAGGTACGGACATTACGAATATCTAGTAATGCCATTTGGGCTTTGTAATGCCCCTGCAACTTTTCAGCATCTAATCAATGATGTACTACGGGATCTCCTGGATCAGTTTGTTGTGGCATATTTGGATGATATCCTGATATTTTCTGATAATCTTGAAAATCACAGAAAACAGGTCTGCATTGTTCTTGAGCGCCTTCGTACCCACCACCTATACATTAAACTGGAAAAATGTGAGTTTGAACAAACAGAAATTCAGTTCCTGGGGTATGTAATAACTCCTAAAGGTTTAAGTATGGACGCAAGTAAAATTAAAGCTGTGCTGGACTGGCCCATCCCCAAGAATGAAAAAGATATACAGAGATTTGTGGGGTTTGCCAATTTTTACAGGCGTTTCATTAAGAATTTCTCTGCCGTTATTACACCGATCACTGAACTTACACGTAAAGGGACTCCTTTTCAGTGGTCCAATAAGGCTGACACTGCATTTTCCAGATTAAAGACTCTGTTTACATCTGCCCCTATCTTGGTACATCCTCAGCCAGAATTGCCATTTACTGTAGAGGTAGATACTTCTGATTCAGCTGTTGGGGCTATACTGTCTCAAAGGACTGGACCTAAGATGTTGTTACATCCATGTGCCTTCTATTCCCGCCAGATGTTACCAGCAGAAAGAAATTATGACATAGGGAATAAAGAACTTTTGGCTATAAAAGCTGCCTTCACCGAATGGAGACATCTCTTGGAGGGAGCCACCCATCCAATTACTGTCCTCACAGATCACAAAAATCTGGAATGTATCCAATCCGCTAAGAGACTGTCAGCCAGACAAGCACGCTGGTCCCTATTTTTCTCAAGGTTTAATTTTTTTATTTCATACCGCCCTGGTTCCAGAAATGGCAAGGCGGATGCCTTGTCTAGGATAGCTGACCCCCTCCATACTACAGTAACCAAGGCCACCATCTTGCCGGAGAGCAGATTTTTAGGAGTTACCTTTCCTTCTGATCTAATGTCTCGCATTAAAAAGGGCTACTCTAAAGATCCAGTTTTTCGTGATCCTCCTCGTGATCTTCATATGACCATGCTTAATGGGTTTTGGATTTTTCAACAACGTCTGTTTGTTCCAGAATCAGTGCGACTGGACGTTTTACGCCTCTACCATGACTCTAAACCAGCAGGTCATCCAGGAATCCGAAAGACACAAGAACTACTTACCCGATCCTTTTGGTGGCCTAAATATTATGAGGATGTTAAGAAGTATGTGTCCTCTTGTGATGTATGTGCCAGACATAAGACTCCTCGCTCATCCCCTGTTGGCTTGCTTCAGCCTCTTCCGATTCCTCATCGTCCCTGGGGATCTATATCCATGGACTTTATTGTGGAACTACCTCCCTCTAAGGAACACACTACCATTCTTGTTGTTGTGGACCGGTTAACTAAGATGAGTCATTTCATACCAGCTCGTGGTCTCCCTTCAGCTAAACAGGCTGCTGACCTTGTTATTCGGGAAATATTTCGCTTGCATGGAGTGCCTGATGAAGTAATTTCTGACAGGGGAGTGCAGTTTACATCTCATTTTTGGAAATATTTTTGTTCTATTCTAGGTATTAATGTAAATCTGTCTTCAGCTTTTCATCCACAAAGTAATGGACAGACTGAGCGAACCAACCAGACTTTAGAACAATATTTGCGGTGCTATATTAGTTACCTGCAGGATGACTGGCTGGATTTTCTACCCACGGCGGAGTTTGCCTATAACAATGCCCAACACTGCTCCACTTCTCTGAGCCCATTTTTTGCCAATTATGGTTACCATCCAACCTTTCTAGTGAGTCTCCCAATTACTACTCCCATTCCTGCAGTCACTGACCGGCTAACCACCTTACGAGATTCCCAAGAACTGTTGAAGGAGACTCTTTCGGAGGCTCAGGAATGTTACAAAAGAGCTGCTGATAGGCACAGAAAGGAGGCCCCAGTTTATCATGTTGGTGACAAGGTTTACCTGTCAACAAAGAATCTTAAGCTTAGGATTCCTTCTCATAAATTGGGTCAAAAGTTCATGGGACCATGAAAATACATCCGGTGTTTCACGTGGCACTGCTTAAACCTTTTCATGAAAATACTTTCCCTGGTCGAGCCTTGCCTGCCCCACCACTAGTCCTCGTGGATGGTGAAAATGCTTCGATATTTGGTTCATTGGAAAGGCTATGGTGAGGAGGATAGATCGTGGGAACCAGTGGACAATATTCATGCTCCTGATCTTCTTCAGTCTTTCCATGCACAGTACCCTGCTAAACCAGGAAATAGGGAATCCAGAGGCTGCACCTGTAGAGGTGGAGGTAATGTGAGGAACTGACTCTGCTGGGTTTCGAACCCTGGTTTACATGGTGCTAAACCTCTTCCTTACCAGTACACCAGCCTGCCTTTTGCAAATTAACCTGAGATCTCTTCAGCTGTGTCTGGTCAGGTGTCTGGTTCTTGGCCTATAAAAGCCACTTCCTGTCTCTGTACCTTTGCCAGATTATTGTGGTTCCTGTACTCTCTAATCAAGCGTGTTCCTGTTTCTCCTTCCTGTTGCTGAATTTGGACTGTTTTGACTTTGCTGCTTCTCCTTCCCACTGACCTCTGCTTGCCTCACTACGATTATCATCTTTCTGTTCCAGTCTCCCATCTCTGCTTAAGACCAGAAGGCCACTCAAGGCTCAGGGGATCAACCACCTGGGTAACGAGTGGCTACCTCTGGCAGAAAACATTGCTGATCTGGCTACTGGACTCCAAAACTTTGTAACATCAATATCATTACACCTTGTTCCCATCGATATGCCACAAATTTGTAAGTAAAACTCATTATAAAACCCAAAAAAAGTTATTGTGCAAGATTAGATCTATCCCTTTTATGATAAGATTAATCTGCTCTTGGGGGTATAATTGTGATTGTTGTAAAAAAAATTGGACTGCTTCCTTTCCTCTATTTTGTGGTATAACAGTGTAAAGGGAGCTGACATCCGCTGTTACTAATATATAATTGTCCTGCCAGCTGATATTACTTAATACTTGTCAGCTGTTTAAAGTGTCTTTTAGATAGCTCTGAGTTTTCTGTAAAATGGGTTGGAGACAGTGGTCAATGTACTCCGATAGTCTAGTGGAAAACGAATTGATACCAGAGACTATCGGACGGCCTGGTGGGTTGGTTGAAGTTTTGTGGATCTTTGGGAGGTGGTAGAGTATTGGAATCCAGGCGGTTCAGGGGTTAACCACTTCTACAGCTGGTACTGTGTGTTTTTTGTATAATTTTATCTTTTGACTTTCCTATCTTTACCTACATTATTTATTTCTAAACCTTTAAGCTAAGCTACAACGATATTGTGTATAAATACACCCGACTTTGAATAAACGAACAGAAGTAATTCTGGACTCACAACTGTAATGGAGCTTGCTGTCCTCAGTGAGCATGCTCCTAGTGCTCACCAAGCACTCTACCAGACACCATCAGCACCGCAGTCCCCACTTCCAGCGTTACAGCTTGGCTGGGAACTCGCTGTCTCCTACCCGCCCTGGACCTTCCTCCAGAGAGTCAAGCAGGAACAGCTCTTATAAGAGCTTAGTGATTATAATCCCTGGGGAGTATAGTGATATAGCAATCCCCAGGGTAGATGTAGCCTTTTCCCCCCACACATGAGATGAGACTCTATGTTGAGGGTAAAACAGGAACTAAGTTTTAATGACACCCAGATGGACCTTGTTGGGCACAGGGGCACAAAGTGTACAAGCCAATAAAAATAATGTAACAATAAATGATGCTCCCACATACAGTAGACAATCCCTCCCCTTTGCCTGTGATATATTTAAGACAGATAATACATTAACTTAATTATCCACTGGCAGAAAAAACACACATTTTAATAAAGTCCAATAAGTACCCCAAAACACAATAAGGTAAATGGGAGGGCAGAGGCCAGCTGTGCTTGGCCCCAGTGCCAGCGTTTCTGTTGGGGGACAAGTACATAATCCTGCCCTGTAACAATGGGGCAGGTAGGGCAGAGGCCAGCAGCGTTCTGCCCGATGCCAGTTACCACGACCCGGTAGAGGAACTGCTGTGGAGAAGAGGGATCGCCTGCATCCTCTTCCTGGCATTCCTGTGGGGTTGGTTGCAGAGACCGCAGTCCCATCTGCACCATTGGGAGTGCTGTCCCCCTGTGGTTGGGGAGGAGGATCAGTTGTCTCTTCTCCCGGTATCTCTGGCTGCTGTTGGAGCAAGGCACACTGCCACTGGGGAGGGAGACTGGTTGTCTCCTCTCCCTGAAACTCACCCTGCCACTGGGGAGTGAGATTGGTTGTCTCCACTCCCTGTAGGATACACTGCCGCTGGGGAGAGAGACCGTTGTCTCCTCTCCCTGCAAGGTACACTGCCGCTGGGGAGTGAGACTGGTTGTCTGCCCTCCTTGTAGGATACACTGCCACTGGGGAGGGAGACCGGTTGATACACTCCCACTGGGGAGGGAGACCGGTTGAAAATAACCCTGCCCCTGGGAGGGAGGACAATGTGCTCCTCGCCCTGTGACCCTGTCCGCCGCTGGGAGTTGTCTTCTCTCCCTGTAACACACACTGCTGTTGGGAAGTGATACCGATTGTCTCCATTCCCTGTAGGATACACTGCCACTGGGGAGGGAGATAGACCGTCTCCACTCCCTGAAATTCACCCTGGCGCTGCAGAAGGAGGATGATGCTCTCCTCTCCCTTTGACTTTGTCTGCCGCTGGGGAGAGAGACTGGTGGTCTCCTCTCCCTGCAAGGTACACTGCTGCTGGGGAGGAAGGACGATGCCTTCGGCTCTCTGTGCAGCACACTGCTGTTGTAACACGTATATCCTGAGTGCGCAGTGCCGTGCCGCTCGTTTCTCCTCATCCAACTCTCGCATGGTTGCTGTGATAGTCTCTGTCGAAGGATCTGGGCCATATTTGGATAGCCGCCTCTTTACCTCATCAAAGTAGGTGTCACCTGCAATGGAGCTTCCTGTACCCCGGTTGGGTACCTCTGCTGACGGATGCTCCTAGTGCTTACCGAGGGCTCCAAGCACTTCTCCAGACACCATAAGTACTGCAGACCCCACAAACTGCCGCAGCTTCGTTGGGGCCTTGCCATCTCCTACCCCCCTGGACCTACGACAAGACTCCAGGTTCCAGTGGGTGAACCTCTCTTCCTCCAGAGAGCAAAGCAGGAACAGCTCTTACAAGAGCTAGTGATTATCCAAGGGAGTTTAGTGATTATAGCAATCCCTTGTAGCAATTTCCCCCAATAAGAGACAAGACTCTAGATTGAGGTTAAAATAAGAACTGAAGATTTATTGTGGCACATTGCCTTTTATGCAGTTTTCCCCACAAGGTTACCACCCAGGTGGACCTTGTGGGGAGCAGGGACACAGGAACAACAAGCCAATAAAAACATAGGTTTACATTCAGTCACTCCAATACAGTGTACACAATTAAGAGGGAAGGGATTGTGTACACTGTAAAGGACCACTACAGACACCCAGATCACTTTAGCTCAATGAAGTTGTCTAGGTGTCAGGTCCCTCTAGTTTTAACCCTGCAGCTGAAAACATAGCAGTTTCAGAAAAACTGCTATGTTTCACTGCGGGTTAATCCAGCCTCTAGTGGCTGTCTCACTGACAGCCGCTAGAGGAGCACACTGAACGTCCATAGGAAAGCATTGAGTAATGCTTTCCTATAGGCAGTTTGAATGCGTGCGCGGTCGCATTTGGAGCTGAGGGATCTAACTGAAGACAATGGACTAACTCAATTAAATCTAAGCAGAAAAAACATAAATTTTTGCAAAGTCTGAAAAACACCCCAAAACACCACATATCCCGGATAGCCCTGATCTGGGTGAACAACATATCCAAAAATCACCCAGATCAGAGAAGGGGTTCCGGAAATTCCTGGAAGTCTCTTTTGACCCACTGTGCACATGGTCCCATGCCCAAAACAGTTCCATACACTCGACGACAAAACAACGCTGGCCGTTCGACAATTTAAGATGGCCGCCGCCACGTGTTCGAATCTGTTCCAGTTAAAAGTCCAAGGGGTAGAAACAGTACTTTTGTACATGGGTTATCACAGGGTAGGAGGCTGGCAACCAGGCCCCTTTAGAAAGCAGTAGTGAGGCCATTGTCGCCACATATCTCCCTCCCAAAGGGGAGACTAACCAGGTACCTGACCTCCTGTCAGTGGGTAACTGAGTTAGTTGAGTCACCCACCCATAAGCAAATGCTGGTACTCCTGGTCTCTCTGTAACACCCAGGCATTGAGCTGAAGGTATGTTGTGGGCAGAGGCCAACAGCTCTCTGCCCTGGTGCCAGCGCTTCTGCTGGGGTGGCCTGCAGGTATTCAGATCCTGAACAAGGAGAAAGGGGAGGATAGAGGTCAGCTGCTCTCTGCCCAGATGCCAGCTCTTCCGCTGGGCTGGGGTCAATGGGTACCACCCCCAGGAACTGGCTGAGGATCCGCCGTGGAGAGGAGGGATCACCTACCTTCTCCTCCTGATATTCCTGCGGGGTTGGTTGGGGATCTGGACCGTCCATCCATGTTGCATGTCTGTATTTTATGTAATAAATGTAACCTTGTGTATTTTATTGTATTTTACTGTCTTTTTACTGCCATGTGCTTAATGGAGTTTTGCCTCTGTCCTTGGAGATAATTGGATTACTTCCCAATTATCTCCAGGATAGAAGCCACTGTGGAACTGGTTTTGGGCAGAAAAGCCATGCTTCCTTTGGTCACAAAAGACTGCAATCTGTCTTTTGAACCACTGGACCAATTTGGATGATTTTGACATATCAGTGGCGTACAAATGACCCATGGGGCCCCGGTGCGAAAATTGATCCGTGGGCCCCCCCCGCGTGCGGGCCAGGCCGCAACATATGGCGGTGGGCACCTGGTCGCAGGGGTTACAGGGCTGCGACCCCTGCGACCGCGGTATGTACACCAGTGCATGCAGATGCACAC